TTGTCTGGCACACAGGCAAAAGTGGCCTTGATCTTGCATTAAGAGATTCAATTTTAACTAGTCTGGATTTATATGTAATATACTCACAAGAATAAATAAACAGAAAGATTAATAATTAAATTAATAAACATTCAATGAATAAATTGGCTCCATAGAATGTCCATATGTGACACACAGAAGATAAGAGAGTTGAGGCAAAGTCCTACAGGGCCATCTTTAGAATGTGTACCCCTCAGTGCTACAAGCATAAAAAGCAGGTAACATAAGGTAATGGAAAAGAGGTTTCCAGGGCTCAGAGACACAACACTTGTTTCCTACAGAAGTCCTATAAGGTATCTTATTACTAGATCTATGAATTATGCATCATTCATTTGTATTATTCATCCTGTATTTCTTGTGCCTATGTGCCAAGTTAAAAATGTATGTAAAGAAGTAAATGAGATTTACAAATCTGGAAGACTAAGAATTAGGGCAGTACAGAGGTTCAGGCTGAATTCTCTCAGGGATCAGAAGGATAACTATAAACTTCTGTTTTTACAAAATCTACTAACAATTTGATTTCAACCCTAGGTTGAATCCACCTTCCCAGACAGCATGATTAGTACTCTAAAATAGTAAATGGGAAAAAAATTAAGAAAATTATCTCCTGAAAAAGATCAATAAGAGTCTTTTGAGAACAAGGCTTCAGATTTTTAGGAAGTCCATAGATTTTCCCACAATAACTGCTTTACATGAAAATCTTCAGATTTATCAATGGCATCAGCAATGGTGGGGTGACTTTGTTAATCCTGGCGATGTTCTTTATTAGGCCTATCAGTGAGGCTGAGTCTCAGTGACATAATCCTTGAAAGTACATATGAAACTTTCAGAAATGTCAATTTGTTGTGTAATTTGAGTTACAGTGACCTCTTTGGTTTTTTTTCAAGTTATTAGCCTGTTTTATTTTTTAATTATTATTTTTTGTTTTTTTATTATTCGTATGTGCATACAATACGGGTCATTTCTTCCCCCTGCCCCTACCCCCTCCCTTACCACCCACCCTGCCCCCTCTTTATCCCCCCTTACAGTGACCTCTTTGTGCTAGTATGGTAAAACTCATTAAATATAGCTGTGTCCTAAGGAAGTTCTATAATACTTGGGAGCTCCCAAATAAGGGGCATGCCACGTCCCTAAGATTATAACAACATTCCTGAAATTGATGGACTGGAGAAGTCTCCCTCACAAAGCTTTCTTAGAAGCCTGGGTTTCATTCTTGGATCCTGAGTCAAAAATAAGCCACATCAGTGCCTGGCATATGATCTGTGCTTAGTTGAGTATTTGCTGGTATTTAGCCCCACCCTATGCTTGTGCTGTCCACTAGAGTGGGGGCTAGTTCTGGACAGGAAGCAGTAGAAAGGCCAGAGAAAATTGCTGTCTGCAATACATAGGAAATACACAGGGTGGGGCGTAAGCACTAGCTTTTTCTGTAGCCCTGCCTATGACAGCCAGGGATTTTAGAAGAATGATTTTTTTCCCCAGGTTTTGGCAATGGGATGTCTGGATCTTAGTGGGATTTTTACTGATGTAGGGAAATAAAAGATAAGCATCCAGAGCTCTGGGGCAATAGATATACATACATAGATAGGTATTTTCATAAAATCAAAATCTCACAATTTAGCTCTTCTTCACCCCTAGAGACTCCTGATTAGTAACTATTTTTATTCAGTGACTGAATTAAATGCAATTCAGAGACCAGCTATATAAGAGATCTGCACACTATTAGGGAACAATTTCAGCTGTTGATGCGGTATGCTGCATCAGCCCTGAACAGCTGCAGTTGATATTCAACAACATTGTGTTGCTCATTGACCTCAACCAGAAGTCTGGAGAGCCTACAGAAGATGCTTCACAGCCTGTGAGGCTATGGAAGGGTTGTCTTGGCTCTGTGGCACTGAGTTATTATTTTCAATGCCTCTAGCTATAGTTTGGAACTGGAATATCCCCCAAAGACCTGTGTATTAAGGCTTGGTCCCTTAGCCCATGACACTTTTGGGAGATTGTTGAAACTTTAAGGGATAGAGTCTGGTGGGAGGTCTTCAAGTCATTAGGGATGTGCCCTAGAAGAGATCCCTCCTTTTCTCCTATCAGGTCTTACCCAAAGAGTTTTACTTCTTCCTTTCCAATCTGTTTATCTTTTATTTCCTTTCATGCTTTGCATTAGGTAGGAATTCCAGTATAATATTGGAGAGAAGTGGTGAGGTCAGACATCCTGACATTTTTCCCAATTTCAGTGGGAAAGCATCTAGTTTCTCATCATTAAAAATGGATAGTACTGGAGATCATGATGTTGAGTGAGATAAGCCAGGCTCAGAAAGACAAATACTGCAATTTTTTCTCATATATGGTATCTAGAACTAAAAAAATAATAATATGATTAAAACATGATTGAAAAAGTGGGACTGTTTTGGGGGAGGACTACCAGAAGGATGGGAGAAAGGCAAGGGTGATGGGGAGTGAATATGATTGATAAATATATATGTATGTGTATGAAAATAGCATGATGAAACCCACTAAAAACTGTTAAAGGGGAAAGGAGGGAAGTGGGTTAAAGAAGAATAATAGAGGGTATAAGTTTGACCAAATCGTATGCATTGTAGAAATATCACAGTGAAACCCCTTTGCATAATTAATCTATGCTAATAAAAATTAGCTGTGGCATGTGCCTATAATCCCAGCATACAGAGGCAGGATTGTGAATTCCAGGCCACTCTGGGCTACAGAGTAAGATCTTATCTCAAAAAAAAAAAGAAAGGAAAAAAATAACTCACAAAATAAAAAAAAGTACTAAGAACTTCTGAGTTTTCAGTACTTTTAAAATCACAAACACATGTTGAATTTTGTGAAATTTTTTCTGTAATGTTAGAATAAAATGACAATTTTATGACCTACTCCTTGCCTATCGGTTCAGTCCTATCATTCATGTTACATTTCCCCATCAGTCCCTGCATATACTGTTTCACCTTCTTCCACTTTACTCTTCACCCTCTTATTTTCTGGATCAATTCCTAATTATCTTTTATTATCTTAAATACACTCTCAGAGCCTTTAAATTGTATTCTAAATGATTTCCAATCCTTCAACATGCTTTGATAAAAGCTCAGGTTAGCTCTTTAACCTCTCCACTCATTTTCTTCATTTTCCTAGTAACTCTCACTGAATGTCTTGTCTTGTTCACCCAAGAACAGAAGGTAGGGCCATATGTAGATGTAGCAGACAATTTTCTAATTATCTTCCATAAGGAAGTATCATTCTCTTAAAACTGAAAGACCAATTCCAAGGCTTAATGCATAAGCAGGCAAGTATTTAGAAAAGTAAAGTTGTGTAAGGAGTGTTCAACAAGACTCTCAGGTAATGGTTTCTGTTTTCTCTAAGGTAAAAATGAGAATGCTGGGCTTGAGGAGTAGGTATGGGGTTGAGACTTGAGGAGGGTGTTAAAGGTTTGAATAAATGTAGGAAATGGGAGAGAAAGCTAAAGACACACCATGGATTTGGGAATGTCCTGAGGATGAAGCTGGAATGTGTAATGGTTATGACATTGATGTCACCAACACTGTCCTGACCTCTCCTGCAGCACTCTGAACTCCAAAAGTAATAGTGGAGAAGACGGTGGTTGAATTGACAGGACAATGCTGGGTGGGGACTATTAGAGATTTGAGAACATAATCTATAATGGAAGTGCTGCAGCTCTGGCATTGGATAGCTACTTCAAATCCTGGCTCTGCTCCTCACTATACGTCCTCGGGTAAATTACTTAATCTCCTGAAGTTTATGATATTACATGTACAATGAGGATAATCATATATGTTGTTGATTAAACATATATTGAAACCCTTGTCTGTTCTGTTCTTGAGATGTAGCTGAGATCAAGGGACAAAAATTACTGATTTCTTGGAACTAACAATTTAGGTAGCAGAGAGAAAATAAACAAGATAAATAAAACATGTAAGATGGCAAAATGCTTAGGGGAACAAAAAGAGCAAAAAAGATATAGTACATAAAGAGGGCTACAATTTTAGATGGGCAACAAGGGAAGATCTTATTGAGCTGATGTTTGAACCTGAGAGTTATGTAATCATTAGGGTGGGCTAGCTAAGTTCTTAGTACACAACAAGATTCAATAATTTTAAATAATACTTTTACTGTGATGAGAATGCATGAAAGATCACTGTGTTGGCCGTTTTCCCCTTTCTTTGGGAGCTCAAGGAGAATTTGCATGATTTCGATCTCTTCCTGGAACTCTCCACTGACTCATATTACATTGGTTAAAGTCTAGCTGAAGCGCCACTTCATAAGCAGAACTATCTTACTATTCACGATTCTATCCCACACACATTTTTAAAGACATTACCAAACTCTTTCATATTGCCACCAGATGCTAGTCCGAGTTCTGTCGCTAAGTCGCTGTTTGTCTTAGGGCAAGTCACTTCTCAGGCTCTCATTTTTCACCGCAAAATGAAATAGTCGTACTGTGATCAACTTTCTGGCTCCATTATTTTATGATTCTAAGAGTAAAACCCATATCCCCACAGGTCCCTCACAGTTCATTCAACAACGCAGCTGACAGTATCAGTCCAAAGCCTCCACAGAAGCCCAAGCCACAGTCTGGGTCAGTCACAGTTACCTCCACCGAAATGTAGAGAAAACCGGATTATCCACCTCACTTTGTAAATAACTGACGCTTCTCCGAACGCCCGCCCTCTCGATATTTCCGGTTTTCTTTCCGATCTTCTTCCGGGTCACTTGCTTGCATCTGCTCCCACCCTAGGTCTACCCCTTTGAGCCCCTTGGCTGGTTCTTTGAGGAAGCGGATGAGTTTCGAGCTCGGATTGGTTACTGTCATTGTTGACGGGTTCGTTACAAACAAGGCGTGCCTGGTCTCCCTGGCAACGCCCTGCCGGTAGCTTTGATTGGTCGATGTCATAATCCTATCTTCCGTCCCAACTGCGAGTGGTTGAGTCCCCAGCGGGGCGCGGCGGTGGTAGGTGTCGTGTATGGGTTTCCCGAGCTGACGTGGCTTAGATTGGGAAGGGGGCAGCTGGATGCTCCAGCGGCAGCCGCTTCCAGGTGAGTGGAGGACGCTCCCCAACTCCCTTCCGCGACTGCGATAACGGCCGGGACTCCCGCCACGGGGTCCGCCGGGACGGCCGAAGCAGCCACACTGGAGTGTCCTCCCGGTCCCGCCCCTTCCCTCCCCACCCGGATTCAGTCCTGGTCCGGATCCTCACCCGCCTCCCTTGACCCACCAGGCCTAGTTCTAGTAGCACTCGTGCCTGTTGTCTCCGCCAGTGAGTTTCACAGTCGCCAAGCGTGGCCTCGGAGCACGTACGCGGGGTCTGCCCCCTTCCTAGGACGTTCCTTCTGGGTCCGAATGGGAAAGGCGCCCTGGTCAGTCAGTCCTGTCGGCCTGGCCTTGATTCCCTAGTGCCTCGGTACGCAGCAGACAACGTCGGAGAGAACCTGACGCTCTGGCCCTTTAACAAACTTACTGTCCCGAAGGGAAGGTGGGACCCAAACAAATCAAAGGTTGAGGGCGGAGATTAAACCCTAGAGGTGTGAATGCAGACGAAGGCCTGTGGGCTGACCTGTGAATGTGAATGGATTGCTGGGTAAAGGAGAAGAGAGGGGTGTTCCCATTCGTGCTAAAATTCCAGGGATCAGGGGTGGGCCGACCGAGGAAAGCGAATCTTGAAGGGAGTTTCTGGAGGAAAAACAACTTGATTTGGCTGTGTGAAGTGGGTTTACTGTGCACAACAGGAGTGTAGACGGGAGCGTGAGTCCCCTAACGAATGGAATGGGGAATACATTTGTCTGACCAAATCCAGTTGGTCTATGAGGAGAGAACAGTTAAAAGTGTCAGAGATACTTAAAATCATGGATAAATACTTTGACTTTTGGAGTTAGTTGGAAGCTCTCGAAGCATTTTTTAGGGACCTGTTTCCAGTTCTGTGTAAGATGGCAGTAGAAAAATAAGAGGATTTGGAATAGATATAGGGAAAAGTTGACGAGTACTTAAAAATGGCAGGGCAAATGATCTTAATGAGAAGGCCATGGGTTTGGTCCTCAGCACCACCACCACCACCACCAAAAACGTTGTAGACATTGTACAAACTGCTTCACAGCTTTTACTTCTCATCCCTTGACCACGGAACAATCATTTAATGCTTTCTTTATAACTGTATTCAGTTTGTTTGGCTACATCATTAGTTTCCAAATAAAAAATTGCACACCTTACCAGTAAAAGTTTTGAACATGCACATCCCCAAGTATTATGTATTTGTTTCAGATAATGTATGCATGCCTCTATAAATATATCACATATATTAATTTTAAAATAAAGAAAAATACAAATATAAAAGATTGAAATTAAAAAATAATGCTCACTTGTAGGACACTCCCAACCCAATTTGAAAATCACATAAAGGTGGCACTTTGTTTTTCAAGAAGGTTGGTTGGATCTCTTAGGATTCCCAGACTAGAGGGCAGCCTCTATTATTCTGTGATGAAACCCTTCCTAAAATCATCATCTTTAGAAGATATTTTTTTTCCTGCTTGAATTTTAAAGGTCCTCTTTCTTTCCACTCCCCTTAGATTAATAGATTGATTAAAAGAATGTCAATATTACCCTTGTTTATAAAATAAACCATTAACTTCTCCAGGTTAATGATTAGGAATAAATTGTTTGAGACACAGCTCACCACTGATCATTGCATACCAGTCTGTTAATATCGCCTACATAAAAAGAGATTAGGCTCTATAATACAATTTTAATTGAGTTAGTTTAAAGTTAGTTATATGTGCTTTTGATACTAGGAAATTCAATACTAAAGAACATAATGTAAAAAGAAAACTTTCCCCTTTCTACTGACCTTTTCCATTACCTACTTCCTAGAAATAAGAACTGTAAATAATTTTTTAATTATCCTTAAGAAACATTCCAATTGTAGAGAAGCTCCTATATAGCTTCCCGCATGTGAATTATAATACACAGGCTCTTCTATACTTTTTTGTCAGGTGATACTGTTAATACAGGTTGAGAATCCCTAAGCTGAAAATGTGAAGCATGAAATGCTCTAGAATCTGAAGCTTTTTGAGTACATACATGATGTCACAGTGGAAAATTCCATACCATGAACCCTTGTTTTAACTGCACAAAATTATTAAAAATATTGTGTAAAATTATCTTTCAGCTATGTGTACAAGATATATCTGAAACATAAATGAATTTTATGTTTAGTTTTCAGTCATGTCCCCAAAATATCTCATTATGTATATGCAGATCTTCCAAAATCCAAAACAATTAAAACTCTGAAACTCTTCTTGTCCTCTGAATTTTTGATAAGGGACACTCAACTTGCATTAAGTATTTTCAGTATACATGAGTATAAAACTGCCTCATTCCTTTACTTTTTATTTTTGGTTGGACTTGGGTTTTGAACTCAGGGCTTCAAGCTTCGAAAGCAGGGATTCTACAACTTGAGTAACACCTCCAGCCCTTATTCTTTTACTTTAAAAATTTTTTATTTAGTTACTTTTTTGTGGTACTGCAGATTGAACTAAGGGCCTTGTGTACTCTGTCACTTGAGCCACACCCCCAAGTCCTCTCTCATTCTTTTAAGTGGCCACACAGCATTTCCTTATAGCAATATAAAAAAAAAATAGTTAGCTGTGTCATGTTGATGGACATTTAGATTGTCTTCAGTAATTGGCCATCAACATTGCTTTAGTATACCTGATTATGTGTATGTCTCCATGAGCCTGTGGTTTAAAGAATAGGAATTAATTGAGGCCATACTGAGTCATATCATTTTACTCTATGTACCGCTCAAAAACAATTGCCTATAGTACTATTAACATATTACCCTCATTCCCTTATCTCTGTTTTCATCTTGGGTGAAGAATATTAGGTGACTAATTTACTTGGAAAATGGAATGTTTTGGATGTTTCTACCAACCAAGATACTTTGTCTAACTGTGTCACTGTGCAAATTACTCAACTTCCCTATACCTTAGTTTACTCACTATAGGGACGTTGATAGTAACTCCCCATTAGGATTTTCAGAATAAGATGAATTAAGCAATGAGGATAAATAAGTTTTACATAAAGCAGCTGGAACAGTGCTTGATGGGTATTGCTATGTGTATGTGACAGCTACCATTTCTAAATTTATTTCATGAAAATAGCTTTTTTATATCACAAAAATAAATTTTAATTTCCTTATTGTAAAATTATATCATAATTTGAATATGCTTTTTCTAGCTATAGTAGCACTACCTCCCTTTTGGCTCTTCAACCTTTTAAGAAACACTTTGAAAATTAAGAAATTAAACTATTGAGCTACAATTAAAATGTGTATAAAATGAATTTGAGGAATGATTGTAATGGAAATCTAATGTTGTTTCTGTGGGAATGTGATTTAAATCCCAAAGCAAATGGCACACATGTGTGTACACACAGGCATGCACTCCTTGTCTTTAGTTATTTTTCTTATTTTCCTGTATATATTGTTCTGCATTCTCTGTAGTTAGGGACATGTCTTACATTCTTTTTATTTTTATAGTTCCTAGCATACTGCTACACACAAGGTAAGTATTTTAAAAATAAATTTGTTCATAAACAGTAAAGACTGAGAAAATAACACTTTTTATTTAATTCTCAGTGCTTCTTCACTATATAACCGTCTTGTGACAGGATTTGTGGCAGGTGTGGCCAGCATGGACTTTGAGGGATTATTTTACTTGCCTGAGTGTTTTATGGAAGCTGGGTCCCTATGAAGCTCTGTGTTAGTTGCTTTTCCAGTTCTTGTGCTTTATAAAACAATAGCAACCACATTTTCCTTGTAGGAACTTACTGCCATGAACGTCATGTTCATGTTTACAATTCGTATGTGCATATTTCTCATTTCTGTCCTGTATGAGCTAAATAGAGTAGAATACCTCTCTTTCTTCATTTAGTTTAAACAGGACTATTTAGTGGCTCTCATGCCATCAAGTTCCCAGTCTTTGAGCTACCAAAAGTGCTTAGTTACATGGAAAATGCCCTCCCATTTGCATTTCCTTAGTGTCAACAGCTATAGAAATCACTCTCAAATCATGGAATCACAGTAATGGTCTTTAGAATGGTCCTTGTCACTTCATTTTAAGGTGAGGAAACAGACTTTCAAAAGGTAAAGTGACTTTCTCTGAAGTGATAAAGCTTCTTATTGAGCCAAGACAGAAAACTCAGTTCCCTGACCCAGGTTGGTTTTTTTTGCGCATGTAATCCTCTTTCCATTGACCTCTCAGATTTTTCAGTTTGTGGGTGACTCCTTTATCATACCTAAAATGATACATCCCTATCACCTTATTTATCTTATTTCCATTGACCTCTCAGATTTTTCAGTTTGTGGGTGACTCCTTTATCATACCTAAAATGGTACATCCCTATCACCTTATTTATCTTAGCATTTATCTTATTTAAATGCTAGTCTTTCTTTTCTTAACACATACTTGTGTGTACATATACATATAAATGGTTATATGATAAATCTGTTTTTCATTTAAAGACTTTTTATGTTTTTTCTATTGCTTAGTTGAAGGATGTTGCGATATTTTTATTTCTTTCGTTGTCAATTTTCCCCCTCTACAAAATGGTAATGATAATAAATAATACTTAGCTTATAGATTTTTAGATTTTGATAAAATTAGAGAGAGATAAGTATAAAGTATCTTATTTATCTGGTGCATTTACTTTGTAACAGTTAACTATTTCTCAATAATTGTTGCCATTAATATTATCATCTTATACTAGTATGTATTTGTGTCTTTCATGTATAATGATTTTCAATAGGATGCTGATAGAGACACACTTCTAGAGAAGATGAACCAGAATCTCGAGTGGTAGTGGTATCATGGAAAAAGGAGGGAAATTATTGTTTGAAAAAATATTCAGGATTTGAATTTTATATAAAACTAAATTTACATGTTGAAGTAAAAAATTAAGTCATATTTTCACAATAGAAATAAGATTTATTATAAATATTTTAATTGTGATATGTAAAAGGTTTGATCTCAGGCAATACCACCTTGAGTAGGTGGGTATGTACACATGTGCTTCCAAACACATGATATTTTTATATTTCTGGAGAGTTATGGATTAAGAAGAGTTGACAAATTCTGTGTCTGAAATCTCAGTAGTTTTCTAGTTAGTCCTAAAAGTAGTAGTGGAGCAGTAGGGTTCAAACTACTTAAGAAAGTATGGGTGAGAACAGCAGAGTTACCATAGAGGTGGTGTTGGGGAACCTGAACTGAAAGTGATGGAAAGTAGCCAACAAGTTAGGTATATATAGGTCAGAGTGTGTGTGATAGGCCTGGGGTTAAGTCTAGAAACTCCCTTATGAATGTGCTACTTACCCTGAGTTGATCACTACCTAGTGTGTATATGAATTAAAACATTACATTATACCTCATAAATTGTACAAGTATTATATATCCACAAAAATAAAATAAAAACCTCCCTGTGGATGCTTCTAAACCTAATTGCTCAAGAATTTGTTAATTTTTCTAAAAAGCCTTCTGTGTTTAAAACACAGATACAGAAAATCATACTATGAAATATATATATATATATATATAGCTTAATGAGTTGCTATAAGGTAAATTTTCTTATCATAACTACCAGGTGAAGAAATAAAACCCCTCTGTGTGCCTACCCCACTTATAGTCCTCTCCCCTTTTCCAAAAACAGTCACTCTCTCTGGTTTCTTTACAGCTTTATTATCTAAATGTGAATCTTAGTAGCTTTGTGTTTCAGTGAAGAAACAGTAAGTTTGCCATGCCACATTACAAAGTATGAGTCTTCAGGAATAGAAGATAGGTTCCCCATCTGGAAGAAGGGAAAAGAGCTAATTGTCATTGTCCAGATAGGGCATACTCCACCAAGAGAGACTGAAGCTTTGAGCCTAGGTCAGAGCCTTGAGCGTAGGTTGAAATCTTGAGCCTATGATGAGGGAGGAGCATCCTTCTGGCCCATGAAGCTATGTAAACCTCTGGGGTCACTTTCGAAGTGTCCTTCTAGTGACTGGAAATTAGTGTAGTACATACTTTCTAATTTTTTCCCTTTGGCATCTCATTTTCTTCCAGCATCTGTGTTTCCCTTTGATCCATTTCAAGGAACAGTCTCGCTTTACCTATAAAGGTCTCCTATGGCATGGGGAATTTCATCTACTTGAGTCTTGTGTGATAACACAAGATTGGGCTATAGGCCCAGCACAAAGGAAATGCCTTAATGAGAGAAGACCATATTGGAATAAACTTTTCTTAGAGATGGTGGTCTATACAGCAGAAGCCTAGTCTCTACAAAAGATTGGAACAATAGGGGCAGAGAAAGAAAGGTGTCCATAAAAGGAAAATGTAGGTTGAAGGTTGGAAAAAGCAGGCCAGTGTTCTAAATGAACACCAAGTAGGAAAAGAAAGCAACTGGCACTTTGTAGCCTGGTAAGAATTGCAGAGGCAGCACCTAGAAGGAACCTCTAAGCCACCCAAAGATAACATTGGGTAAGGAAGAAAAAGCAGTCAGAATCTAAATAGTAGAAGATAGCTTTTGCAGAATGGAGCAGATAGGCATGTCTTCAACCAGAGGTGTGGAGAACTGTTCTTGTGCAAAAATAGATGTAGGTGATTCAGGCTAAGACATATTAGGTATAATATCTGAGTCAAGATGTATTAAATTCAAGATCTGAGTTAGGGTACCAAAAATATTACCAGAAAAGTCAGCATAGCTATCTATCTCCGCCCTTGCATCTGGAGAGAGAATTCAGGCAAGATGCGAAAATGTAGTAAAAGTGATAGTAAAGTTTATTAGGAGAGGAATATACTTTCAATAAAGTGAAAGTTATTTATCCCTAGAATCAGCACGAAAATGAGCACGACCTTATTTTTTCTTAATTATTTGCTTCAACTAACCAATGAAGCCATCTTGACCTGATGATTTCTTTTTCAGAAAGTTTTTAGTAAAGTATGTTATGTTTCATATTTATATATACATTGTGTGTTTATATATACATGAACCCACATACATCCACTCATATATATTGAGGTTCACTATTTTTTTCCTTGAATTTCAGTAGCTTTCATCTTTTAAGGAATTAGCCCATTTCATCTACTTTTAATTTATAAACACAAGTTATTAGCCCATTTCGTCTACTTTTAATTTATAAACACAAGTTATTTTCCTATTCTCTTAATGTATGTTAGATCAGTAGAGATGTTCCCATTGTCATTTATTGATGTCAATAATTTACGTCTTTTTTTTCCTCAGTCACACTGACTAGAGCTTTATTATCTTTTCAAAGAACCACTTTTTGGGGGCTTTATTGATTTCCCTTTTCTCCTTTTATTTTATCATTTTTACATTTACTTACATGTATATACATTGTTTGTGCCACTCCCCACCCTTTCCTGGCAGAATCTGTTCTGCCCTCTTCTCTGATTATGTTGAAGAGAAAACATAAGAGATAATAAGAAAAGCATATTGTTTTTGCTACTTTGAGATAAAGATAGCTATACAGAGAGATTCCTAGTGTTGCTTCCATGCACTTGTGTATTGCAACCCACATTGGTTCATCTTTACCACACCTCTTCACTACTTCCTGGTCCCCTTCCCATAGTGGCCTCTGCCAGTTTAAGATTTCTTTATTCACTCCTCAACAGGGAGCACATCAACCACCTTCAAGTTTTAGGTTTCCTTTCCTTTCCCTATTTCTCCCATGCATGTTCTCCCCTTAGTGTGTGTCACATGTCCACTAATATTACTGCATTTGTTTTGGATCTATAATCCACATATGAGAAATCATATGGCAGATTTATGTTTAGTTTTTTAAGAAGCCTCCATATTATGTGTCCCACAGTGGTTGTACTAGCTTACATTCCCACCAGAGTGTATGAGGGTTCCTTTTTCCCCTGCAGCCTCAACAGCATTTGTTGGTGGTGGTGTTCTTCATGATAGCCATTCTAACAGGGGTGAGGTGGAATCTTAATGTGGTTTTGATTTGCATTTCCTTTATGGCCGGGATGCTGAGCATTTTTTCATGTGTTTTTTTGGCCATTTGGGTTTCTTCCTTAGCAAAAGTTCTGTTTAGTTCAGTTGCTTACTTCTTTATTGGTTCATTGATTTTTGGGGGGTTTAGTTTTTTGAGCTGTCTGTATATTCTAGTAATCAGTCCTTTGTCTGATGTATAGCTAGCAAATATTTTCTCCCACTCTGTGGGAGTCTCTTCAGTTTATAGACCATTTCTTTTGTTGTGCAGAAGCTTTTTAATTTCATGTAGTCCCATTTGTCCATCTTTCTCTTAGTTGCTGGGCTGCTGAGGAAGTCCTTGCATAAGCCTTGCTGGAATACACTGTTGTTTCCAGGGTATTCCCTGCTCTTTTGTGTACTAACTGCAGGGTTTCAGGTCTGATTTTAAGGTCCTTAATCCACTTTGAGTTGATACTAGTACAGAGTGACAGGCGGGTCACTTTTCTTCATCGTATGCTTTTGGCGACTTTGTCAGAAATAAGGTGGGCATAGCTGTGTGAATTCATATCCAAGTCCTCCATTCTGTTCCACTGGTCTTCCTGTCTGTTTTTGTGCCAGTACCATGCTGTTTTTATTGCTATGGATCTGTAGTATAGTTTGAAGTCAGATATTGTGATACCTCCAGCATTGCTCTTTTTGCTCAGTATTGCCTTGGCTATTTGCACTCTTCTATGTTTCCAAATGAACTTTAGGGTAGATTTTTCAATCTCTGTGATGAATGTCATTGAATCTTAATGGGAATTGCATTGAACATGTAGATTGCTTTTGGTAGTATAGCTGTTTTTACTATGTTGATTCTGTCAATCCATGAGTATGGGAGAGCTTTCCACCTTTGGAATCTTCTTCAGTCTCTTTCTTCAGTGGTTTGTAGTTCTTTTTGTAGAGGTCGTTTACATCCTTTGTTTACTCCTAGGTATTTGTTTTTTTTTTTTTTGAGGCTGTTGTAAAGGAATTGTTTTCCTATATTCTTTCTCAATTGTTCATTGTTGTATAAAAAGTCTACTGATTTTTGTAAATTGGTTTTGTATTCTGCTACATTACTGAAGCAGTTTATGCTATCTAGAAGTTTTGGGGTAGACCTGTTGGGTCTTTGAGGTATAGAATCATGTCATCTGCAAATAGGGATATATTGACTGTTTCTTTACCTATTTGTATTCTTTTTATTTCTTCTTCTTGCCTTATTGCTCTGGCTAGGAATTCCAGGGTTATGTTGAATAGGAATGGGGAGAGTTGGCACCCTTGTCTCATTCCTGAGGTTAGGGGGAGTGGTTTTAGTTTTTCCCCATTAAGTATGATGTTGGTTATAGGTTTGTCATTTTTCTATTTTCAACTTTACTAATTTCTGCTCGTCTTTTATGTTTGTTTTAAATTGCTCTTTTCGTAATGTCTTACAGGAGAAGCATAGGTTACTAATTCTGTTCTCTTTTTCTAATATACATATTTAATATTATATTTAGCTTTCAGTGAAACCACATGGTTGAAGTTCATAGGATGCATAAGAAGAAAACTGTTGCTGAATCATGAGGTTTATTTGAAAAAAATCAGGAGAAAATAACAATCTGGCAGTGGATGACTAAGAAATTCCTGTTTGTAAGTGAAACTATGATGAAAGATAGCCTTCAAGATGTATTTAACAATTATGTCCTTGCATTTAAGAATCGTGTTTTAGTAATTTATTTTTTAAAATTATGTTAGTGATAGTGATTATAATTTGCCACTGTAAAGAACAGTGTGAGGTTTCACTGTACACTCAATGTTTTTTCAAAGACATTATCAGGCTGCAGATTGTGTCTAATGTTTATTGCATGCACTGTTTTCTTATTTCACTTATGGATGATATGATTACCAGTATAGGAGCAGCCTATGTCCATTTTACTGATTCTTATGTGTGTTTTTTTTTTTTTTTTCCTTTCTTCTCACAGAAATGCTGAGCCGATTATCAGGATTTGCAAACGTTGTTTTACATGAATTATCAGGAGATAGCACTGATCAGAATACGACGGCTCCCTTAGCCCCAGTGAGTAGCTCTATTCTGATCTAAACTGATCAGACTTACATTCTGTGTTCTTTGTAAGATAGATGTACAAGGTAGAAATGAGGGTTAACAGCTACCAGGATGGGAACCAGGTCCTAGATGAGATTTGAAATCTCATTCATTTCCAGGCCTGTTTAGTGTCAGATCATTTTAAATTCTCTTCCTGCTCCTGTGGTACACACTCCTGTTCTAGAGGAAAGGTTTAAATGGCAGTCAGGGGAACTGGGGCATTGTTTGGTTTTAAGAGCATCTGTTTGCTTTTATAAATTACCACTTTTCTTGTAGTTTGAATTATGCTTTTTGAGGGCCACATAAGGAATCAAAAGAAATCTTAGTTTTCTGGTTAAGAGAATTTTATTCAACTAACTCTTAATTTTAAATTTGGGGTTCTTCCACTTAATATTCTATGATATTTGCTTCCTTTTATTCTTCTCTTTGGCAAAATTAGGATAATAATATCTTAAATAGCTAAAATAATCAAGGTATTATATGACTATAATAACTATTGTTGGATCAACTAGAAAGAGTCTTAAGATATGAGGTAGGCAGAAGATAAGATGAGTGAAGCAACTCATGTCTAGAAGTTAATACCTTTTCCCTGATGCTTTGGCAATTTTTTTTATCTAAATTCTAGGAGCTACCCCAGGAGTCTGACATGGAATTTAATAATAGTACACAAGAGGATGTTCTGGAGCGTCTGGCTTCGGCAGAGAAGTTGATAGTAGAGCTAAAAGATGTTATTAGACAGAAGGATGTTGAGCTACAGCAAAAGGATGAAGCTCTTCAGGTATTACTGTTTTTGTCCTTTCTTGCAGAGCATTTGATAAAGATATACACCATTCACTTAGATTTTTCTCTTTTCACTTAGAACGTTAGAGAATCTGGTTCTTATTTTCTTAAACTGTAACATGATGCCTACTGAAAGTATCTTTTGTTATGTGCTAGATAAATGGTGAATTAAACATTTATGTATTTATCATCATCATTATTCTCTTCCAGGAAGAAAGAAAAGCTGCTGATAACAAAATTAAAAAAATAAAACTTCATGCAAAGGCCAAATTAACTTCTTTGAATAAGCACCTAGAAGAATTGAAGGCACAAGGAGTGACTGTTTTGCCTACAGAGCCTCAGTCAGAGGACTCACTCTGTAAAGTAAGTAGATTGGGTTTAGTAGGTATTTTTGAAATCAAGAAAGTCTCCCAGTATAGCAGATCTTTACTAATTACACAAATTTATGTTGTTAAAATAATATGGAAAAAAAAATGCTGTCTTTTCTTATTGAGCTTACAGCTTTGCTGAACTATAGGCCACACATAGCAAAAAGAGCTCTACAGAAAACATATTCATGTTTCCTAGACTTTCAGAGAATTAAAAAAAGTCTAACAGGAGGAAGTAAATACTAGAGTGAGACATTTAAAGAGAAGAAACATTCTTATTGGAAGCATTTCATCCTTGGTTAGAACATTAAACTAGATCTTTAAATTTCTTCCTGCTCTGAATCCTATAATTCATTGACTTAGTACAGAATATTAATTGATTGGATTAATTGAATGATCTGTATCCCTCTATGGCCACATAGTGGTAGATTAATGTTTCATGGATTGTAAACTGAATTGACCAGTATACATTACCTTGGTCTCCCTTACAGGGAGACACTCTAGGTTTATAACTGCCATTAACAAAACAATGCCAATTAGAGATACAGAAAGAACTAAAGAAAGCTGCCTTTTGAGGAGAACATTGTTCTAGTACTTGTTTCATTATCTTACCTTTATGGTTAAACCCCAACTAATCATATTCAGACAGTTATTTAGAGAACAAGAAACTTCAGTTGTATGGAGAGTTTGGTGTAAGGCAAGCATGTCATGTGTGCACACTATAGTTTGAGAGTTAGCCTAGACTTCACCCTATGTAAGATATCTTATTTTCTTAATTTCTCTCTATTTTGCCCTTTGGCCCACTTGTATTCTTATTCTCAGTAGTATAATTTCTTGGGAAAAAGAGTTTTAATTTTTTGGACACACCCTTCAGGGCACTTACTTGTTTATTCCCTGTACCCTGCTTAGTCTTTCCTTTCAGGGACCAATGGTCAGAGAACATCACTTTTCCTGAATCAGTAACCTTATTTAACTTCTTAAAGCTTAACTTCTTAAAAGCTTTTCTTAATCTTCTCAAATACCTTCTTTATTTGGATTCTTGTTTTCTGTTTTCTGGGTTTTCCTCTGACAGTTCCCTTCCCCTCACTGCCATGGCACAAGCTTTCTCTTCCTGTGTTGTTCTTTCAAACTTCCCCTCAAACATGCTGTTTGATTTTTAAATTATCCATTTTATATTCTGGTTTTTAATTTACTTTTATTTTTAGTTCTGATACCTAAACATATCAGCATTTTCTTCCTGTGTTAAATAAATGATTTCCCACAATCTCGGTCAGCTCTAGCAGTCAGTTGTAGTGATCTTTTAACTACGTGTGTTTTCAGTACACAGGAAGGTATTCTGAGGAAAGCACAGTTGAAGAAATGACAGCAGTCCTCAGATGCTTTGCAATTATGTTAAAGAAAATGTAAAATTATTTTTTGACTTCCAATAAGAACTAGGTTCATAGGGATTTAGTAGGGAGGAAGAATATGGTTCTAAGGAAGCACTTTTGGGGGAAAAAAAAAAGACAAAAGATTTGGATTTCCCCTCACTGGTCTTTGTTGTTTTGCCCCTTGCTTAACAGCAGCTGTGGTTTTCTGAATTCTGTTTATGATTTTTGAAGGCAGCAAGACTATGGGAAAGCTAAAGTTTAGTCCTACATGGCACTAACTGGGTTTGCTTCAGACTAAAGCTGTCACAATGAGGCATTTATTCTAGTATCACCTTCCCTCTACTATCATCCTGATTTTGGTTGCTTTCCAGTGTTTTCAGGTAGCTGTTTGCTGTGTTGTCCAGAGTTTATAGCTATTCTCTGAGGGAGAGTAGATCTAATAAGAGAAACTTGGTCATACTAAAACTGAAAAACTCCATCATTCCTTACATTTTGTTAGGTTTTTCTTGCTCCTATCAGTGTAATAAAACTGTAATTAAGTGATTATAAAGGGCAAAGAGAACAAAGGATCAAATATATAATAGTTGTAATTCACTTAAATAAGTGACTTTATTTGTTGCATTTGCAGCATGACAGAAGTTCTACTGAGGAAGAGATGGAAATAGAAAAAATAAAACATGAACTCCAGGAGAAGGAGAGACTAATAAGCAGTTTGCAAGCTCAGCTTGCTCAGGCACAGGCAGAGCAAACTGCACAGGTATGGGTGTGAGTTACCTCATCATCATTAGGTTATCAAATTACTGAATCCCCGTGGATTAGTATATTACAAATACCTTTTTCTGCATGTCCAGTGGTTATTTATCTGTGTGCCTGTCAGTCCCCTGCATGCCTCTGTCTCTCTTCCCCTCCCTTCCTTATTTCCAAGTGTAGTAATTTTGTTAGAGTATTCATTAGTCTTCATCATTCTTGGTTGGTATTTGTAGGTACTCAGTTTGCTCTTTCAGTATATTCTTCACTTATTTTTTTTTAGAAGGTTATTGAATGATATCAATTACATTATTTGATCTTCAAATTGTTTGCTTTAGTTTTCTTCTTTGGAAACTTCTGTTATTTGTATCATGATCTTTGATTATCTTTAATATTTATCACTTTTGTGAGTTGCTTTTTGTCTCCATTAAAACTTTTTTCAAGTTCTTCTTATTTCACTTAATGTATTCTGTTTTGTGTTACTTTTGTGTTTCTTCTTATTCCTTGACTTGCCATCTACTATCTCTGCCTTCTAAGTTGCTGGGATTACAGGTGTAATCACTATATCTAGCTTTTCCCCCCTATCTTTCTCTCTTTTCTTTCTTTCTTTCTTTTCTCTTCTCTTGTCTCTTTTTTCTTTTCTTGGGATGGAACCCAAGGCCTTGCACATACTAGGCAAGCAAGCATTCTATCACTGAGCTACATCCCCAGCCTTGCCTCATTTTGCTTTTACTCCTACAAGTTGTTTTTTTTTTTTCCCCCTGAGGGTATGTCCTATCCTTAGGACATATCTAGGACAGGGATCCTAGAAAAGAACCCTGATGAGTCAGTTTTGAGACACCAGTTGGGCTAGATTGCTTTAGACCTTTTAATCTTTCTTACTGTGGACCCCTTGCATTTGCTCAGTGTTTTTCTTTTTTTTTTGGCAGTACTAGGATTTGAACTCAGAGCCTCATGCTTCTGGGCAGGCACTCTATCACTTGAACCATGCTCTCAGCCTTCCATCATTGGAGAATAGGAAAGCACCGCTGCTGTTCTACAATTGGCCAACTATCCATTCCAACAAGCACTTTTTGGCTACTTTGGAGGTTTCCTTTTTTCATGGGCATTGGATGTCACTATTGCTGCCTTTTTCTTATTACAAAGACTTATACCAGGCAGGTCTTAATTGATTTTAGTGGGTTTCCCTTATTTGCTTACATTTTAGGCTTTGTAGGGCTATCTTCCTAGGTTTATTGGAAATATTGTCCTTGGGTGTTTTGGTTTTACTATCTAGTTGTTCTGTCTCTATGTGAGGACTCAGAGAAGTTGAAAAATTTGTAGCTGCTGCTTCTGTCTTCCTCTGAAAAATTTTGCTAATTCGTTCTTTAAAACCACAGTACATACAATTCCCTTTCGTGTTAACTAGAATTTTAGAGAAAATAAGGTAAGTATTTAGGACAAATAGAAAAGGAAATCAAAGAATTAAAAATGCTACTCTTTTGCTTAAATAAATATATTTTTTTCCTTCTGTGTCTTCAGCTTGATAAGAGTTCTGCAGAGATGAAAGAACTTGTAATGATAAAGAAACAACTTCAGGAAAAGGAGGAACTCATTAGCACTTTGCAAACCCAACTCAGCCAGACACAGGCAGAGCAAGCTGCACAGGTATGGGCAAAGACACCATTCTTAGAATAAAGAATCATGAAATTCAAAATGTTATTTCATGGCAAGTCAATTCAGAGAGTCACTTTTTAAAGCTTAATAGATGAAAAGTGTAGTAGGTAGAATATTAAAGTAGAAATTAGAAGAGTGTGGTGGTAGAAGAAATTAGAAGAAGTATAGTAAATAAGTATGTCATTATGAGATACTGGAAATGCTCAAAAATGTTATTTATCTTGATGAATTTGCCATAATCTAACTGATGACTGTTTATTATTAGTTCCACAGGTCCAAAAACTTGATCTTAATAACACACAAAGTTTTAGTCTCAGGAGTGAGCTCATGAAGCGTTCAAAAGAGACTGATAGAGATACTAAAAGAAATATAAATAATTAGGTCCTTTCTTTCCCTAAAATAAAATCTTAGTAGGAAGATAAATTTTAATCAGAAGGATACTTAAAGAGCATATAATGAAAAAGTGGTATAGGTTATTAATTCCTTGTTAAATGGCCCTAGTATGTACCATTCTTCTTATTTTTTTCTGCTACCAGAATTGATATCCTCTTTCTATTTTTCTAAATTTCCAGTTAACATCCCACTTGAGCCACACCTCCAGTCCATTTTTGCTGTGGTTATTTTAAAGATGGGGGTGTTGTCAACTCTTTGCCCGGGCTGGCTTCAAACTGCGATTCTCCCAATCTCAGCCTCCCAGGTAGCTAGGATTATAGATATAAGCCACCAGCATCCAGCTTATATCCTGAAATTCTTAATTTTATCCTGTTAGCTTTTCTTGTATCCTTTTTATGTAGCACAAAATACAGTGTAGGATAGAGAAACGTAATACATGACTTTTTCCTACAAGTTGTTTAAAATAAGGAAAATCAAGGTATATACATATGTTAGGAGATCCATCATAATGGAAGCCATTCCAAATAAATGCCAAAACAAACAACTTTAGAAACGAAATGTTTGAGAAGTGAAAGACTTTACTGGTAAGTATGACAGTTAAGGAAGGTTACATGGAAAAGCTGAGATTTAAGGAAAACCATGAGAGTTAGATAATATTCTAGACAATTTTAGTGGAAGGCATGATAATTGTGAAGAAGGGGAGTGAACAAAGTCTCAGGGAAGAAAAAAAGAATAGAGTGCATTTAAGAGAAAGAATGTTGGATATTTTGGGGTAGGGAAAGAGTCCAATGCCTGCACACTTAAAGCAGAGGATTCCAAATTCATAGTGAGGTCAAAATCCAAGTAATCAAAAATTATAAGAATATTTTTTAACCCACCAAGAAGGAGAGCCCAGGTCAATTCAAGGTGTCACAAAGTAAGAAATCAGCGGTAATTGAAGAATCAGTGCAAAATCAGCAAGTTAAGAGTTTGTCAGCATGCTCAACCATAGCTATTAAGGAAATGAATAAGCAGGTTCCAAAATCTAAAAACAAACAAACAAAAAAACCACCCTGAAACTGAGCAGCTTGCAGTCAGTCCATATATTTTAATTTCATTCTATTAAGAACCAGTTATAAGTGAGTATGATCTAGAAGCCTGCAAATAATGAAAGCTGAAATAGCTTTTGGGAGAGGTGGGTGTAGATTTGGAAACACACCGAGTTCTTTGGTAGGAGCAAGTCTTTGAAAAGAATCAAGTCTAGAAATGTAGATTTGTATTTCCAGAAAATAAGACTAGAGATGTATTTCCAGTTGTTGAGATTCTTAAATAAAATATATATAAGTTTGACTTTTTTCACTCGTAGGCCATGAGAATTTCATTGAAAATTGTTGAGCATTAGTATGATGTTGAAAGAGGGCCTAAGGTTAACAGAAATGTAACTTCATTTTATATGTTTAATATTCTAATATTTTTAGGATTTTTAAAAAGTACACATCTTGTGTATTCAAAACATTTCTAGAACCTATGAAAAGTAGTTTCTTAATAAAATTTATGTTTAGGTTGACTTCTGAATTTGATAATAGGCTTTCTCTCACATTTGGAAGTTATTACCAGGCCTATCTTTCTTGCCGCATTCCTATCCTTGGCATTCAAAACCTAATTCTAAAAAACTACTGTCCGTCAGTTCTTAGGTCTGTCTTTGCAGAGTAGTCTATAAGATTTGTTTGTGAAATATTTGGGGAATGTAACTTGTATAGTTTCTCTGGTATGTGTCTTCAGTTGAGTTCCATGCAGCAGGTGGTCCGGGAGAAAGATGCTCGCTTTGAAACACAAGTTCGTCTTCACGAAGATGAGCTTCTTCAGTTAGTAACCCAGGCAGATGTGGAAACAGATTTGCAACAGGTGTGTTGCTCAAAATCAGTAGAATGATTGCCATCTTGGTTAATGTTTAATCAAGACATCACAGCCACTTGTCAACCATCACGCTTCCCCACTGCTTTCCACTTGGTCTTAATGTGCTCCTTTGTCTTCTTTTTGGTGTCTGTGTCTTCTGTTGCATATCATTTATTTTTTCTTATCCTTACCTTGCCACTTACCCCATCTCATCAGGTTATTGGCACTCTAAAGATGAATATAATTGGAGAATGTATGTGGTAGTCAGAAAATAGTTTCTCTTTGGTTGCAGCTCCCTTCATGAATTAAAAACCTGATCCAAACTTCAAATCAATGAAGTCAGTTTAAACTTTCAAAAAATTGGAGGTGAAAAAGTGATTTTGAAGCTGTGAAGTCTTTTGTTAAGTCAGTAATTCTTTTTTCAAAAGCTCATTGAGTAGATATTTAAAATTGACTTCACTGTATTTGGGTTTGCAATCTACTAACTCACAGGTATTTGTTTTTACTTAGTATGTAGTATGGTGCAGTACTGACAGGCCCTTCAGTGGCACTTTATGTTTGATCTGTTTGTTTTTTGATAAAACTTCTTTCAGGTCTTAAGCAATCCTTCAGAGTGCACCACTAAGTGAATTTCAGAATATAATACTTTGTTAAGTAGAAAACTAATTGTACGTGAGGATGGTATCATATATGGGTATTTTTCAAGTTACTGCCCTGTGCATGAAAGTAGAAGAGGAATGGTTCTTGCCTGCAGAGACTATTCTCTTGGGTGGTTGAGAAATACATGTCACCTATGTACAGGACGTGAACTACATAATTTTGAAAGTGGGTCTGTGTCATTTTCCTTAGTTGTTAGAAAGGCTCCCTAATTCAGGGACTTGCTTACATCTGGTTTGGTTGTTGTCAGTGCTCTGGAGAAGGCCTTTTGGAGAATCTTTGTTGCTGTTGGATGGGGAACATGGCATGCTGGTGTCCCATTCTTTAATCTCTCATCTTCTATATACAAAAATTTAACTGACACTTTGAAAGGCAAGCAAATAATAGTGCTCATTTGTTAGCTCACTATGTCTAAAACATTTTTGTTTCAGAAATTGAAGGTGCTGCAGAGAAAACTTGAAGAACATGAAGAAGCCTTACTGGGCCGTGCTCAGGTTGTGGACTTGCTACAACAGGAGCTGACTACAGCCGAACAGAGAAACCAGGTACTGCCTGTGATCTTTCCTGCCTACCAGGGGAGTATTTATTTCCACTTTAGTTTTGTTAAGACAAAAATTAAGACAAAAGGCACAAGTAAATATGTTTGAGTACAAACCGACAAAAGTGGCTAGAAGCAAAAATATAGGGTCTTGTGGAAGTAGGTTTTGTCCCACATGCCTAACTTCATCCTTTACCTAGAAGAAGCACTTTACTGTGCTAATTGAAATGAAAGAATGTATTTATGACTCATGAGGTTTTATCTTTTTTATCTTAGCTTCTTTCTCAACAGTTACAGCAGATGGAAGCTGAACATAGTACTTTAAGAAACACTATGGAAACAGAACGACAGGAATCCAAGATTCTAATAGAAAAGATGGAACTTGAAGTGGCAGAGAGAAAATTATCCTTCTATAACTTGCAGGAAGAGATGCATCATCTATTGCAACAGTTTGAGCAAGCAGACCAAACCCAGGCTGAGCTGGAGGCTCAGTACCGTGCTTTGGAGCAGAAGCACAAAGCAGAAGTAGAAGAGAAGACCTCTCACATTTTGAGTCTTCAGAAGACTGAACAAGAGCTACTATTGGCCTGTGATGCTCTAAAGGATGAAAATTCAAAGCTTCTCCAAGATAAGAACGAACTGGCAGGCCAGTCAGCCCAGGCCATTCAACAGCTGGAAGGCGAGTATTTATTGATGTTTGAAGGCCACATCTCTAGCCACCTGAGTGGCTTGTACTTCCTATTTTCAGGGGTCAAACCAATTGAATCAATAGAAGGATAAGAAAGGTATCTCTTCTGAACCCTTCATTGTATTTTTCCTGCCTCTGACTGAAGTTATAATTTTTAAAATATTATAATTGCTATAGCACTAAGAACTGGTGATCATGATATTCCAGATGTTGACTAGAATCCTGTGTAAAACATGACGTGATTGGCAGAGCTTGGTGACTGAAATGGGTAGGATTTGAATTAGTTTATGGAAAACTCAGACCAGATTTGGGGACATAAGTAGGGCTACTGAATTGCATGGAGTCATCCTTAAACCTAAAGATGGGCCTTAGTGCTTTTCTTATATGTAAATTTTTTTAAATGAAAACCTTTGTTTAATGAAAGCTAAGTACATGTAAAGAAAACTTTAAAAAATATGTTGTTATGAAAATAATTATATTCCTCTTAAACAATTTGGACATTTTAGAAGTTTCTAAATTAAAGAAGTTAAACTCCCTCATTACCAAAAATTCCTTCCTTAATTATGACCTCTACTGAGAGATGGGTGTATCTAAGGAAAGATTTTAGGAAAACTAAGTTGAAAATTTGTACCAAGGAACTGAATATTACCCAGAAAGCACTAGGGGCATTACATAGGAACAGAGTGACTCAGGAGCACACAGTCCTCTTCAGTGAACCCAGCTATGGAATCTTTTTCTTTTGGATTTTTGAGACAGGGTTTCACTATGTAGACTAGACTGGCCTTGAACTTGAGATCCTCCTGCCTCAGCCTCCCTAGTGCTGGGATTACAGGTGTGTGCCACATTGTCTACTCTTGCTGTGGAATCTTGATAGAACTTTCTACTTAAGTGAAGAGTGAAGAAAATAAAATATAAGCCACTAAAACCATTTTCAAGGAGAAAAGGAAAAGTAAACTTTAAAAAAAATTCTAGGCCTATTTATTTTTCTTGACACATGTAAATTAACATCAATAGGATCCGTGTGATATCTCCAGACCTACATACAGAATGCACTGATTATATCCAGCTACCCTTCTTTCAACCCCACTTCCCCCTTATACCATCACACACACCCTTCCCAGTCCTTAGTAAATTACTATTCTACTTTCAGGTTGACTATTTTGGTTTTCACATATGAAAGAGAACATGTGGTACTTGTCTTTCTGTATCTGACTTATTTCATATACCATGTAAGTTCCATCCACTTTGTTGCAAATGGCAGGATTTCATTTTCATTTATGACTGAATAATACTCCTTGTGTTTATTTTACCTTTGAAGGAAGTAGTTTACTGAGGTACCCTTTTGTCCTTGAGATACCACTTCTATTTGTTTTGTTTTCTTTAGATCAACTCCAGCAAAAAGCCAAAGAAATTAACCAATTTCTAAATAAAACAACCTTGCAAAAACATGAAACAGCATCTCAGACTTCTTTCTCAGATGTTTGTGATGAAGGCACACAGGTAATTAAATGTGAATTTCTTATGAGTATGATCTGTTTAGCTTATTTCTTCTTGGGGACACTAATGAGGATTTATTGCAGATAGCAGTATAAACCTTTTATCTTTTCTCCTTGATAAAATTATTTTTGAGGGGATGATTCTATTTGAAAGGAATCATAAAAGGCAGTAATGCAGTGTTTCAACAAGGAATAATGAGAAAATAATAGATAACAAGCATCATGATCTCAGGAGCCTTTTGATTCTAAGGTCTTAAAAATGTATATTGGAGATGAATTATTATTTTTCCTTTTAAATCAGTTTTTCCAGTTTAGAAGTCAGCTTCGGTTTTGGTAGACTGAGAGGTGATCAGGTTTAATGTGCATAAGTCAGTCTAAACAAACTTATAACTATTATAGAAATCATATTGCTTCCATTAAATTTAATTAAAAAAATTAACTGCCAAATGACTGCTGATTGGTCAGCATATTCTCTCTTCTCCAAAAATCTCTATGGAAAGCTAGGTTATACTCACCATAAGTTACTTATTCAACATAAATATCAGAGCAAAGGGAGTTAGTTCAATGATCTTTGTTGACTATAGCCTAGCTGGGATAAGTGGATTCATCCAAACTGACAAGATCTATTAGATAAGAATCCCGTTATCCCTGGGCAGTGCTGTGCACTGATAAAAAAAATAATAGCTTCTTTGTTTCTAGTATATAAGCTTTCCAATCTCATCTATTGTCTCATCCTCATTCCTCCAGTGTTTTATTAAGATCTCTTCCAATCATTCAAATAAATTGAAACCAGTTTATAGTGAATACCTGCTAGGTTCTGTACATATTTGCTTTATCACCCTTCTGTCCATTTATCTACCTCTCTATCTGTTCATCAGTTCATCTTAAGTTTTAACATTTCACAGTAAATTGTAGACTTCAGTACATTTCTCTGTAAATATTTTAGCATGCATATCTTTCACTAGATTTCAATATTTGTTTACAGTTGAGGAATTCTTTGCAACCATTAAATGTGTAAATTTAAGTATACCATTGGGTTTTGTAAAATGCATATACCTATGTTAGCCAAACCCTGCTAAGGTATATCATGCTTCTATCACCCCACAAAATATCCTCATGCCCTTTTGTAGTTCACCCACACTTCCCCTCCAGAGTTAACTACTATTCTGTTTTTTTACCATAGATTAATTTGACCTGTTTTATAACATCATAAAATATAATCATATAATATATGCCCTTTTGTGTAAAGCTTCTTTCACTCAGCAGATTTTAAGATTCATCCACATTGTAGCATTCATTCTTTTCTATTTCTAAGCATTTTATTTTTATGAGTATACTGCATTTTCCTTTTGTATTTTTGTGCTGTATTTTCCTATTGATGGACACCTGAGCTTTTTCAGGTATGAATTAAGCTGCTATGAACAATCTCATGTGAATTTAACATATATGTTTTCATTTATCTTTAGTAAATACTAGTTGGTGAATTGCTGGGCAGTATAATATATTTAACTTTATAAAGAACTGCCAGATCTTTTTCCAAAGTGGTTGTATCATTTTATTCTCTGTATTAAAATAGATGAAAACTCCAATTTTTCCACATTTTCTACCAGATTTGGTGATTTAAAATTTTAGACAGTCTAGAGTAGTTTTAATTTGCATTTTCCTTATGACAAATTATGCCAAACATTTTTTTCGTAAGATTCTTAGTCATCTGTATGTCTTCTTTTGGTAAAATGTCCATTTTTTTGCATTGAGTTCATTGTCTTCTCATTATCAAGTTGTAGGCATTCTTTATGTACATTGAATGTAAATCTGTTATCAAATATGTGTGGCAAAAGTTTTTCCCATGCTGGGGCTTTTCATTTCATTATGGTGGCTTTTAATATTAAATAGCACACATTTAAAATTTTTGATGATGTCTATCATTCATCAAATTTTTATGGCTTTGGTTTTCTGTGTCCTATGAAACCTTTCCTTAATCCCAAGTCATGAAGTCTGACATTTTCTTCTACAATCATTATGGTTTTAGCTTTCTCAGTTAAGTCTGTGAACCACAAATTTTTGTGTATGTTGTTAAGTCAGGTTTTTAATTAACATCCAATTGTTGTAGCATCATTTCTTGAAGAAGCTTAACTTTTCCTCCTTGTATTGCTTTGATACCATTGGTAAAACCCAAGATTAGTAGGTCCACTTATAAACTTTCTGTTCTGTTGTATTGATTTGTTTGTCAGTCAGAGTCCCAGTATCATCACATTGTCTTCATTGTTATAGTTTAGTTAATCTTAAACTCAGGTAGTATAAGTACTTTGACATTTTTCTTCTTTTCAAGATTGCTTTCCATTATTCCATGTGCTTTGCATTTCCATTTAAATTATACAGTCAATTTCTCAAATTCTATGGAATTTTTAATTGGTACTGTATTATTGATTGATCAATTTAAGAATTGACGTCTTTTTGAATATGTAAATACAGTATAGCTCTTCATTTATTTCAATTCCCCCTACCCTGGTGTGCAGATCAAATTAGGGCCTTCTGTATTCAGATCTTTAATTTCTTTTGGCAGTGTTTGTGGTTTTCATTGGAAAAGTGTGCATTTCAAAAATTTATTCCTTTTACTTCAAATCCCAGCACTGCCAAAAAATTTATTCCAAAATAGTTGGTATTTGTGATGCTATTGTAGATGGAATTATTTTAACTTCATTTTCCAACTGTATATAAGTACACAATTGAATTTTATTAACCATATATTTGTGAACTTGGTAAATAATTTCATTTTATTAGCTCCAGTAGTTTTTGTAGATTCTTTAAGATTTTTCTACGTAATCATGCCATCTGCAAATAAAGACAAGTTTTTATGTCTTTCTGATCTTTACGCCTTCATTCTATTATTTAATAGAAGTGATGAGACTAGACCTTCTTCCATTGTTCCTAATCTTAGAGGAAAAAGTTTCACATTTTACCTTTAGCTCTGATACTAGTTTAAGTTTTTCATGAATGTTCTTTATGGTTTGAGGACATATTCCTTTCTATTCCTAGTTTGCTAAGAATTGGTATTCAACTTTGTCAAATGTGTTTTTTGCATTTATTGAAATGACCATATAGTTTTCTTCTTTAGTCTGTTAATATGGTATAGTATTTTAATTTTTGAATATTAAGACAGCTTTGCATCATTGGAATAGATACCACTTGGTCATGAAGTATTATCCTTTATATATATTATTGAATTTTATTTGCTAATATTTTATGAAGGATTTTTGTATCCATGTTTATTAGTGATGTTGGTCTATAATTTTCTTGTTGTTTTGGAATATCTTTCAGATTTTGGTACAGTATTAGAGTTAGGACAGCTTCATAAAATGTTCCCTTTTCTTCTATTTTCTGAGAGTATTCTTTTTTCTGAGTTTATGTATGGTTGTTATTTCTTCTTGGGTGTTTGAAAGAATTCATCAATAAAACCATTTTGATTTGTAGTTGTAACAAGATTTTTGATAATGAATTTCTTTTATAAATATAAAGCTAATAAGATTTTCTTCTTCATCCTGTATCAGTTTTGGTTTGTTTTGATATTTTGTCCATTTTGTTGAAGATGCCAAATTTTTGTCACAATGTTGGTTATAATACTATCTTTTATTGCCTATAAGCTTTGTAATTGTACAAACCTCTGCCTTGATCCCTGTTATTTGCCTGAATTGGCCTTAAACCTTGACCCTCCTGATCTGTGCTTCTGGAGTAGCTGAGTTTACAGGTATGCACCTCACTCCTGGTCCTTGAGGATTTTTGTGATTTTCCTTGTAATTTCTTCTTTGACCATGAATTATTTAGAAGTATGTTGTTTGAAATCAGGTGTGATGGTGCACACCTGTGATCTCAGCACTGAGAAGGTGGAGGCAGGAGGATTAGCCAGACCCCGTCTCAAACAAACAAAAACAGAAGTGTGTTGTTTGATATTCAGATATTTGGTTTTGTTTCTAGGTATTTTATCATTATTTCTAATTTAATTTCAGTGGATCAGAGAATATGTTCTGTACTTCAGTCCTTTGAAAGTTATAAAAACTTGTTGTATGGCTTCTATTTGATAATTTGAAGTTTTTAAAATTTAATCTGTTGACTTCTTTTTCTTCTAAATAGCTATTTAAAGTGTACATTTAAGGTATATAATTTGATGTTTGATATGTATAACCCATGAAATCATCACCACTATCAAGAAAATGGACATATTAATAATCTTCAGAAAATTCCTTATTTCTTCTTTAATCTCTCCACATCTTCCCCCACCCAGAACACCACTGATCTCTGTCATAGGTTAGCTTTTATTTTTTAGAATTTCATAAGATATATTTATCTTTTTTGGCTTCTTTTACTTAGCATACTTTTCTGAGATTTATCCTAAAGTATGTAGCAATAATTCTTTCCATTTTATTGTTGAGTACATTTTACATATTATAATTTGTCTCTTCATTTACTTATTGATGTGTAATTTGAGTTGTTGCCAGATTTTGCTATTGTAAATTAAGCATCTTACTTATCTTTTAAGGTGATTCAAATAATGAGAAAATAAATCTTGACTGGATTTACAGTTCCCATTTCTGGTACTTTTCATTGGGGAGGGATGTAGTAAATCACTGTTTGGTGGTCTTTTCTATAAAGGGCCAAATGTTTTAGACTTTGTGGGCTACACAGTCTTTGTTGCAGCTACCCAACTCTGCCATTGTAGAGCAAGAGCAGACAGAGTAAAAGTAAACAAATGGTTTTGATGTGTTCCAGTGAAATTATTTATTACAAGTGGAAGGGCTCCAAATTTGCTAAACCCTGCTTTCATGTTTCTAATTGGTTTCATTCTTTGTAAAGGACCTCCTTAACTGTGGCATGTCCTTGTTTGTGTGTACATGTATGCATGTACGTATGTGTGTGTTGTACATGCATGCACATGCACTAGTCTCTTAGTGATGGATTCTTAGAACTCATATTTCTAAAGACATCTTTATCTCAGCCTTGTTTTAAGATATTTTTGCTGACTGTAGAATTCTACTTTGTCCATTTTTTTCTTTCAGTACTTTAAGGATATTACCCTGATGTCTTCTGTTGCACTTGGTGTTAACAACAGATCTACTGTCATCATCTTTTTTTTTTTTTCCTGGCTGCTTTTAGGATTTTATCACTGTTTTTGAGCACTTTGGTTATAATGTGCTTTGACATAGGTTTTATCATATTTCCTGTGCTTGAGGTTTGTTGAGCTTTTTGAATATCAGAGTTTAATGTTTTCATCAGTTTTAGAAAATCTTCTACCATTAACTAGTCTTTTTTTTTTCTGATCATGGCTGACCTTTAGGAACTCCAGTTGCACATAAATTAGTTGTTTCAGTGCTCATCAGCACTGCTTCAAATGAGTTATTTGTTGGTTTCTATCTCTCTGTAAATTCACTAATCTTTTCTCTTGCAGTGTCTAATCTTGTCAGTCTCGTCCAGTGTGTTTTGTCAGTCTCCAATGTAGTTTTTTTTCTCCCAGTCTTGTTTGAGCTTTTAAAAAAAAATTCTAAGTTTTAATTTGACTGTTTTGCATGGATAAGAATGAAATTTTAATATCTTTTCATGTCCTTGTTTTTGTTTGTTTGTTTGTTTTGATAGGGGAATCTCACTGTGTTGCCCAGGCTGGCCTTGAACTCACAATCTTCCTGACTCAGCCTGAGTGCCTGAGTGCTAGGATTATTAGATGTGCACCATCATGCCCAGCCCTATCTTTTAATTCTAACATCTGTTTCAGTACTGGGTCTGTTTCAGTTGGTTGATTCTCTTCCTTATGGCCTATATTTTCTGGCTTCCTTGAATGCCTCAGCATCTTTGATTGTCAGACACTATGGATGCTAAATATCTTCATATCTCACATAAATATTTTGAAGCTTTTTAATGGGAAGAACTTGATCATTTCATATCTTGCCTCTTTGACGTGAACCCTTTTGGGTTCAAATCAGTGCTGAGTCATTCTGTACTACTGAAGCAAGGCACCTTGTTACTCTATGCCCTGTGCAGCGTCATTGCCTGTAGAACTGGCACCCTAACAGGCCTTTATGAGCACCAAGAGCTGTTCCTTATCTCTCCAATTAGATATCTGGTTTGGGGTAGTTCAGGTAGCCTCGGACAGGTTCCTCACATTCATGTACTGTCGCTCTGTACTCTCCTGAATTCTTATTGAGGTATGTTCTATGTGGTATTCTATTCTGTGAACTCAGGTTGTCTTGCTCTCCCTTGACTTTTAGCTGTACCTCCTCAACTAAGGGAGTCAGTCAGGCTCTTCCTCGGTTCTCCCTTTTGGGGGCAGACAGCACAGAAACTCATTTAAGGCATTAGCTTCTAGAACATACAACTCTTCACTTTTCACCTCTCTTAGAGCTAATACTGTACCACTTCACTTAAAAGTATAGAAACCCTGTAATCATATGCCCTCATTCTATACTTTATGTGATAGCTACTGTATGTATTTAAAGACATTATGGGGAAGATACCAACTTTAATATTTATGATCAAGTTCCCATCTGGTATCATTTTCCTTCAGCCTCTGGAAACCCATAGTATTTGGGGGGATTTTCTTTTTTCTTACCTAAAAATGTTTTTTAATGCTTTATTTATTTTTGTGATACTGGGGCTTGAACTCAGGGCCTCACACTTGCTAGGCAGGTTCTCTTCCACTTGGGCTCTACTCCTAGCCCCTTGCTTTTATTTTTTAATTGTATTCGTTACTAGATCTATATAAATCTGGATTAGTGGTTTTTCTCTCAGGACATTAAAGCGTGTCCTGAGACATGTTCCCCTATATCCCTACCTCAACAATTCTTTATTCATCATTCAAATTATTGTTCTTCTATATGGACAGTAGTATTTTTCAGTTAAGCTTTTAAGACTTTTCTCTTTATCATTGTTGTTGTGTACTTAGTTGTGGTTTTCCTTGCCATTTTCTTGCTTTGGTTGCGTTTCTTATATATATATAACTTTATATTTGGGAAAAATTTGGGTCATTTCTTAAAATAATTTTTCTGCCCATTCTTCCCTTCCTCTCTTCTGATGACACTCTATTTCCAAATATATTGAACTGTTAATTTTGTCCCACATGTCTCTGAGGTTGTGTTCTTTTTTTTTTTTTTTTTTCTTCAGTCTTCAGATTGGATAATTTCTGTTGATCTGTCTTCAAGTTCACCAAGTATTTCTTCTGGCACGTACATTCTACTATTAAACTTATCCACTGAATTTTTCATTTCAGGTTTTCTGGCTTTTTGTTTCTAGGATTTTAAAGTGGTTCATTTTATAGTTTCTTTGACTGCCCTAAGAGGTCCTATCTTTCATTCAGTGTGAGCATATTCATTTATGCCCTTAGCATAGTTTTAATAGCTTCTTTAATAATCCTTGCTCATTGATCTCAAATTTTGTGTCATTTTAAGGTTACTTCTTGATTGCATGTTTTTTCTTGAGAACAAATCAGATTTTCCTGTTTCTTTATTTGATGAGTGATTTTGTATTGAAACTCAGATGTTGTGAATGTTTTGTTCGGGAAACTAGAATTGAAACTATTTAGAATAAATTAGTTTTAAATAGTTTCAATTACATTTTATAAGTAATATCTTGAATATAACTATAAACTCTGGCGTATGATAGAGAGCCACTCAAAACTCAGTAATATGTCTTAAATCAGTTGCTTTGTGTCAATCCCTTCATCGAGAAATTTGGGCTAAGCTTATACAGAGAATTTAGGACTCCTCTTCATTGATACTCCTCCTTGTCCATCTGATTCTTCTCACATTCTGGCAGCTTTGTTTGTCCCAAAATCTTCTTCTCATTCTTCAAGCCAGAATACCTGTGGCTATTTTATTGGACTTTTACTTGGCTTGTATAAGGCAGCTTAGGATCTACCCTCTGGATAATAGCCATAAAAACCCTAAACTTATCCCTTGCTATTTCCTTAATCATCAAATGTAGGCTTGTGGTCAAGTATGCTATTAAAACCCTTATGGCTTAAAAACTCCACAATTTGGGCTACAGGCATGGCTTAAATGGTAGGACCCTGAATTCAAACTCTACCTACCACCAAAAAAAAAAAAATTCCATGATTCTACAAAAAATTGTATAGAATAATCTATTTGGAAAAGAAAAATGCAGAAAAACTTAAAGCTAAGCATGTGGCATAATTAGATATATGATTATAATTAGAGAAACCAGACATTCTAGATATGTAAATTAAGTAGAAGAGAGTTTTTCTTATACATTGAAAAACTAAAACAAAAAACGACCTTTCCTCCTTTGTCTCTGTTCTTCCTGAGGAGCCTTTCTCATGTTCACTCTCCTTCAGGATACAGACCTGTTGCTTGGTGGCACTAATCGAATCTTACATTGTTTATGAGCCTAAAAAATGTTCTTTTATTTGCAGTAAACTTGACATTTCTATCTTTGTAATCCAGGCTTCAGTCTTATATTCAAAAACTAATGAACTGGAAATATGTTTGAAATATTTTCTCTTTCTTCAGGTTTAAAAAAAATTCTCAAAGATTATCTAGGCTGATAAGTAGATGCTGTTTTTAAAGTATTCTCATGGCTGGAGAACTTTTAGAAGCCAAAAATGCTAGAGACCATCTGGACCTTAGTATGAGAGTTTTTTCACTGGAGAATCATTAATTTGTTGTCTTTCTACAATTTAGGCAATCACTGAGGAGAATATTGCCTCTTTGCAGAAGAGAGTGGTAGAGCTAGAAAATGAAAAGGGAGCCTGGCTCCTTAGTTCTGTAGAGCTGGAGGAACTGAAAGCTGAGAATGGTATGTATAAATGGAAACCAGAATTCTGTCTTCTTACCCCACAAGTGCCCCTACTCTATCACTATACATCTATACCATGTAGATTTTTTAATTCTATAATAAAGATCTTAGAAAACAGAGCTGGTAGTTATCAGAGATAAGATTAATATATACTAAATAATTAGAGCATAATACCAGTGTTTACATAAGTATAATATTTTGCAATATGAGCTACAAATGCTGCAAGGTTTTGTGTAATTTATAATCATTTGAAAATGGTCAAGGTATCTTCCAGGAACTATGACTTGAATTGAACTTTTAAAAGATGGAAATTTTTAGTAAGCAGAGCGAGGTGAGAAAGGACATTATTGGTGATAAATTTGTGAAATGAGATAACAGAAATCAGTATAAACAACAGTTTAAAGATAGGATTCATTTTGATTTTTGTACATGCTGATACCTTGCTTAGAATCTTACCCCTTTCCTTCAGTCCAGCTATTCATCTTTCAGGCCTCAACCAAGACATTATCTTTTTCAGGAATTCAGCCCTGAATTAATCTTGGGTTAAATGCATTTTCAGGCTTCTATAGTATTCTTGCATATCTTTTAATGTTGTATTAGAATGGTCTGTATTATAATTTGTCTTTTTACCAAATTATAAACCCTTCAATAATAAAGTATAAACTCTTTAATGGCAGAGACCTTTTTTAAAAAAAATCTTTTACCCAGAACTAGTACAGTACCTGGCAAATGATGACTGCTAAATTTATTGGATTGAATTGCCTATATTAGTATTTTATTCTATTGGACTGCTTATGAACAGTAAGACGAAAACAGATCTCCTTCCATTTATCATCTGCTTCACAAGGGCCTTATATGGGGTTAGTAGCATATAATTAATAATGCTCTACTGATGTAATTTATCCTGGCTTAGCTGATTACTATGCTTTGTCTCCTAGGAGTAAGAATGAATACCAAGTAAAGTTTGTATAATCTTTTATTAAACTCTAGAGCCAATATTTCCAACTTAACTATATTACAGCTTTTCACTTAGCTCTGAACTGGCAATTATGCACCTTTATTAACCATTTCCACCACTGCTAGTAAAGAAGGCCACAATTCAGCTCATAATTTAACTCACTCAGAGCACTTTTTTGAGTCCTATTGGTATGTTCATTTTGCAGTTTTGCAAACGGTTCCTATCCTGTTCATTGGTTTGGAGGTGTTATATAAGTTCCATTCTCTTTCCTGAAAGAATCATTGGCTGTAAGGTTTTCTATATTGGCTTTTGTGTCTGATCTCATAGATTACTTTGCTTTATGTGTTATTATTCTATTTGACTCACTTTTTGCATTGCCATTTTTACCACTGTATCCATTCCTCAAATAATCTTGTGAAGTATCTGTAAATATTATATATATTGGCTTGAATTCATTTGTTTCATGAATATTCTTTCCTTCATTCATACAGAAGGAATGTGTGATGCCTTTCCTAGGTGTGAGGTACTATTTGAGTTGCTGAGGATGCAGCTATTAATATATTAGAGGGGAAGATGGGCCATAAATATCCATATAAATCTAGAACATTTTAGCTAGGTGTGATGTGGTACATCCTTGTAATCATAGCACTCGAGAGGCTATGGCAGAAGGATCATGAGTTTGAGGCCAGCCTGGGCTACATAGTAAGAAAATGGGAAGGGAAAGGAAGGGAAGGCACAGGGAAAGGAGGGAAAGGAAGGCAGAGGGAGAAAGGGAGAGAGAGAGGGAAGAAGGAAAACTTTCAAAGAATACTAAGTATTAGGATAAAAATAAAAGAGTGAACTGCAAGTATGCCCAGAGAAAGGGGAAGGCAGTATCAGAGAGGTCAGGGTAGGCCTCTCTGGTGACTTGAAACATGAATAATGAAGAGGGACAGCCATGATAAAAGCATTTTAAGCAGAAAAAGAAGCAATGCAAATGCCCCAAGGTGGGAATGAGCTTGATACTTTGCAGAACAAAAAGAAGGCCAGTGTTTTTGTAGTACAGTAAACAAAGGAGCAGTGCAAGAAGAGGAGGTTAGAGAATAAGTGGAGTGAAGCATGACGGCCCCTGTAGATCATGTTAAGACATTTGTTTTTTACAAAACAACAAAAATGCTACTTTTTTTTCCTTTAGTACATTTAGCTTATTAGAAAGGATGTAATCTTCTTGAGGATATTAATGTCAATGCTCAATATTTTGATCTTTTGATCTTCCAAGGTATTATACCCTTTTAGATATATACATTGGTAAGACCTGGATTTTTACCCTATTCTCTGTAAGCTAGCTGTTTAACTTCCTCACATCATGCCATTTCTCTGTCTCTTCACTTGGTCATTGAGGAGACTGGATCGCTCCCTTTTAGTGCTAAGATTTAATGTCTTTGTGGATATAGGTAAAAGAAAATTGAGGACATTGTAAATGCTATATTCATGCAAAGTGTATACAATGAACACAGTAAAATTATGGATAAATTAAGATTTGTTGCCGTAGGCGTTCCAGATTATACCGTAGAATTGACTGCTTCAAGCCTTCCATGGTGGTTCAGTACACTTTGCAAGCTCATCACCACCACCTAGTTCTATTGTATCCAATATTTCATCTTATTACCTTGCCACTTCCTTATTTTAATAAAATAAGCTGTCTCCCCCAAAGTATTTCTTTCTTCTTGATTATTTCATGCATGTCAAATAGCCTCACATACAATCATGTTTCTGTTTTTTTAAACCCTACATACATATTTTCTAAAGATTTTATTTTGTGACTTTCAGAAAAACTGTCTTCTCGGATTATTCTCTTAGAGGCTCAGAATAAAACTGAGGAAGCAGACAGTGAGGTTCATGGGGTAAGTGATGCATTCTAATATGACCAGAATTAGAACTAGATTAAGAGGAGATAGCTTCAAATCTAAATATTTCTGCAGTTTCCTAGTGCTGACAAAGTACAGAAGTACATTATTCATGAAGTGAGACCTATTAGAGATTCATAATGGTTAAAATTTCTTATTTTCTCACGTTTCTAAATATTTAGCATTCTTCTTCTTTTTTTGGTGGAACTGGGGTTTGAACTCAGGGTTTCATGCTTGCAAAGCAGGTGCTCTACCACTTGAGCCAATCTGCCAGCCTCTCTAAATATTTGGCTTTCTTTGTCCTAAGGCAACACAAGTACAGTAGCCACTGTTTTGTTCATCTCAGAGAATTTTCTCAATAGAGATTAGATAAAAATCTCTTGGGTTGGGCATGGTAGTACAGGTCTGTTATCCCAGCACTCGGGAGGCTGAGGCAGGAGGGTTGCAAGTTTGAGGCCAGCCTGAGCTACAGAGGAAACTCCTGTTTCAAACACAAAACAAAACCCCTTGGGTTCCCCACACACCCCAGCTGGCACAGTTTTACTCAAGATTATATAAAAAGGGTGTGTTTGGAAAATGGTTCTTTTTATAACCTGAAAAATTATAAGAAACATGATTGCTATAAAGTTATTGTTAGCTGTATTATGTTTAAGTAGCTCTGTTCTTCAAACCAATAAATCAGTGGTAAAATCATAAATGACTTTGAAGAACAATGTAGCTTCTTAACAGAAGTATCTGGTTACTTACTGTATTAGGATTCTCCAAGAGAGATGAACTCAATAGAATGTATGCATAGATTTATTTTAAAGAATTTATTCATTTGGTTGAGGAGATTGACCAGTTCAAAGCCAGCAGGAAATCTCACCCAGGGAAGAATTTTGAAGTTTTAAGTCCAAAGGCAGTCAGTACATTAGCAGAATTCACTCTTTTTGAAGGAGGTCAGTCTTTTTCTGTTAAGGCCTTCAACTGATTGGATGATGCCCACCCACATTAGGAGGGTAATCTGCTGTACTTAAAATGTACTGATTTAAATGTCAGTGTTACATTGAAAAGCACAGAGAGGTAGACAAAGAGATGTCTCACCATCAGCACAAGTTTATTCAGGAGAAGAAACCTGCAGAGGGGGTCTCTAGTAACAGAGCTAGAGCCCACTGCTGCTTACAGACTGGGGATTTTATAGAAAATGAAAGAGCTGGTAAAAGGTGTGAGGGATTTCCATTGTAGCTTGTTCATTGTCTTTTGCTAGGAGTAGTCAAGAAACTAGGTCTTGTGTTTTGGTAAAGGCACTGGAAAACAGGACATTTCAGCCCCAGACTGATGGCAGCTGGTGGGTGGTCAAGGAGCTAGGTTTTTCATCTGTCGTGAGGCATCAACTGCAGACACCACCGCAGGAAAGTCAGTAGCTCCTGGGCCCTGGGCTCTCCACCACCCTGCCTGCCAAGCTTCTGCTTTGTCCATCCATTTTCCCCACTGCCCCCTACACACCCAGCTCCCAAGCTCTTTGCTAAAGAAATCACACTCCATCTCTAGCTCCTATTTCCCTGGAAATTAAAATAAGCCCAGAGTCCAGAGTAAATGCAGGTTTTATGAAGGCCACATCCTTGGGGGGGACATGTCAGGAGGATGCTGGCCCCTGACCCCTCCAAGATTCCCACCCTGCCAGACAGGGCAGCATGTACGGTGGATTTCTGTAGGGAGCGCATGCTGGTAAGATACAGGCTCAGAACCTTATTAGCCCAAAAGCCAGTAATACTGTGATTCAGATCACTTGTGTGCCCATTAAACTGTCTAGAAATGTGGGAAAAAAAAAAAAAAAGGAGCTAGGTCTTGTGTTCTGGCACAGGTACTGGGAAACAAGTTTCCCCTGGGAGTCCATCTCTAGGGTCAAGCAGAATTTAAGATGGCATAGTGATGTCAAGTTGACACCTAACAGTTAATGCCAACTAAAAATACCTTCATAGAAACATTTAAAACAATGTTTGACCAAATACCTGTGCACCATCATCTAGCCAAGTTGACTCATAAAATTAATCATCACATTTATATGCAATAGTTTTTTGGGGGGCCTCTTCACAAAATTGTCAAAAGGAGACAAAATTTTGAAAATTATAGTATTATATGGTTATTGACAAATGTTGAATTCAGAGTAAAAATTAATTTTGTTTGGCCAAGGGAATGCTTAATGTTTTAACATGCTCGGCAATGGTATCACTGGAAACAAGGTAACATGGTTTTAAAAAGAAGAATAGATAAGAAATCGGGTAAGAAAAAGAAAAATAAAACCACTAGAAAACAAACAGGGAGCAATGGAAAAGTAAGGGGGAAAAATAAAAAACACCCCCTCAGAAATTGCAAAAGAAAAGGTGACTGATATTATCCTTTGGGATAAAAGAGAGTTAGTAGAAAAGGTTCACAAAAGAGGAAGCTCAGCCCAAAGAGAAAGCATGATGAGAGTGGCCAGAAAGAGTGAAGTTCTCTGTCTCTCTGACTTTTCAGTATGGAATGACATGGATTCCTTAATCCAAAAAGTGATTTGAACCCTGTAGGTATCCTAGGGAACAGAAGGGACATGACCAAAGGAAGGAAGAGAGCAAACAAATGACATGAAAGATAGGAAAGAGGAAATAACAATATGGTGGGTGAGAAAAACAAAATAGAGTTGGTTACATTGAAGTCCTCTGGCAGAAATGATGCCTTTGACTGTGTCAAGTCTTTCATATTTGTAGGGATGGATAGAAACATAAAGGAACTTTTTCCATGTGCTTAAATATTGTGCTCAGTTTTTACCTTTAGAAATTTGAGTATGGTATATAGGTAATACAGAGAGCAAAAAATTTTAAAAGATTAAAATAGTGGTTATGAAAAATGATGAGGTAACTTTTCTAAAGATAATGAATAATTCTAAGACAATGAATGTTTTGTTACTCAGTAGCTGAGCATACCAAGATAGTAGCTGGTATCTATTGAAAACTTACTGTGTGCCAGCTTCTGCTAGTAAATGGTAGGATTAAGATGTACAAATGCAGAACTTGTACTCCTGGTCATTCATCTTTAACAGTTCTATGTTTGTTAATTTTTGGCTGTTTTTTTCTCCCTCATCAAGTTAGAATTTTTTTCCCAGGATTGGGGGAGAACTGGTGTTATTGGCAGAATTGGAGATTTTACTGTGTAGCCTGATTTAAAATACATTTAATAAAAATGCTAATTGAATTTATCATGAGATTCACTGATTTTCTTTCCTCAGCAAACAATTGCAGAGATAATTTGTATGGATTAAACAGCCTAATACAATAATCTTTGTAATAATTTGACCTATATTTTGCTGAACAAGTCCATAATTTTCTGCTGAAGCACCAGCAGAGCTCCTTTTTGATTATTTGACCCTGATACTTTATCTTAATCTACTTGTTTGATAATCTACTTGTTTGTTGATGCAAATTTATCTAATATTTGCAACTTTATTTCACTGACTAATTAGGAAAAGGAATCCCATAACTTCTTGTTTGGTATGGGATGAAATGAAGATTTAACACATTTCCTGCCCCTCTTTTTATTTTTATATATATTTTTTGACAGTACTGGGGTTTGAACTTAAGCCATATGCCAGCCCTCTTTTTGTCTTTAAGCAATTCTTATTTTGCATGCTTAGTGGTATTTTGCTTTCTTGTGGTGCTGAGTCTTGGGCCTTGAGCATGCTAAGCAAGTGCTTTAGTCCTTTAAGTAGTTCTTAGGAGAAACAATTAGCAATTTTAATCTAAAGGAAGAAAGCTTACCACATAAGGAATATCTAGAAAATGAATCCCAAGTTTCCTTAGGTTTTATGAATAGAACTTAACCTCACTATGGGATTGACAGAATTCCCTTAAAGGTTCATTTTTGGAGCTGCAAAATAAAAACTGATTTTTAAAAAGATTTAGTTTTCTGGTATAAAGGAGGTTTGAGCCAAAACATTTCAGGTTTTGGAAAGTGTATGAAATACCAATATTTAGTTAGGCTTTTAAAAAAAATTATAAAACATTTGATTAAGGCTTTTTCTTTCTTTTCTTCTTTTTAATAGCTCAGTAGGGTTGATACCACCATGTTCAACAATAGCAGCTCTTCTACCGAGAAAAGTGGGCAAGATGTCCTAGAGAACACATTTTCTCAGAAACAAAAAGAACTATCAGTTTTACTGGTGGAAATAAAAGAAGCTCAAGAGGAAATTGCATTTCTTAAATCACAGATCCCAGACAAAAGGGCTGAAGGGGACCATGAAGTCCCTGGCCAGAAAGAAATGAAACAGACTGAGAGTGAGGGAATACCTCCAATTCAAGTGAACATATCTCTTGAAGAAACAGCACAAAATTTTCCCTTAATGCCAAATGAAGAGAGCAGTGTTCCCACAGTTGAAAAAGAGGAACAGGCGGGCACTAAGTATCAACAGAGAACATCTGAGGAAACATCTCTAAGTGACACTGGAATGGAATTGAAATCAACAAAGCGTGACTATATTGATAAATCCTCTTCTGCTGTACCAGATATTGGTCGGTGTCACCAGGAAGAGTTGGAAAGACTCAAAAGTCAAATTTTGGAACTTGAGACAAGCTTGCAGAAGGCAGAAGAAATCTATGAGAAAAATTTAGATGAGAAAGCTAAGGAAATTAGCAATCTAACCCAGCTGATTGAGGAGTTTAAGAAGAATGCTGAAGACACCAGCATCACATTCGCTGCTCTGTCTGAAGAAAGAAACCAGCTTCTTTCTCAGTTGAAGGAACTTAATGTTTTAACTGAACTGAGGGCTCAAGTAAAAGAACTAGAAACCAACCTTGCTGAAGCAGAAAGGCAAAGAAGACTGGACTATGAAAGTCAAACAGCTCAGCACAACCTGCTCACTGAGCAGATTCACAGTCTTCATATAGAAGCCAAATCTAAAGATATGAAAATTGAGGCCTTACAGAAAGAACTGGATGTTGTCCAGCTACAGTTTTCTGAACAGAGTGCACTGATAAAAAGCCTGCAAAACCAGCTGCAGAAGAAGGAAAGTGAAGTGCTTGAGGAGGCAGAACGTGTGAGGGACATCTCAAATAAGATGGAAGAGATTTCACAGGTTCTTTCACAGAAGGAATTTGAAATAGCAAAAATGGATCAGCTCTTACTAGAGAAAAAGAGAGATGTGGAGACCCTTCAACAAACCATAAAGGAGAAGGATCAGCAAGTGACAGAACTCAGCTTCAGTATGACAGAGAAAATGGTTCAGCTTAATGAAGAGAAGTTTTCTCTTGGGGTTGAAATTAAGACTCTTAAAGAACAGCTGAACTTATTATCTAGAGCTGAAGAAGTGAAAAAAGAACAAGTGGAAGGAGATAACGAAGTTATTTCAGGTCTTAAACATAATTATGATGAGTCAAACCCAGCAGGACTAATAAGTAAAGAAGAACTTCAGCATGAATTAGATCGTCTGAAGAAAGAAAGTGAACAGAGAAAGAGAAAGCTTCAGGCAGCTCTTATTAACAGAAAGGAACTTCTACAGAGAGTTAGTACATTAGAAGAAGAATTAGCCAAAGTAAGAGATGAATCTAAGAAAGAGATTCCTCTCAATGAGAGTGAGAGGAAAGAAATGGAGGAAGACAAAGAGAACAAAGAGGACTCCGAAAAATTTTTGACTTCTAAGTGGCAAGAAATAGAAATTTCTTTAAAACAGACAATATCTGAAAAAGAAGTGGAACTAGCACATGTAAAGAAGGATTTGGAAGAAAAGATGGCAGCAGAAGAACATTTACAGGCTCTGATCAAACAGATGAATCAGAACTTGCAAGAGAAGACAAACCAAATAGATTTGCTCCAAGCAGAAATTAGTGAAAACCAAGCAATTATCCAGAAGTTAACCACAGGTACCAAGGACGCTGGTGATGGAGACTCAGCAGCATCTGTAAAAGAAACAGTAATGAGCAGTCCATGTGACACTGGTAATGGAGAACATAGGAAACGAGAAATGGAAAAAAAGATAGTAGACCTTGAAAAAGAAAAGGAGCAACTTCAAAAGAAGCTTCAGGAGGCCTTAATTTCCCGCAAGGTGATTCTTAAAAAGGCACAGGAAATAGAAAGACATTTTAAGGAGGAGCTAAAGCAACAGAAAGATAACTATAATCACTTACAAGAACAGTTTGATGTACAAAGCAAAGAAAATGAGAACATTGGAGACCAACTCAGACAACTCCAGATTCAAGTAAGGGAGTCCATAGGCAGAAAAATCCCAGGCACTGACCAGCAGGAACCTGGCTCTCCCACTGAAGCTACAGAAGAGCCTTTATTCAAAGGCATAGAACAGAGTCCTATGCAACCTATTTTAGAGTCCAACTTGTGCCCATCCTGGCCTTCTTATCCTGTAGATGCAAATGCTCTACAGGTTAAAAATTCTATTGCCCAGATTAAGATCCACCTGAAAGAAATACAGGCTAAGAAAGAGGAACTAGAATTGAAAGTTTTCTCTACAACAAGTGAGCTTACTAAAAAGTCAGAAGAGGTATTTCAGTTACAAGAGCAGATAAATAAACAAGATTTAGAAATCCAGAATCTGAAGGCATCATCCTGTGAAGCTGAAGCCTGTGCAGAAAGCCTGAAGCAGAAATTGGAAAGCAGTCAAGTAGAAATTGCTGACCTAAAACATCTAAGAACATTACAACCTGAGCTAGATGAGCTGCAAAAACTCATAAGCCAAAAGGATGAAGAAGTTAGTTACCTTTCTGGACAACTTAGCACGAAAGATGAAACCCTTACTAAAATACAGGCGGAGATAATAGAACAAGAGGATTTAATTAAGGCTCTACATACACAGCTGGAAATGCAAGCCAAAGAGCATGATGAGAGGATAAAGCAATTACAGGTAGAACTTTGTGAACTCAAGCAGAAACCAGAAGAGATTGCAGAAGAAAGTAGAGCAAAGCAACAAATACAGAGGAAACTGCAAGCCGCCCTTATTTCCCGAAAAGAAACTCTCAAAGAAAACAAGAGTCTCCAAGAGGAGTTGTCTTTGGCCAGAGATACCATTGAACGCCTCACCAAATCTCTGGCAGATGTGGAAAACCAAGTTTCTGCACAAAATAAAGAAAAAGACACATTCTTAGGAAGGTTATCTCTACTTCAAGAAGAAAGAGAGAAACTCATTGCAGAAATGGACAGGTCTTTACTAGAAAATCAAAGTCTCAGTAGCTCTTGTGAAAGTCTGAAACTTGCTCTAGAGGGTCTTACTGAAGACAAGGAAAACTTAGTGAAGGAAATTGAATCTTTGAAGTGTTCTAAAATTGCTGAAACCACTGAGTGGCAAGAGAAACATAAGGAATTGCAAAAAGAGTATGAAATTCTTCTGCAGTCTTATGAAAATGTTAGTAATGAAGCAGAAAGGATTCAGCATGTGGTAGAAACTGTGAGGCAAGAGAAGCAAGAACTGTATGGCAAGTTCCGAAGCACAGAAGCCAGTAAGAAAGAGACAGAAAAGCAGTTGCAGGAAGCTGAACAGGAAATGGAGGAAATGAAAGAAAAAATGAGAAGGTTTGCTAAAGCTAAACAACAGAAAATTTTAGAGCTGGAAGAAGAAAATGATCAGCTTAGGGCCGAGGCACACCCTGAGGGAGGTACAGCTAAAGAACGTATTGAAGCACTTCTTTCTTCCAATTCCAGCATGAAGGAAGAACTAGAAAGGGTCAAAACTGAGTATACAACCCTGTCTAAGGATTTTGAGGCTTTAATGACCGAGAAAGACATTTTAAGTGAAGAGGTTCGAGATTTAAAGCATCAGGTAGAAAGCAATGTATCTAAACAAGCTAGCCTAGTGGCCATTGAGAAACCTGATGACCAAAAGGACATCATTGAAGAGGCAACACAGGCTGTGCCTAGTGAAACTCAAGAGCAAGACTCTCTGAGTGTGAACACAGAGCCTGAGGATTCCAAAGCTATTATATTAGAGAACAGTGCCAAGCCTGACATTAGTGAGAATTTTAGCTCACATGATGAAATTAATAACTACCTACAGCAGCTTGATCAGCTTAAAGGGAGAGTTGCTGAATTAGAAGAGGAAAAGCAGAAAGATAAGGAATTTAGCCAAACATTAGAAAATGAGAAAAATGCCTTATTGAGTCAAATATCAGCAAAAGATAGTGAACTAACAGTGCTTCAGGAAGAAGTAACAAAAATTAACCTGTTAAATAAGCAAATCCAAGAAGAACTCTCCAGAGTTACTAAACTGAAGGAGACAGCAGAAGAAGAAAAGGATGATTTAGAGGAGAGGCTTATGAATCAACTAGCAGAACTTAATGGAAGCATAGGGAATTATTACCAGGATGTCACAGATGCCCAAATAAAAAATGAGCTACTAGAATCTGAAATGCAGAACCTTAAAAAGTGTATGAGTGAATTGGAAGAAGAAAAGCAGCAACTAGTCAAGGAAAAAACTAAAGTGGAATCAGAAATCCGAAAGGAATATTTGGAGAAAATACAAGGTGCACAGAAAGAACCTGGCAATAAAAGCCATGCAAAGGAACTTCAGGAGTTGTTGAAAGAAAAACAACAAGAGGTGAAGCAACTGCAGAAGGACTGCATAAGGTATCAAGAGAAGATTAGTGCTCTGGAAAGAACTGTTAAGGCTCTAGAATTTGTTCAGACTGAATCCCAAAAGGACTTAGAGATAACCAAAGAGAATCTGTCTCAAGCAGTTGAGCACCGCAAAAAGGCACAAGCAGAATTAGCTAGCTTCAAAGTAGTACTAGATGACACTCAAAGTGAAGCAGCCAGAGTCCTAGCAGACAATCTCAAGTTGAAAAAGGAACTTCAGTCAAATAAAGAATCAATTAAAAGCCAAATGAAACAAAAGGATGAAGATCTTGAGCGAAGACTAGAGCAGGCAGAAGAGAAACACTTAAAAGAGAAGAAGAATATGCAAGAGAAACTGGATGCTTTGCATAGAGAAAAAGGCCACTTTGAAGAGGCTCTTGGAGAGATTCAGGTCACTTTGAGCAAGAAAGACAAGGAAGTAAAGCAACTTCAGGAAAACTTGGACAGTACTGTTGCCCAGCTTGCTGCCTTCACTAAGAGCATGTCTTCCCTCCAGGATGATCGGGACAGAGTGATAGATGAAGCCAAGAAATGGGAAAGGAAGTTCAGTGATGCTATTCAAACCAAAGAAGAAGAAATAAGACTCAAAGAGGAGAATTGCAGTGTTTTAAAGGATCAACTTAGACAGACGTCCATCCACATGGAAGAATTAAAGATCAGCATTTCCAGGTAGAAACTGATGGCAAAGAAAGTGTCTAGAGTATTCCTGTTCCCTTCAGAATTATGAGACTAATTTTGATTTAAATTCCTTTAGAAGATATATGCTTTCCCATTTTTGGTTCTCTCTCTCTCTCTCTCTCTCTGTCTTTTTCAATAATTTCCTACTACAACATTGTTAATGTGAAAGCCTTCAAGTCTTTTTCCCCCATCTTTCTAGATGAGATCTCTTAGGTTTCTTTTTTTCTTTCCAAACTACCAGACCACCCTTGTCCGAATTTCTACCAAGTTTACTCCTACTTCATTTTCTCTTCCCCATAGTCATTCATATTGCATTTGCCTGTTAGAATTACTTTCCTCAGACTCTAAATATATAATATCACTTTTCAAGCTCAATAACTAATAATTGAGTCAGGTGTGGTGCTTCATTCCTGTGATCCTACCATGTGGGCGGCTGAGGTAGGAGGATTGTAAGTTCAAGAGCAGCATAGACTATATAGTGAAACACTGCCTCAAAAACAAAAACAAACAAAAAAAAGTAACTAACAGTGTACCCCATCCTTTGTATGTTTCCACTTCTGATAGGATCCTTCTGTTTTCCTATCTCATGCCAAAATTATCCCTCAAAGAGGTTAGAGCAAAGTAGAACAAAATAGAAGAAGCAATATATTTTGGAGCTTGTGATTCAAATCTATGAAGCTTTAGGTATGATATGTTTTTAAAACATTTACTAGATGAGAGGACAGATTTGGAGAATTAATCTCTCTTTCAGTTATGAATATTAATTTGTATTAATATTCAACATATATTGAGTACATATTGTAGTTTTTGTTCCTTAGGCAAAATGTAGTTTTCCTTGAAATCCATAGTTAATGACCTTCTCTTTTTTTTTCAGGCTTGAACATGACAAGCAGCTTTGGGAGTCCAGGGTCCAGACAGAGACCCAGCATCAACAGAAGGTCTGTGATACTCTACAGGGGGAAAACAAAGAACTTTTGTCCCAGCTGGAAGAAACTCGACACCTATACCACAATTCCCAGAATGAAATAGCTAAGTTGGAATCAGAACTTAAGATTCTCAGAGACCAGGTGACTGATGTAAATAACTCTTTAGAAAAATGTAAGGAACATAAAGAAAACTTGGAAGAGATCATAAAGCAACAAGAAACTGATGTCCAAAATTGTAAATTCAGTTGCGAGCAACTGGAGACTGATCTTCAGGCCTCCAGAGAACTAACTGGGAGGTTGCACGAAGAAATAAATATGAAAGAGCAGAAGATTATAAGCCTGCTTTCTGGTAAGGAAGAGGCAATCCAAGTAGCTGTTGCTGAACTGCATCAGCAACATGATAAAGAAATTAAAGAATTAGAAAACCTATTGTCCCAAGAGGAGGAGGAGAATATTGTCTTAGAAGAGGAAAACAAAAAAGCTGTTGACAAAACTAATCAGCTTATGGAAACACTAAAAACCATCAAAAAGGAAAACATTCAGCAGAAGGCTCAGTTGGATTCCTTTGTTAAATCCATGTCTTCTCTCCAGAATGACAGAGACCGCATAGTAAGTGACTATCAACAGCTGGAAGAGCGACATCTCTCTATAATCCTGGAAAAAGACCAACTCATCCAAGATGCTGCTGCAGAGAATAATAAGCTTAAAGAAGAAATTCGAGGGTTGAGAAGTCATATGGATGATCTCAATTCTGAGAATGCCAAGCTAGATGCAGAACTGATCCAGTATAGGGAAGACTTGAACCAAGTGATAACAATAAAGGACTATCAGCAAAAGCAACTCCTTGAAGCTCAACTTCAGGAAAATAAGGAGTTGAAAAATGAATGTGTAAAATTAGAAGAAGAACTGAAGGAGTCTGAGGAAGCAAAGAAGAATCTGCAGAGGTCCTCTGATGCCCTCCAAGAGGAGAAACAAGGTTTATGTAAAGAGATCGAGAGCTTGAAATCATCTGTTTCCCAACTAAAGAGACAAGTGACAGTCTTGCAAGAAGAAGGTACTTTAGGTATGTATCATGCCCAGTTAAAAGTAAAAGAAGAGGAGGTACAGAGGTTAAGCATGATGCTTTCCTCCTCTCAGAAGAGAACTACAGAACTGGAAGAGGAATTAGTTTGTGTTCAAAAGGAAGCTACAAGGAAGGTAGGGGAAATTGAGGATAAACTGAAGAAGGAATTAAAGCATCTTCACCACGATGCAGGGATAATGCGAAATGAAACTGAAACAGCAGAAGAGAGGGTAGCAGAGCTAGCGAGAGATCTGGTGGAGATGGAACAGAAATTATTTACAGTAACCAAAGAAAATAAAGATCTCACAGCACAAATTCAGTCTTTTGGAAGGTCTATGAGTTCCTTGCAAAATAGTAGAGATAATGCCAATGAGGAGCTTGATGAACTGAAAAGGAAATATGATGCCAGTCTGAAGGAGCTGGCCCAGCTGAGAGAACAAAAGGGCCTCTTAAACAGAGAGAGTGATGCTCTTCTTTCTCAAGCTGCCTTTCCCCTGAATAGCACTGAGGGAAACAGTTTGTCTCGCCTTGAGAAACTTAACCAGCAGCTCATATCCAAAGATGAGCAACTGCTTCACTTGTCCTCACAACTAGAAGATTCTTACAACCAAGTGCAGTCCTTTTCCAAGACTATGGTCAGTCTGCAGAATGAGAGAGATCACCTGTGGAGTGAGCTGGAGAAATTCCGAAAGTCAGAAGAAGGGAAGCAGAGGTCTGCAGCCCATCCTGCCTCTAGCCCAGCTGAAGTACAGAGTTTGAAAAAAGCTATGTCCTCACTCCAGAATGACAGAGACCGACTAGTGAGTGTCTAGTTCTTTCAGATCTGTGTTTGAGAATGTTTTAATCTTTCTTTAAATTGGTTTCTATTTTGATAGAAAAGTATAAACATTTCTATATATATTACCTATGTATAAAATCAGGGATAGTGTTATACATCTCACAGGCTCTGGTCTTAACACAAACATTGTGCCATTACCATTTTTAAAAAATCAAAAAATTTCCTTTGCACAGAACTCTCCATTAGCTATTAAAGGGGCTGAGAGAGCTTGTTTTACATATTTTATATACACATACAGAAACATGTAAATGGTTCTAGAATTTGTCATAGTTTAAGTGAAAGAAACAGGCATCACTTAATGCCTTTTTACAATGATATAATTCAGCAGTTTATCATCTGGTAGAGTTTGGGGTGGAAAGGACTAAGCTCCTATCAAAAATGTAACTCAATAATTTGTCAAGAAAAAAGTTAAATGTGAAAAGAGTTAATTAAATCAAGTTTAGCTAGGTACCGTGGTACATGCCTATAGTTCAAGCACTCAGGAAGCCCGTGTGAGTTCGAGGTCAGCCTGAACTACAGAATGGGACCCTGTCTCAAAAAAAATTTAAATGAGTACTTAGTAAAGGATTATTTGCAAGCTGCACTATTTGCCCACTTTCTTTTAATACTCACCTTTTTTCTGTGATAGCAAAAGCTAGGACTGGAGGTGTGAAGGATGCCTGTTTTGCAAGTGTGAAGCCCTGAGCACAAACCCTTGTCCCACCAAAAAATAAATAAAAATAAAAAAAGAAAGCTAAGGAGAATCTCTAATGTAGAATTTTGCTGCTCTTCATAGGAGCTAGGCATCTAATCCAGGATTTTTATTCTGAAAACTTCCACATCATCAAGATTCAGAGGAAAACCCAAAACTGTATGGGGCAAGCCAGGTTGTCAGGAGATTCTACTTTATGATGTTATAGTCTTCACTTTCATTACTGTCTCTCAGCTCTGTCAAGACTGGGTACTTGTAGGAAAATAGAACAAAAGGAAATACAGTGAGCTTCAAAAGGCCAAATTTTTCATTTTAAAATGTGACTCATGCCCAGAATCTGAAAAGTCTAGTTTTTAAGATTAGCCTTAGTGAAAAGAGCATTTCTAACTATAGAGTCTTGTGAAAAATTTTCATGTCCTTTGTTGGTAGTGTGCTCATTCCTATTATACTTAATAATCCATTATTTATAGAGATAATTTTTTCCCTTTTATAATCTTAACAAAGCTCTCTTTTTAGGTGTGGCTTTGACATATATAGTATTATATATATACACACACACACACACACACACACACATATATATATATGTGTAAATATATACAGGTTAAACTCAAGGTTTCACACTTGCTAGGCAGGCACTCTACCTCTTGAGTCACTCTGCCAGCCCTTTTTGCTGTGATTATTTTTGAGATATGTTCTCATTTAAGCCTGGGCCACAGTCTTCCTATTGTGCTTCCCATTGAAGCTGACGTGACAGGCATGTGCTACAGCAACCAGCCATTAGTTGAGATGAGGGTCTTATGAACTTTTTGCCCAGTCTGGCCTCAAACCACAGGCTCCATCCCTGCCTCCCAAGTAGCTAGGATTACAGGTTTGAGCCACCTCACCCAGTCCCTCTTGTTTGTTTATATTTTGAAAATACTTTGAGTTCAACAGACTTTGTCCTGGGAATTTGGCCTTTTGTCAATTCTTTCAGAACACAAATACACAAGGTTCTCATACAGGACAGCTATACTCACAGCTATACTTTATGGCATGCTGGTGTTGATTATCTTATAACTCAGTTTTTTTTCTGGTAGCTATTAGAATAAATTCTGATTTAAGTGACCATGTTTCATTCAGTGAATTACTTTATTTGTCTTATCTAAGCAGTAAACTTTATATCTCTCAACTCCAGCTTCATATTTTTATTTGCTAGATATTGATAAACCAAGCTAGTTTTCAAAAAATTATTTCCATATTTCTATAACTCATGGTAATATTCTTCTGTTCCTAAAACTCATAACTGCCTATGGTTTTATTCCATTTAACCATCAAGGTCTTTCATTCCTTTATTACAAATACGCCTCAAGGATCTTTCCTTCTTTTACATCCCAAAATATACTTTTATAACCTTACCTTTCGATAGTTGTAGTAATTCTGCTTTGAAATTGTCACTCCTTCAGTAGAGGTAAGTGTATTCCTGGATAAGTACCATTGCTGGATAAGTCTTTCTGAAACTCTACTTTCTTATTACTGCATGAGTCAAAAACCCTTCAAAGTTGTACTATCTCTTGAATGGGCTTCAGATTCAAATCCCTTAGTCCACCATTTAAAACATTATAAATTGTCTTCATCTTTCTTTTCAACCCTTCCTTTTACTTTCACTACTAATACCATTCATTCTGGCCAAAATGGCCTACTAAGTATGCAGTATTCTCTCATTGTAATTTAACTTTGGTTAAAACAACTCAGTGTTTAAATTTTTATGACTACAAATGCTATTAGAGCTATGATGTATCACTCATATTTTCCTCAACGTCTTTCTTTTTTTTTTCTTTTTGGTAGTACTGGGGTGTGAATTCAGGGCCTCATGCTTGCTAGGCATGTGCTCCCTGACTTGAGCCACTCTACCAGCCCTTTTTTGTGTTGGATATTTTGTTGGCCTCAGACTTTGATCCTCTTGATATCTGCCTCCTGAGTAACCAGGATTACAGCCACTAGCGCTTGGCAACATCTATCTTTCCTAGAGCTCAGAACTATTTTTGTTGTTGTTACTTAGTTTTCTTTGTAATTTAACCCTAAATATACTTTCATTTGTTGACATCACCTCTTTAGATGTTTATTCCCACCAAGTTCATCTTAATAAAGAAAATTTTCAGAGTCTCTCATTTGCTTCTTTATGAACCGGTTGCCCTGTACTCCTAGGACACAGTTTCATCCCAGAATATTTCCTTTTACCTCTCTCCTGTGTTAGATCTTCTGTTTCTTATATAGTAAAGCCTGCCTTATTCATGGATTTATTACCTGAGGTTTTGACCAAGCACAGTCAAAAGACAATAATAAAAAAATCAAAAGAAATTTCAGAAACAAAAACTTTAAATTCCCACATGCTCATTACACAAATTTGCCCATGTTATCTTTAGTTATGTTTAAATCATTATATGATCTGTTTCCCTGCCCTTAATTTTTTATGAAAATCTGCCTTCCAAAAAGCAAATGACATCCAAAAAGCAAGGTAAAAGTTAATGTGCTTAATTTAAGTTATAAAGTAAAAATTTAGATTTGTTGAAAGGTGGCATGTCTTTAGGGGAAGTCTGGTGATAGTATGGGAAAAATGAATCAAGCATCCACAGTCACAGTACAGTACTGAACTCTGCATCTAAGCATTTGTGGCAGTCTCCTTGGAACCATATATTTATATACTTTCTTTTCTTGGTTTTGTGCCATTATTTTCATGAAATTATTCAGTAGTACCATAAGAAAATACACAGGGGAGATAAGTTTAATCAAAATGTTTTTTATTTCCCTCATATCTAATAGGTAGCTTATTCTAGGCCAAAAGTAATTTCCTTTCAAAATTTGTGAAGACTTTAGTTTATTGCCTATTAGCTTATGTTGAGGTTCATAAGTCTAAAGCTATTCTAATCCCTGATCCTGTTCTGTGTTATCTGTGTCTCCCTGCTCCTTCTTCCTTCGCTTTATCCCTCCCTCCGCTATTCTGAATTTTTATGATAATGTGACTTAGCGTGAGTCTGTTCTCCTTAGGTAGGGTCTGTTGTCCACTATCACTCTGACTAGTCCCTTGAATCTAAGAAGTCATACCAATTTTTAGAAATTCTTTAATTATTTGTTTATTTTTACCTTTTTCACTCTTCCTTTTCTCTTATTAGTCCCCTCCCTCAAAATCCTGGTAACTATATGACCTTCTGGATTGGTTCGCTAGTTTTCTTGCCTCTTTTTTCAGAGGCAAGAAAGTATTTTTGTTATACTTTGGAAAGATTTTTTTCACCTTTATCTTTTGACCCACAAATTGAGATTTTCATTTTTACTATCATACTCTTAATTTCTAAGGAATTCTTTTTTTTCCCTTTGTCTTGTGGATAGATTATCTCTTCAAGGATAGTGGCAGTAATGTCGTTTTCTGACATCTTCTTCGTTTTTCTTCACTTCTAGAAATATCTGTTGTAATGCTTCTTATTTCTAATATCTCTTAAATTGTTCAATACATTATATTTTTCTCTTGCTAATCTCTTCTAAATTACCTTCTGCTTGGTTTTTATCCCTTTATGTTTGTCATTCTTCAGGTGTGGATTTGTCTTCATGTTGAAGGACAGGGTATAAAAAGCTCATGAGTCTCAATGAAAGGTGATCTTGTTGAACTTATTTTTGGTAATTCCTAAGTTAGTTAGTCTGGTCAAATTTCTAGGAGATCATCTCTCATTTTCTGCATGGAAGGAAACAAGCACTCTCCAAGCTGAGTAAGGGAAAGACTATAAGCATTCAGAAAACATGCATTCACTTATTCACAATTCTTTTTGAGTAGTTCCTGTACTCAGAATTGTGCCTGGTGTTTCATAGTCCAGAGATACTTCCTCTCCATTCTCCAGAGTAAAACTTCAGTTGTCAGTTGGGGTAACAAAAAGTGTAGAACTGAGGGAGGGGATCTAATTATTTCTTAAGCAGTTTTCATCTAATCCTCCATCTCAGGCATACCTCCCTCCCACCCCCATCACCATTTTTTTCCAAGGGTACCCTGTGCTGTTAATTCCTGGGCCTTTTGAAGATTCTGCAGAGTAAATTTTGTTGATTCTTGGCTTTCCCTACCGCCGCCTTAAGATTTGGCTATCTCAGATCTGTTAAGTCAGTTACCACTTACACATCTGATCTTCAGCTTCAAAAATTTGTTGCTGCTGACCTCTCTGTTGTCTTCCTGTTCTTGTGTTTTATGCTTTTTTAAAATGCCTATATTGTAGCATTGGTGATGTTTCTAAGTGGTTAAATGAGGTATGTGTTCAAGTCTCATATGTTGCTCAGGTGTCCTGACATCATTTCTTACTATGAAGCTTTGAATGAATATTAGGAATAAATGGTTTGAAAATATACCTAGAATTCAGTTTCGCTAAATCCAGCTCCATCATCATCACTTTTTATCTTCATCATCACTGACTTTATGTATGAAGTACATTAATTTTCTCATTTAAGTCTCATATTCTTATTTAAAAAGTACTGTTGTTATCCTCACTTAGTAACTCAGGGAAATTAAGACTTAGAGGGTATGAGGACCATGTATATCCATATCCAGGAAATAGTGGGATATCTAACTTTAGAGTCTAAATGTTCTTTACTACTATGATGCACTGCCTTCCTTATAATTAACATCAGCTAAGTTTGAATTAAGATTGATGTCTTGCTGGGATGTCTCAGTGGTAGAGTACTTGCCTAGCATATGTGATATCCTGGGTTTGAGCCCAGAACTGGAAGGAAATATGAAACAAAACTTACAGACAGAAAAACATTATTAATGTCCATATAAGAAAGTTTAGAAATCTAGCCAGAACATATAACTACATGGAAAGTCACTCCATCTTTACACTTATCATTCAAAATAAAGTTGTAGGTCCTTTAAGTCTATCCCAGGTCAGAACTGTAGCTCTAGAATCAACATGGGAGTTTGGGGTCAGGGTATGCAGTAGAAAGTGCAGGAATGTTCAGGCTCTGCAGCCTTGACAGCAGTTCCATGAGTGCCAATGGACTGTTAGTGTATATAGTCTGTTAGGGTGTCTGCTCACCTAGTAGAGGAGCTACTGATGACTTCTAGCTGGGTGAATGGGATGTGATGAATCACCCTTTAACTTTCCCTTTGGTTAAAGTTGAAGGAACTGAAGAATCTGCAGCAGCAGTACTTACACATTAATCAAGAAGTCACTGAGTTACGTCCGCTGAAGGCTCAACTCCAGGAATACCAAGATAAGACAAAAACATTTCAGCTTATGCAAGAAGAACTCAGGCAAGAAAACCTCTCCTGGCAGCATGAGCTGCATCAGCTCAGGTATGACTATCCCTGAATTTTGATCCTTTTCCTTTTCTTTTAACTTTTATTTTGAAATAATTGTAGGTTTATAGAAAGTTACAGAAACAGAACAGAGAGCTCCTATGTACCCTTCACCTAGTTTCCTCCATCCTGCTTTACTGTAGTATATTATCAAAATCAGGAAATTACTGGGCACAGTGGCTCACGCTTGTAATCCCAGCTCTTAGGAGGCGGAGATCAGGAGGATCACAGCAAAAAGTTAGTGAGACCCCATCTCAACAATAAGAAGCTGGGCATGGTGGTGGACACGGTGTGTGCCTGTGATCTTAGCTATGTTGAAGCATAAGTCAGAGGATCGTGGTCCAAGGCCATCTCTGAGCAAAAAGCAAGACCTTATCTGAAAAATAATCTAAAAAGCCTGATTCAAATGGTAAAGCACTTGTGTAGCAAGCACTAGGCCATCAGTCCAAACGCCAGTACCACCAAAGCAAAAACAAAACCAAAACTAGGAAATTGACTTTGGTACAATTCACAGATCTTACTCAGTCTTCACCAATTTTTATGTGCATCTATTTGATTGTGTGTGCGTGTGTGTGTGTGTGTGTGGTGTGTGTGTGTAGGTCTATGCGGTTCATCACATACATAGATTTGTGTAAACACCACCACAACCAAGACACAGAACTGCTTCATCACTACAAATAGGTCCCTAGTGCTGCTAGTATATAGTCACATTCCCCTTCTGCCCCCATATCCTTAGCTCTGGCAACCACTGATTTGTTCTCTGTCCATATAGTCTGGTCATTTTGAGAATGTTTTACATTTGGAATCATAAAGTATGTAATTTTTAGAAATTGGCTTTTTCCCCCATGTGTGATAGTGCCCTTGATATCTGTAATGTATAAATCAACAGTTTATTCTTTTTATTGGTAAATACGATTCCATAGCATGAATGCATTGCTTTAACCATTCACTCACTGAAATCTCAGCTCTGTAAAAAAAAAACAACAATAACCATGTTATCACAACAGACAAAATTAAGGTAGGAACTATAATTCTGGGTTTTTTAATTCAGCATTATTAACAGATTCAAAGAATAAGGTATGAAATCAATGCACAACAGTGTGTAAGAACAAATCTAAATACTGCACTCTCATTATTGACATTTTCTTACTATTTGACTTAAAATATTCAGGAATAGAGGTATGTCCCAGTCGTAGTGCACTTGCTTAGCATGTGACATGTTGGTGGGGATTGAACCCCGTTGGTGGGGTTCAATCCCCACCAACAATGCAGCTTCCCTAGATAATTCAAGAACACATTTTTTTGGCCAAATGGTGATGACGATAGTTACAGAGAAGGTTTAAAAAAAAAGTTGAATTTTATTCTCTGGAAATTCAAACTTCATTTACAAACTTAAGAGAAAAGATTCATTGTTCCGTTTCATCCTTTTTGGTTCTGGAAGAGTTACCCCAGCTTTATTCAGTTAGAGTCTTCATTCATTGCCAAGAGATCAGGCATTCAGTGCAGCCTCCTTCAGTGTACTCTAAGGCTGATCATTGAAAACAGGGCCTTGTTTTTTTTTTTTTTCATTTTTCTTTTATTATTCATATGTGCATACAAGGCTTGGTTTATTTCTCCCCCTGCCCCCACCCCCTCCCTTACCACCCACTCCACCCCCTCCCGCTCCCCCCCTCAATACCCAGCAGAAACTATTTTGCCCTTATCTCTAATTTTGTTGTAGAGAGAGTATAAGCAATAATAGGAAGGAACAAGGGGTTTTGCTGGTTGAGATAAGGATAGCTATACAGGGCATTGACTCACATTGATTTCCTGTGCGTGGGTGTTACCTTCTAGGTTAATTCTTTTTGATCTAACCTTTTCTCTAGTTCCTGGTCTCCTTTTCCTATTGGCCTCAGTTGCTTTAAGGTATCTGCTTTAGTTTCTCTGCATTAAGGGCAACAAATGCTAGCTAGTTTTTTAGGTGTCTTACCTATCCTCACCCCTCCCTTGTGTGCTCTCGCTTTTATCATGTGCTCATAGTCCATTCCCCTTGTTGTGTTTGCCCTTGATCTAATGTCCACATATGAGGGAGAACATACGATTTTTGGTCTTTTGGGCCAGGCTAACCTCACTCAGAATGATGTTCTCCAATTCCATCCATTTACCAGCGAATGATAACATTTCGTTCTTCTTCATGGCTGCATAAAATTCCATTGTGTATAGATACCACATTTTCTTAATCCATTCGTCAGTGGTGGGGCATCTTGGCTGTTTCCATAACTTGGCTATTGTGAATAGTGCCGCAATAAACATGGATGTGCAGGTGCCTCTGGAGTAACAGTCTTTTGGGTATATCCCCAAGAGTGGTATTGCTGGATCAAATGGTAGATCGATGTCCAGCTTTTTGTTTTTTTTCCAGAGTGGTTGTACTAGTCTACATTCCCACCAACAGTGTAAGAGGGTTCCTTTTTCCCGCATCCTCGCCAACACCTGTTGTTGGTGGTGTTGCTGATGATGGCTATTCTAACAGGGGTGAGGTGGAATCTTAGTGTGGTTTTAATTTGCATTTCCTTTATTGCTAGAGATGGTGAGCATTTTTTCATGTGTTTTTGGCCATTTGAATTTCTTCTTTTGAGAAAGTTCTGTTTAGTTCACTGCCCATTTCTTTATTGGTTCATTAGTTTTGGGAGAATTTAGTTTTTTAAGTTCCCTGTATATTCTGGTTATCAGTCCTTTGTCTGATGTATAGTTGGCAAATATTTTCTCCCACTCTGTGGGTGTTCTCTTCAGTTTAGAGACCATTTCTTTTGATGAACAGAAGCTTTTTAGTTTTATGAGGTCCCATTTATCTATGCTATCTCTTAGTTGCTGTGCTGCTGGGGTTTCATTGAGAAAGTTCTTACCTATACCTACTAACTCCAGAGTATTTCCTACTCTTTCTTGTATCAACTTAAGAGTTTGGGGTCTGATATTAAGATCCTTGATCCATTTTGAGTTAATCTTGGTATAGGGTGATATACATGGATCTAGTTTCAGTTTTTTGCAGACTGCTAACCAGTTTTCCCAGCAGTTTTTGTTGAAGAGGCTGCTATTTCTCCATCGTATATTTTTAGCTCCTTTGTCAAAGATAAGTTGCTTATAGTTGTGTGGCTTCATATCTGGATCCTCTATTCTGTTCCACTGGTCTTCATGTCTGTTTTTGTGCCAGTACCATGCTGTTTTTATTATTATTGCTTTGTAATATAGTTTGAAGTCAGGTATTGTGATACCTCCTGCATTGTTCTTTTGACTGAGTATTGCCTTGGCTATTCGTGGCCTCTTGTGTTTCCATATAAATTTAACAGTAGATTTTTCAATCTCTTTGATGAATGTCATTGGAATTTTGATGGGAATTGCATTAAACATGTAGATTACTTTTGGGAGTATAGACATTTTTACTATGTTATTCTACCAATCCATGAGCATGGGAGATCTCTCCACTTTCTATAGTCTTCCTCAATCTCTTTCTTCAGAAGTGTATAGTTTTCTTTGTGGAGGTCTTTAGAGATGATTGGGACCATATCGAGGCATCACTTTGATGACTCTCATATTATCTCCACTTCACTTGGAACTACAAAAAAAGGTGTTCTACTACATGATCCTAAGAGCCACAAAGTTCTAAAGGCATATTTTCTGCAGCCTTTCCCCTTTAGATTTCATCCAAAAGGACACTTGACCCTTAGGGAAGAGAAAAAGAGAGAGGAAAAAATTCTGGGTTCCCCCCCTGCTCATTTTCTCCTTTTCCATCTTTTTCTCAGTCCTTTTCTCTTTACTTATCAGATTTGAGCAACTATGAAGAACAGTAAAATTATATATAAAGTGGATTGGAATAAATTAAGAAAAGGAAAGGAGGATATTTTATTCTGTTTTTAGGCGGAAGCAGCTCAGGATACAGATTTGATTCACTGACTTTTAGACCAGCTTCTTTAGGTGAATCGCTTCAAGACTCCCTGCCTTTTGCACTTGAAGTACTCAAGAGAAATGAGCTTTTCAAACTTGAAGAAGGTGGAACATCTTACTCAAGATTCTATTGACCATGGGATTGGCACATCAGGAGAACCTGATCTTCTACCATAATCTTTCTCTGCCACTTGCAACTGCTAGTTTGCTTTTTCTGCACTTGTTCCTGTGCAATCAAACTTTAAAAGCGTAAATGAGATATGCCCTCTCTACATATGACTGATTTGCCTTAGGTAATCTGGTTTGTCTTTTAGCTACAATTCTCCATTGAAGGTCTCTTTCTATACCTTAATCACTTGTTCATCCTTTTAAAAAATGGCACCTTTAAGATTTATATGGAATATTGTGCTTTCTCATGCACTCTCACTCTTACACATCTTATGCAAGTTTTTTCTCACTTCTCACAGACAAGTATTTCAATGAAAGAGTTTTAGGAATATTCCTGTGTCTTATTCATACTGTGACCATATAATAAAATTTATTTTGAGTTTCTAAGTTTTAGTTTTTCCCTTTTGAAAGTAATTTGACTAATCCAAGATACCTCTTAGTAAAGCAAGATTATTTCACAATAGTTACCTACCAATTAGAAAAGAAGGGACTTCCAGACTACCAGTGGCTCATACCTGTGATCCTCTAGCTAGTCAGGAAGCAGAGATCAGGAGGATCAGAATTCAAAGCTATCGCAGGACAAAATGAAAGTGTGACCCTATCTCAAAAATACCCAACATGCAAAAAGAAGGGCTGGCAGAGTGGTTCAAGTAGTAGAACACCTCCCTAGCAAGTGTGAGGCTGTGAGTTCAAACCCCAGTATGAGAGAGAGAGAGACAGACAGAAAAGAAAGGAAGGAAGGAAGGAGGAAAGAAGAGAAGAGAAGGAAGGAAGGAAGGAAGAGAAAGAGACACGGGGAGGGAGGAAGAGAAAGAAAGGAAAGAGAGAGAGGGGAAGAGGGGAGGGGAAGGGGAGGAAAGTGGAGGCGAGAAGAGGAGAAGAAACCATTTATCTTATTTCTAGAGAGAAAGACAAAAACATCAGAGATCATTCAAACCAAGCCTTGTATTGTTAAGGAAAATAGGGACACTGATGCTAGTGAAAGTGAGGATATGCAGCAGGAATTTGATTGCAATCCTTATAGGTTTTTTCAGGGTAGAGTATAGAGAAAAGAATGACAGAGGTACTATTTTTGCAAATACCATAGGAAAATAGCTGAAGTCAAATAGAAGCCTAATTCTTGGCCACATCCAGGGAGTAAATAAATAGAAATAATAGAACTAGTATTTAGTAAGTATTTACTTTGTGCTGTGCTCTGTGTTTGATAGGTGACATATGATATCTCAATTAATCCTCACAATAATCCCAAAGTGTAGATAGTTTATTCCTATTGTATTGAAGAGGTCCAGAGACATTAGATAGCTTCTGCTCGGGTTCTCATACCTAGTATATGACAGAGCCAGCTTTGAGCTCAAGTCTTTCAGAATCTTTTGGTGGATTTTCATCACCATGATGTTGCCCTGCTGAAAAATTACTGGGATTTCCCACGCCCTATATGGTTTGATTCATTCCTCCCATCTTCATTTCTTACATATCTACTCTAAATACTCTCCTATACCAGTTCTGAAATTCACTCCGTGCACTCATACTTGTGCCTTTTGCTCAGTTTTTTTTCCCCCTGAACTTGAAATGTTTTCCCCATGATAGAAACCAAACTTATTGTTCAGGTTCCAAACCCAATGGGAGCTTTTCTGTGAAGGCACTCCAATTCTGCCGACTGGAATTCCTCTTTCTAGTCCTGTATCATCTTGCTGCATGGTTCTGTTTATAATAGAATTTTATTCTGATTATGTATTTTCTTTTCTTTTTTTAAATAATTTTTATTAGGATATATTCATTACATGGGGGGGATTTGTACTAACAATTCTGAATAGTCTTATATTGTACATTATTTTCATTGCCCCCATTGTCTGTCCCCATCAGCCCTTTCCCCACCCCACTTAAAACAATTGCAAGAGGTTTTTTAGTTCTGTTTCATATAGGCATATGAAGCCCATCAACCATATACTGTCACCTAATCTTCCTTACCTTCCCCTCTCCCCTCCCACGAGTACCTCCCCACCCTCCATGTACACTGTGCCTATTTTACAGTCCTGGCTTTCATTATTAATGTTTGAGTTAACATTCAATGGGTTGTCTCAATGTATGCCTTCTATGGGCATGCTTTACTTTGGTCTGTTCAATCCCTTTGAATACTCTCCCTTACTCCTTTACCTCCCACCCCCTGTTTTCAACAGCTCTCAGTACACATCCTCGTATCCTCTACCTTCACATCTTATGGTATGCAATATTATTGATGCTCTATCATTCTCTTTTCCTTTCTCTCTTTCCCCGAGTTCCATAGAGTAGTTCCACTGTTAGGAATATGTTCTACAATTGAGTTTATATATGATTATGCTTGTTTTTCTGTATATGTTTATCTTTTTTTAAAAGTTTTTATTATTCATTTATTCACATGTGCGTACATTGTTTGGGTCATTTCTCCCCCCTCCCCCCTCTTCTTCCTCCCCCCCTGTTTTTGTGTGTATGTTTATCTTTGGATCTATCTTCTACATAAACTGCATGGTTCTGTTTATAATATGAATTTTATTCTGATTGTGTATTTTCTTTAGTACATCTCTTAAGAGCTCACAATACTATTTTGGGTATGGAATTAGTCACCTCTATCTCATGAGTATATTTTGACCTGTGCTTATTTCATGTTTTTTTCTAGAATGGAGAAGAATTCATGGGAGATACATGAGAGGAGAATGAAGGAACAGTACCTTATGGCTATCGCAGATAAAGATCAGCAGCTCAGTCATCTTCAGAGTCTTATGAGGGAATTGAGGTCTTCTTCCCAGACTCAGACTCTCACAGTGCAATACCAAAGACAGGTGAGGAATTTCAATGCCAGTTCCTACTTAGAGGCAACCACTACTCAGAAAGCATCAGCTTCTCAGGAGTTAAGTATCCATCTGCAACTATTAGGCAAGCCATCTTATAACTACCTATGGGGTGGACAGGGTTACTAGAAAAAAGGAATTAAATATGAGCAATCTTAGGAGAGAATTTCATCAATGTTTGTATGCTGGCAGGCATCCCCAGAGACATCAGCTTCCCTAAATGGATCACAAAACCTAGTTTATGAAACAGAACATCTCAGAACCCAGCTCAATGACAGCTTAAAGGAAATTCACCAAAAAGAATTAAGAATTCAACAATTGAACAGCAAGGTATGTGCTTCCTGCTGGACTGGGATTCAGTTTCTTTTTTCCATGACTGGAAGCAAGAAGGTAAGTAAGTAGAAGCTGATTCAGCATAGGCTCCCAGCTGTAGCATAACTTAGGGTATAAAGGTTACCCTTTTCAGATCTTTGGTCACTTATTCCAGAGTACTGGACACACGGCCATTTTCTTCTCCTTGCCCTTGAAAGGTCTTTGAAAGTGATTTGGACAAATCCATGTTGTAAGAGTAAAGAAACATTACTTTAGGAAACTTTCCTGCCCAGCATCCCGTCCTTGTCTGTATCACTAGTTAATAATGTTGAGGCAACTCCCTGCCCTGCCGCTCACTAATCATTATCCTCCTGCTGCTCCCTGACTGGCCTACATGTTCTCCAGGGGCTTTTCATACTTTTGTAAGTATGTTGGATTCGCTTGTTCTAATTTTCTGTGTGTATTAAATGTCCTTCCATGGAATGTCTCTAGAAAGCTATTTATTTTCTCTAAAACATAGTTTGATTCAACTTTTTTACACAAATATTGGCAAAAAATAACCCCATAAAAAGAAGCACACAGTCAAATCCATCAGTTTCTTCTTATGTCATGTGCACAGTTCTACAGTAGACTTTGGAGTGACATCTCTGTGGGTATTAATATTTCTGGATGTTAATCATAACTAAAGCTTAAACATTGACAGCATGCAAGTGAGAATTAAAATTCTAGTTCCAGAGGACCAAATTTAAATCAGTGGATAGAATCTACAATAGGTAAAAGTTTCATTGAATATAAAAAATAATGTTCTGTTTTATCCACGGTAAAAGCTGTCTTGGATTGCTTTGCCAGATAGTGAACACCCTGACACTGAACATGTTCAGATAAAGGCTGAATGACTTCTGTTACCCATGCAGTAGAGGAGAGTCCTGCTTTGAGTAACTGAAGTGTTTCCACCTGTGAGAATCTTTGTTCTCAATACAGTTTCTCACATTCATATAGGCATATTAGGATTTATTCTGTTTTCCCTGTAAATAATTTCTGATTCTACTGCCTTGGTAACATAATTCTCTATGCAAGTGACAAATCCGCCCAGTAATACTCTTACACGGATTTTTAAGGTGGTAGCTCTCTCCCCAGCTTGAACTCTGGAGATTGTAGTCATTTGTTAGTAACTTAAACTTGGACCCAAGCTACTGCCCTCTTTCACTTACATTTCTGAATAAACTATCCTGGTAGATTTGCTTGTGGGTTTCTACTGTAAGGTTTTTCAGCTAATGGATTAGGCACCATTAAAAAATCAAGAATAAAAAAGTTCCCTGTTAGTCCTCCAGAATTATTTTCCTTTCTTGATTGAAAAAAATTAGACATTTTCTCACTTTGAGGGAACATACAGTGCTATTTATTCTCAGAGCATGGATTAAAAATTGCATCCTATGTAAACTAGTACAACCACTCTGGAAAAAAATTTGGAGGCTACTTAAAAAGCTGGACATCGATCTACCATTTGATCCAGCAATACCACTCTTGGGGATATACCCAAAAGACTGTTACTCCAGAGGCACCTGCACATCCATGTTTATTGCGGCACTATTCACAATAGCCAAGTTATGGAAACAGCCAAGATGCCCCAGCACTGACGAATGGATTAAGAAAATGTGGTATCTATACACAATGGAATTCTATGCAGCCATGAAGAAGAACGAAATGTTATCATTCGCTGGTAAATGGATGGAATTGGAGAACATCATTCTGAGTGAGGTTAGCCTGGCCCAAAAGACCAAAAATCGTATGTTCTCCCTCATATGTGGACATTAGATCAAGGGCAAACACAACAAGGGGATTGGACTATGAGCACATGATAAACGCGAGAGCACACAAGGGAGGGGTGAGGATAGGTAAGACACCTAAAAAACTAGCTAGCATTTGTTGCCCTTAATGCAGAGAAACTAAAGCAGATACCTTAAAAGCAACTGAGGCCAATAGGAAAAGGGGAACAGGTACTAGAGAAAAGGTTAGATCAAAAAGAATTAACCTAGAAGGTAACACCCATGCACAGGAAATCAATGTGAGTCAATGCCCTGTATAGCTATCCTTATCTCAACCAGCAAAACCCCTTGTTCCTTCCTATTATTGCTTATACTCTCTCTACAACAAAATTAGAAATAAGGGCAAAATAGTTTCTGCTGGGTATTGAGGGGGGGAGAGGGAGGGGGTGGAGTGGGTGGTAAGGGAGCGGGTGGGGGCAGGGGGGAGAAATGAACCAAGCCTTGTATGCACATATGAATAATAAAAGAAAAAAAAATTGCATCCTAAAATCCCAGGATTTTAGGCCTTAGCACTTCATAGAGAAGCAGTCTGGAGACTGGCACTTATTCTTCCCTCTGCTTCAGTTCTCTCAGCTACTCGAAGAGAAAAACACCCTCTCCATCCAACTTTGTGATACCAGCCAAAGTCTCCGTGAGAACCAGCAGCACTACAGTGACCTTTTTAACCACTGTGCAGTCTTAGAGAAGCAGGTGCAGGAGCTGCAGGCGGTAAGTAAAGAGGCAGTGAGAAGCTAGGAGAAGTGTTAGAAGCATAAAGAGATGCATGCAGAAGGCTCACGTAATTAGGTGTGTTGAAAGGAAGTGGGAGAGAAGAGTATTAATGGAGATGGGAAGAAAGTCTAAGAAAAATTACAGAATGAGAGATTAAGAGAAAAAAGATCAGTGAGATGGTAGAAAAGAAATCAAAGCATGAGTAGCAAACAGTGATGACAGACTTGCAACTATGAAAGTGTGGATTTTACTTCAAGAAATAGAAAAACTGTAGGAGGAGTTTGTACCTAAGAGGCAGTACTGTTATGGCAGTGGAGAGGGGTATGATATGGGACTGAGAGGAGACTAAGAATTGATTTAGACACGAAGGAGGAGAAGTGGCTTAGGAGGGGTTTGCAAGCAAGGGAAGCATCAGAGTCACTTCTGGAAAGTCCCTGAGCCCCAGTAGGTGAAAGAAGACTTTCACAGGAAAGTTTTAAACTTTTAAGAGAGAAATTCAAGAGTGAGAATCTGAGGGAAAAGCTAATGAAGTCACCTTTTACAGAGGTGACTAATCTACAAGAGCAGAAATCACTTCTAAATCTGGACTTACATATTCTAAATGGATATTCATCTCTATGATTTCTTATCCTTTTTGTTGTTAAACAAGCTCTCATTTTGCAGAAATACAGTATAATAAGAGCTTTTCTCACCAAATTATTAAGCTGCTGCTTCTTCTAGGGGCCACCAAATGTGGATGTTGCTCCAGGAGCTCCCCAGGAAAAGAATGGAATTCACAGGAAGAGTGAGCCTGAGGAAGCAAAGGAGCCACAGCGAAGGTAGGGGAGTAGGGCTCTCTCCAGCATACACTACATGCAGAGAAATTGTACACATGGAACTTGAGTTCACCATATGGGTTTACTATGTCATATCTTACTGGCCTCACAAAAGTGACATAAGGATTAAATATTAACAATAGTAAATTATAAGTTTATAAAGCAAAAACAACACTAACATACACACACACACACACATGCACCACTAACAAACACTGTGGTATTCAAATGAGTCAGTTCCTAAAATCTCTTAAGACATTTTATGCAGCTTCATATAATCTCTACAGCTATGCTTTTAAGATATTTTTTGTATATTTTGATATTTTTTGTAAGCTATTCAGAGTAGCTTCCCTAAACTTTCCTGGTTTATAACCTTAGAAAGACTGGTGTTAGCAATGGTATTCTTCAGCTAGTGATGCTGTTTGCTTTCCTTTTATTCTGAAGCTTTTCTGAAGCCCAACAGCAGCTGTGCCACACAAAGCAAGAAGTAAATGAATTAAGGAAACTACTGGAAGAAGAACGAGACCAAAGAGTGGCCGCTGAGAATGCCCTCTCTGTGGCGGAGGAGCAGATCAGGCGGTAAGGCAGAGGGGAACAGCCTCCATTCACATCTGATCCTTCCTGATGGAGCTTGCACACATTTCCATCACCAGGCATAGGGTGAATTAAGAGCTTGCGCTCTTCATGATATGGGTGTTGTCACTCAGGACAACATGGTACTTTTGGAGTCCAGGAGGGCGTCCTTTCCAAAGCAATACTTCTTGGAGACTAGTAGTAATAATGATGTCTACCATTCATATGATACAAAATAAGCTGTGAAAGTTACCTTCTTTCATCCCAGCAAGAACTATATGAAGTAGGTATTGGGTTCTTTAGAAGACTGAATAAATGAAAATCTCATTACCTATTTGAGATCTGAATCAATTGAAGTCTTCAAGGTTAAAACATGGGAGATTAAAAGACCACTTTATAAACCTGATTTTAAAAGAACATAACTTTTGCTTTATTGGCAAATGCACTTACTAATCCTCAACTTCCCCTCCTAATCACTGCTGTGTTGGGCTAGAGCAAGCTTGCCTTGCAGAAGAATCTGCTTTTGCCAAATTAAGGCATTGGAGTAAGTGATTATCGAGTGCTTCTTGTGAGCAGTTTGTCCCATGTGTGATTTGGAAGGGCAGGACTATACGTCCTCATTCCTGATGCCCACCCCAGTAGTCAAGAGAATCACTGCGTATGATGGGGCACAGTGGCTGTAAGTGCTCTATAGCTAAAAAGAAACATTAAAAGCCATTGCCTCTGTTCTGTCTGTGGGGTGGGGAAGCCACTCGTGTGTATTGTCTCTTCCCCCAGAGAATGAGTAGCACTCGGGATAATAATGCCTTCTTGCAAAGCATAAGTGGCAGAGGTGGCAGCCCCAAGGAGCAGGTCTTACCTGGGATTCCTTTCTTCCCATTCAGTATAGCCCATTTGGGCATTCGTGTACAGCTTTGAGGGTAGCTCTCTCTAGGATCATAGCACAGCCTGGTGTGTGTCTTGCTGTCTGCCAGGCATTTTCAGGCCTGTGTGTTCATGACTTTCTCTGTCACTTGCTGTGAATTGTTTAGACCTATGAAACCTGTCCCTTGGAGAGGTTAATCTCCCACATGTGTCATTAACCGGGCCTGAGCCAATTAGAGACTGTACAGCATAAGGTGACTCTGGAGCCTGTGGCTGAGCCACATTAACTCAGGCTTAGCCCCTCCATACTTCTCTCTCTGGCTGAATTGCAATATGGAAAAACTGGGGTAACTAATTAAGTGGTGAGTCCTTAGGCCAGATACTGTGATTTCAGTGTTAGAACTATACATGTGTTCTGTAGTACATATGAAACTCAGTGGCCTTGCAGCTTTAAAGCAGGTGGTACTGTTTGGCTCACTAATGCCCACAAACATCCCATCATCCTTTTTCTGTCTAGCCTACATAAGTGGACAGACTGACCTCTGTAATAACAGACCAGGCCCTTCCAGATGCCTCTGAGAAGTATATCATGTGGAACAAACATAACAGGTGCACTCTGCCTAGCACTCAAGAGGAAAGCATGCAGGTGAAAGCAAAGCTGTGCATGCTCAGGTTCTCTTTCTAGACTCACAGGTCAGAGTAAGGCATTCCTTCTCTCCTGGAGAAGAGAGTGCGGTCTGCACACAGAAGCCAGGACTCTTAGGCTAATAGAGAATCCCTCATTAGGAGGAAAAAGAGAAGTTCCATTCCACCCCCGCAGTTAAAAAGTGCGTCCTTATAGGCAAATGCATGATCAAATATGCCCTTTCCATAGTTCTTGTTTTTGTCAGAGACCATGGAGTAATAGTAGCATCATCATTAAATGGAAAACTTCCAGTATGAGATAAATAAGCAAATCAGCAACAAAGTAAAGTAGCAAGTGGTAGAGGCTGCCAGTTAGTTTCATTATAAAAACCCCACAGAAATTTTATTTGGGTATTTTTTTGCCTGTTAGCCTTTAATAAATGGAGAAAAAAAATAGTGCCAAATGGCACACATTTGTAATCCTGTACTCAGGAAACTGACGCAGGAGGATTGTGAGTTCAAAGCCAGTCTGGACTATGTAGGAATACCCTGTCTCAAAGAAATAAAATAATCATAGTAACAATAACAGTGCTACTAATAATAAATGGTGAGTTTCTCTGAGTCAGGTGTGATACAGTAGAAAAAAGAACATGAGGTTTAAAGACAAATGGGTTATTGAATGATTTATTAATTATTAATAACAAATGGGTTATTGACTCTACTGCTTGCTGATTGTGCCCTCATGGGTAAGTTTACTCTGACCACCAAACCTGAGGATCACTTGTATATGAAGCACTCAAACCAGCACCTGAGACATAGTAGGCAATCAGTTGTTAGTTCATGTCACCTTTATAACTGTGTAGGGCAGGGAATGTGGGAGTAGCCTTTGTCACAAAGTCCCCTGTGCTGCTGTCTCAGAGTTACTGGGAAGATCCAGTCACAGTTCATTCTGTGAACCCATGCTGTGCCTCTTTTTTTCCTCAACACAGGTTGGAGCATGGAGATTGGGACTCTGCCCGGACTCCTATCATTGGCTCCTGTGGCACTCAGGAGCAATCACTGATAATAGATATTACAGGCAGCAGCTGTCGAAGGGTAAGAGGGGAAGGACACAGGGTGCTGTGCTCTCATACAGGCTGCCTGTGTTGATAGCATGAAGTCAGGCAAAGAGTGTGAAAGTCCAGCCACTGAGCAGCAATGGGTCTTAGGCTGGGAGGGTGAGGAAAACTGAAGAACCCGGTGGGACTAGCAAGTTGTTGACTCTAGGATGCCTCTCTTCTGCAATGTTAGGATGAGCTTAGTTTACTCAGGATTACTGGGAAGGGAAAGGGACATAGCCCTATATGTTGAAAATCTCTGACTTCCAGATTTTTCTTTCAGACCCGGAGTGGTGCTGGATGGAAGCGGGTCCTGCGTTCACTCTGTCATTCCCGGACCCGGGTGCCACTACTGGCATCCATCTACTTTCTGATGGTTCATGTCCTACTCATTCTGTGTTTCACAGGCCGTATATAAACTGTAGTTGTCACTTTTTGGACCATACCCCTCAGAACTTGGAATTTTCATCACCTCTAACATCAGAATTGTCGATTTCAGTGGAACAGTCTTCCCATTTACAGGTCATCTCTCCAACTCTCCACGGAAAGTGCCTGCAAAAACAGAGGCAATTATGAGTTCAGGTTGGAGCTGTGGGGCCCAGCGAGACTACTGTCTTCTGCCCAGGCCCAGAACACTTCTATTCTTCTGAGAAGCATCACAACTGGTTTGCTGAACTCAGTATTCAGATTTTGCAGGCCCCAATCTTTAATGGTCCTGTAAGGTACTGAGACATGTCTTTCATCCAAGTCAAGAGGATGGTTCCAATAAACCTAACAATTTGAAGTTCAATATCATTTTGATTGATAAGTTTCTTTGCCTCATTGCTTCTATTTTCTCCTGCTTCAGGGGAAAGGTAAACAAAGTTCTGGGGAATTAATGCATCACCTCACAGGACATGTGGTCAGGTCTCTTGCAGATGATGGGAGCTGGAGTTCCTCAGGGGTTTAGCTATTGAATCACAGGATCTCCTTCTGGACTATTCCAACACCATTGGAGGCAGGGTTTGTGGTCCTGGACTGTAAGAACAGGACATCATTGCCTATGACCTTGGCCAAGGTATTAAGTGGCTGGTGCCTTTCCTATCACTAAAAGCAGGAAGAGCTGGCGATGAACAGCAAGGTTCAGATTCTTGTCATTCCTGTTATCTGGATATGCATCCATGTAAGCTCTGAGATGGTGCCCAGGGGCAGGAGGAGCCAGTCCAAGGTGAGGCACTGGTCCCCCAGCTGGAGACCTGATGAAACTCCTGACCTCATGAAGTACCAAGCTTCTGTGCTGTTGGTGACAGTTATTCCAGTGTTCCATCCCCATAATCATTGCCTTCTCTGGGAACAGAGGGCTGAGGCAAATGGAAGGAGAATATAGAGAAGAGAAATCTAGACCTGAGAATAATAGGAGTGAATTCCATTGTGCCTGTTCCCCATCTTCTGTCCCCTCTCCATCCTTGCCAGTTGGTTGTTCTCACATTAGGTACACCATGTGTTCCCTGTCCGTTCTCACCACCTAAAGAAAAGAGAGGACTTGGGGGGCTCACCAATCTGCTCTTAATCTTTGTTCTTAGATGATTAAATATTCGTCACAGCATCCCAGGAATTTTGCTGAACTGTAAAATAATAAAATTATTTTCAGAATGAGAAATTGTGCTGTGTGAATGTGTGTAAGTATATGTGAGCACAGGTGTATATATACCTGAGTTTGTACATTGTGACAAGGTGGGGGAGGGAAAGAAGGACTGGGGCATGCAGGAGTGGTTATAGGGGAGTAGTAAGGTCCATATACTTAGGCTTCCTTCTTACTGGCCAGCATTAGTAATAGCTGTGAGCATCCTTCTAAGCCATAGCTGCAGACTCCAGAGAGATGAAGTGTATGAGGAAATTCCATCCTATGTCCAGACTGAATGAGCAGGTTTTAGGGTGTGAAATTCATGTAGGCTCATGTATAGTCCTGGGAGAGCTCTAGAAAACATTAGACCCCTAGAGATTCCTCTGAGTGGGAATGGGGAAGGTAAGTTTAATAGCAGGTTAGGTAGCATTATTATGCTTTTAAGTTTCTGCTTAGGAAAAACTAGCCCACTTAAGGTACAATAAGTGGAGTAGTTGAACCTAATCTGTCTGGTTTCAATGCCTGCTATTTCTGCGTGCTATACTACACTACCTCCTATAAATGAACTTGGGACATATGCAAAGGAGAGATAGGGTTTCTTGGTGTCATCTCCAGCGAAGTTCTATGGTTTCTCCAGAGAAGTATTCTCCTGTATGGTGTATTACATTATCTAGTCTGATAATTCCAATTTTGACAGCAGATTAGGAGTGTAAATTAATTTCCCCTCTTCTACAAATTTACTGTTCTTTAAAATAGCTGTGGTGCTGTCATGAAAAATAGCTCATGAAGAAAGAACACCATCAACTGTCCCAGGTACAGAATCCTTAGATTAGAAGTGACCCCAGGAGCTTTGTATTCCTAATGCAGAAATGCTCTCCTCTGTGCCATGGACTACTTTAATCCACTCCTGCTAGACCCCTTGGGGAGCCCATGACCTATGAACAAATCAGGTTAAAACTCTACAGATGATTAAGATAAGAACAGACTGGGTCAGATAAAATAACAAACAACCCTCTCTCCCTAGCTTCCCAGTAGCTAAAACAACAAAGGCTTATTTTTCAGTCAAAGATGCTAAGTCCTTCATATGCTGATTGGGGCTTACATTTTCATTATTGTTTCTCAGGGCTCCAGGCTGCCAAAGAAGCCACTCTGGAGAATTGTAAGACAATAAGTAAAGAATAGCAAAGCTTTCTGTGGTATAAAAGTAGAGGGATGTATCTCACTGGCCAAAACAAGTTACCTGAGCAAGTGTGACTTTAAGACAGAAGGGAAGGGCAGCAAATCTTAACAGTATACTGGATACCACAGACCTGTCATACCTGGTTCTTTCAAAACTCTTCTGTCTGGAGCTAAATTTTTTCTACCAGTGAGCTCATTGCTCCCAAGTAAGCTAGGAACCTTTCCATACCTTGCCTTTCCCCTCATGAGTTATTCCCTCCTATCATTTAATTGATCAGTACTTGGCTATCAGCTATATGCAAACTTCACTGGGGTTTGAACTCAGGGCTTCGCCTTTGTGAGGGAGGCACTCTGCTGCTTGAGCCATGCCTCCAGCTGTTTTTGCTGTGGTTATTTTGGAGATGGGGTCTTGCCTTTTGCCCCAGCTGGCCTAGGCCATAATCATCCTATTTTAAACTTCTCACCATCACTGGGATGACAAGCACGTGCCACCGTGTGCAGCTTGTAGCTGCACAAGCTTTTTTCCCAAATGAGATGGGGTCTTGCAAACTTTTTTTGCCTAAACTGTCCTCTAACAGTGAAATCCTCCCAATCTCAGCCTAGAATTAAAGACATGAGCCATCAATAATCCAACTTGCAAACTTTATTTTTAAGTGCTGTGTGTAACGCAGAAGTGTTTTTTGGTTTTTTTTTTAATGTCTTACGAGGGAGGGCACGGGGCAGGGGGGAGAAATGGCCCAAACAATGTATGCACGTGAATAAATGAATAAAAATTTTTTATAAATCAGTTTTCCCATCAAGCCTTTCTTGGTTACTACAGCCCATCACAAATGTTCTGGATTCCTTTACTATCGTAAATGCAACTGCCTGCCTATTTAAGGAACAAATGCTGTTTGACAGCATTCTCTAATGTGTTTTCTGGTTGGGTGTTTGTTTGCTCTGATGAGATTACAAACAGAGCAGCTGTTTTAATGACTGCCCCATGACGTGCAAAACCTTGCAAAAGACTAGGCACAGAAACTCTTAACCCTTTTCATTTAAGTGCCTAAAGCAGAAGGAACTGACTCAAACTTTCAGGAAGTAGCTGTGAGGACAGGGTGGCAGGAAATGACAGAAAACCTGAATACGGAACTGAAGCAGCTGCTTTCTCGCTCTGAAGTGGCAGCAGCCAGAGAGAGGGTGCAGGTGTGGACGTGAGAAGCTGGGCGTTTAGAACAAACGCTCACACTATTGGAGGTGGGAACTTCCGAGTGGTGGGAGACTTGGGGAGCACAGGGTAAGTGGAAGAACAACATACCTGGTGCTTAGTTCTTGAAGGACAAGGTGCAGTGATTGTGGAGAGTGAGCATCTGGAGATGGAAACAAAAGGGGAGGGCCCGAGCACTGGGAGCAAGATTGAGCAGCCATCTAGGAGCCCAGGCCTTGCAAAGTGTTGCTTGGCTTTTGCTGACAATCTACAGCTCACTCTTAAGGCTCTTGGCACTGAAATGGAAGGAGGCCCACAAGCGATGCAGGCAAAGATTTCCCTTGGTTGGTCTAGCAGGAAGACAAAATCCACATAAGATATGTAACAGATGAGGAAGTAGTCACAAAATAACTTTAGTGCTGATGGTGGCCAAATGCAGGCTAGGGCTACTTTCTGTCACAGGAGGATTACAGAGTCCTAAAGTATCAAAAATAGAAGGTGCTTTATAGTCTGACTAGGTTAACCTTTTCATTTATTTTTCATCAAGGAAATCAGAGATAATCAGTGATTTGCCAAATTATTTTAGTAAATATTAGTGAATCTCCTACTCCCCCAAAAAGAGTATGTGCTCTATGTCTGTTTCCTTGCCATGGTCCCACAGAGGCTTGATCACAGCTGTGGTGATCATGAGTCTCTTGTCTCCCAGTGTGTGTCTTTACTGATACCTAAGTAAGCCTGGTAATCAGGCCTTGAATGTGCCTGACATCCTGGGAACCAGCCTCACCAGATTATCCTCCAGCCTCCCACTTTAGTTAACAAAAGCTGTTTCCCTAATTGCTGGTCAGAATATTATGTTATCTCTGTGTCGGAAACTTTTGTGTTTATTTCAAAAATGGGTAAAGGTGAGAGGTTGATGGCAGAGTCAGGCTGAGGCCTCAGAGAAACAACAGGAAAGAGGATGACACCATTGGGCCTCATTGCTTCCTTATTGCTCACAAATATATTTCAGACTTCTCCTTTCCAATTTTCTGTGTAAAGTCCTTTTGTTGCAGAGCAGCCCAAGAGCCAAGGCATGACAAAATATAGGGGCAGTAAGGATGCACATTACAGATGCTGTTTACTTGTCCTTGGCTCTCCCCTATAACTGTTGCCCAGCAGAGAAGGCAGAGCTGCTCTCAGCCATGACTTAGTCTCTGCTAGACTGACTCCATCTACACTTCTGCAGTTTCCCTTTAGCACCTCTTTAGCCAATCTACCTCAAATTTTCTCTGGGCTAGTGTTCAGGAGGTATTCAAAAAGCATGGAGAACGATGGACTTTCCAAGTAGAAATGGAAACTGAAGACTGAGGGCCTAGGCAGAGACAGGAGAGCCCAAGGAGTATTGAATGGTATCTCCTTTAAGGAAGAGTACAAAGCATGGGAAAGGCCTCTTTTGGGAGGAGAAAAGGATGGGCAGGGGGAGTTGCCAGTTAGCAAGTGGTGCCTGGGTCAAGAAATCTCAGTGGCCATCAGGGAAGATGGGCAGTGTCCATTATTACCTCTTCACACCAAGATCTCAGAGACTGCAGAGGCGAGCAACTGGGCAGCTCTTCCTCATGCATCATTGGCAAGGCCAATGGAACACTGCAGATACCCCAGCAGAATTTGGCACTTTTCAAACTAGTGTTCTCTAAATATTTCTTTTACATTTATTTAGTTGGTAAAAATCAAATACCTAACAATGGTCAAAATAAGGAATATATTACATGGTATTTTTGAACTGCTTATCTTCTTTTTAAATAGAATTGAACTGTTTTTAAAAATTGAATGATAAATGACTTTTATTTCCAGCAAATAATGCTTTCCCATGCATTGTTCAGTATAGAAATTTCAGCTGATTATTCCTACTGACTACCTATAACTGTCAGTGACCGGTCTCAGAGTGGTCTCAGTACTTCCACTGAGAGTTGAAAAATTCTCAATATAGTAAAGCACAGGAGGGAGAGGTCCACTTTGTTAGGAGTTTGACAAGTTTATGTTTTGATAGCTATTAAAGGAGTCATATGTAGAAATCTGAGTGAAATGTCACCATCTTTCTGTGGATATTATAGCACCCCTCACTGATCACCACCAAAGGCTGGCCTCTGGACACAGTGAAGAGTCCCAGAAATTTTGACACCAAAATTATTTAGTGTTACCTGCACCCATAAGGACTTTTTCTCCACACTCAGGTGGGCCCAGGCCATGTTGGTTTTTCTGAAATAAACCCCATGCCCTCCTCCTCTAACTGAACAGAAGTGATTTCCTAAAAAGTTTTCTATCTGAAATGGCAGGAAACACTGACTTGCTTCATTTATGACTTCAACATTCTTGTCTTCCTCTCTTAATTCTGTCTTGTTCCCAATTATTCCCATCTTCTGTCACCCCCAGATGTGGAAGTCTGTAGTGGGGCATAATGTATCTGTTTCCGTGGAGACCCAGGGGGATGACTGGGACACAGACCCTGACTTTGTGGTAAGTTTGGAAGTAGCTATGCTTGGACAATGAAGAAGGTGGGTGAGGGAAGGGCATCTGTGTCACTCTGTGACCTTTAAGGGGGCTTAGAAAGGGACCATCTGGGCCTAAGATAGTCCTCATGGTGGGACGGATGGGCAAGATGGTTGAGTGTCATAAGTGGAGCATGAATAAGAGCTGGTGTTGAGGATGGAGGGAGACAGGAGTGGATGTGTTTGATAATGTGAGTGATGGGTTTTGATAGGCTAAGCTGAAGTTGAGAAGCAGGTGAACCTGGGTTTCCTCTGGCCTGTGATCCAAGATTTAGGCTGGACATGTGTGATTTGAGTGGATTTGACATGTTATAGACCCAAAGAGGAAATTGTGAAGGATGTGGAATAGGGATAGAGGTTTCAGAGCTCACCAGTTTAATTTTCACATGGTGGGACTGGAGTAAACATCCCTAATTGAAGAAGTAGCTGATGCAGATGCAGGGGACAGGGAAGGTAAGAGTGTTGAGTGTGTGACTCCACACATTTCTCACTAACACTTTCTGTTAAATGCTGTGTTTTGCAGAATGACATTTCTGAGAAGGAACAACGGTGGGGAGCCAAGACCATTGAAGGTTCTGGACGCACAGAGCACATCAAGTAGGTGCCAAAAAGACTGGTAAGGGAAACTGGTATGTTAAGAGGCCAAAGAAACTCAGAGACTCAGGAATTTGTGGAAGGAAAAAGATGGGTAGTTCATGTCTGGGTATCTTTGTGGTTTTTTTTTTTCTTTTTTCCCCAGAGGGTCTCTGTGTGTCCCTTCATGTGTTATCGTGTATTTCCATTTCATCTCTCTTTTCCCTCTAGCCTATTATCTTTTATATCTAACAACTCTGCTATTTCCCCCAGAGAAGTCTGTTGTATTAACTGCCTCCTTTCCTTTGGTCAGGCATGACAGACTCAGACAGGAAGTGGCTCAAATGCTGACCTTTTATCTAGCTTTATCTACTTACCTACCTATCTTTATTTATCTCCTCACATAAATATAAATATGTGATTAGAATGCAGGATGAGTTCAGTTGGGCTAAGAAGGATTCAGTAAAATGTCATGGTGAAGAACTCTTCCATAAATGCTGTAAAAAGGGCAATATCAGCTTCCATACTTGGCCCAAATGACTTAAAATACAAATTTGTACTTAACTACTTGACAGAATAATAAGAAATGTGTTGGTTGAAAATCTGATGGTGAAAAATATTTTAGATTATGGCCCTGTATTCATTTTATCAGAAACAAACTTCCTCTGATACCCAAAGAGAAGAATGAACTTATAGACATAATCTGGGCTTCTGTGGGATATATTGAATTACAAGATCTCCTCTCCTCATAGGTTATTCTGGATCATCTAACCTTTGCTTTGGGTAGTATGATAATGTAAAATATTAGTAGCAAGGTAAACACAGTAAAACGTATAGCAAGAGCGAAAATGGAAAGTAAAGAATCAACAACTACATGTAAAATGGCAAAATTAAGCTCCTTCCTAATCCCCTACCCAACAGGAAGATTTCCTTTCAATTTTAAAATGTGTCAGTGGATGACCACATGGCACAAAAAAACACACTAAGAAAAGTAGGCATATGTTTATGCAGATTGGGAATTATCAGTACTATGCATGATTGCTTAATCATGCATAAATGGTTTGAATTAAATAGCTATAATGAATATTATTCTTCATTAAGCAATTCTGGAAGCACTAGGAATGACAACAAAAAGAAAAAAATCAGGATCTTTCAGAAAGTTTTTTTAATATTTTATTTTATCTTTGAGGGTACTGGGGTTAGAAATCAAGGCTTGGTGCTTGCTAGGCAGGCACTCTACTGCTGAAGCCATGCCTCCTTTTTGTTTGTTTGTTTACATTTTTGAGACAGGGTCTCTCACTATGCAGCCCAGGCTTACTTCCCAAGTGCTGGAATTACAGGTGTGTACCATCATGCTCAATTCAGAAAGCTTCTTTATTGCTCACTCTTCTGAGAACTCATATATCCAAAAGGGGCAAGGCCCCATTGCTTTTCTGAGTAAAGGCCACTCAGTCTGAGTACTCCAGTTATCATTAGGGTAAGGAAATGCTCTCTGCACATTTCCCCTCTCACTACCTGACTTTTGCATAGTAGGTAGAAACAGAACATTTTATGGAAGACTGCTAAATTCCTGCCATTATATACATGGAAAGATATCATACTTTAGATATTAGATAGATTTAGAGTCACAGCTCCCCCACTACTAGCTATATGTGAACTTAGTCACACACAATCTCTTTGCCTCTCAGCTTATTTCTCAACAGGAGTAATAACAGCCACCTTGCAGATTTATGGTTAGAATTCAATAAGATAGGATATGCCATTTCTCCTGCTCCTTAGCACTTCTTAGCAGTTCAGTGATGGAACTCTTCTTGTTAATATAGCTAAGTTTAATCAGATTACCTTCCCAGAAACCTAACATAAACATGTAATAGATGACAGTCTTCCCTCCTCCTAAGTGGTGTTTACCCAAATAGCTATGCTATGTATCACTTTGGTGTCCCCTATAGTCTTACAATGTGGTAACTTTGCATATCTCCTTGTTAACCCAACTGGATCCATATGCAGTTGGTTATATTATGTTATATATTATGTTATATATTTTATTATGTTGAAAATATGTCTATAAAAGCTTACTTGCCTCCCATTTGCTCGGGCACCAAGGTGTAAAGCCTGGTTTCTGCTGGTAACAGGCCAGGTGACCCTGGACAAGTCTTTTATCCTCTCTGATCCTCAGTGTTCTCATATGGATCAAAAAGATATCAGGAGGACATTCGGGTGCTAAGTCTCTAATCTTCTGGGTTCTCACTGGCTAGTGTGGGCTAAGCCAGCTTTCATGGTTAGGTGGGAATCTCTAAGACCCTCAGAATGGAGGGGAAGTTGAGAAGAGTAGCTGCCAATCTGAGATGACTCAGAGCAGGAAAAGGAAGTGACTGTGGTTCTCACTAGTCTCACTACCCTCCCCCACAACACAGTGCTTCTTTTTAGGTCTGTCTTGAATAAATTTAATGTAGTGTGGTTTTGTAATTCAGTGAATAGTTCAAATGATCCTGTCCCTCCCTCATTGATTATATAAAAAAAACTGGCTGATGTCAAAGGCTGGTGCCCCTCCCTTTTGCTTTTGCTCTACTCTTGCCCATTCCTTCTCTTTGGTGCCCTTCCCCGTGGCTCATTAAGGATCCTCAGACAGTACTTCTTATACTATCTGTGGCAAAGGACCAGGGTTTTGTCTGTTTGTTCATTTTTAAATCTGTCACAGACTGATAGTTCTGTAACATTGAATTATTGGAAAATAAATAAGAATTTTTTAATTTTTAGATTCAACAGATGTAAGATCACTATGTCAAACTGCTACAAAAGTTTCTAAACATATATGCTTAATTTTTATTCTTAATTTTATTCATTGTGGAAGTTCACCTTGTGGACTTCACTTTTTTTGTGTGTGGCAGTACTAGAGATTAAACTCAGGGTCTCCTGTTTACCAGGCAAGTTCTTTACCATTTGAGTTACACTCCCCAGTCTTTTTGCTTTCAGTTTGTTTTTCAGATAGGGTCTCAAACTACCTTTTCCCAGGCTGGTCTTGGACCTTGATTCCCCTACCTCTGCCTCCTGAATATCTGGAATTATAGGTGTGTACCACTATGCCTGACCCAGTGGATTGCACTTTGAGCAGTACACTGCACTAGAAAAGGCTTTTGGTGCTTCCTGAAGCCTGTTTGGCCCTTAGGTTAAGTCCTCACTGAGTGATAACCATAAGTATGTGCTTTGATGGCCCTGCCCACTTTCTTATACCATGACATTTTATACCAAGTGGAAATGGAGAATAATGTAGAACCAAGAATACTGAAATAGAATTGTGAAGATCTAGGGACTGATCCCAGCACAGCTACAAAAAGATTCATGGCATTGAAAAGAATTATTTCACCACCCTGCCTCTGTTTTCCCCAGTGACTGGCAATAATAGAACCAACCCTATTTACCTCACAGAGGTACTGTGAAGAACCATGGCTATAACATAAGAATAAAGGTCAACATTTATGTGAGCTGTTACATGTAACCCTAATCATAGATGATGTGGTCATCTGACTTCACAGAGAAGTGAATAGATGTTTGCTTTTGTTCACTTTTGATGTGTAGCAAGGACATACAAATACTAATCTAAATTCATCTTAGTCTGATTCCATGGGCTGAGTTCTTAACAACCATATTGTATTTTTTCTGTCTAATAAACAAATATTGTCATGTGCATAATTCTGTTGTTGCAATAGAATGTAAATACTGTAAGCTAAGCTATTGCCTTTACCTAAGGCTGCTGTTTTGTTTGGAACCACTTAGTACCTAATAGGTTGGCTTTAAAGTAGTCATATTCATAAGCATGAACCTCTTTGGGAGTACTTAAAAGCTACCCTTCCTTTAATGTTTTCTTTACTTTCTTATTTTGAGAAATCAGCTTTATCAAAGTATATTGATAGGCAAATAATAATAGGCAAAATGCAGTGTATTTGAAAATAGATACATGTAACCACAAACCCAATCAAGATATAGAATATTTCCATTATCACAAAGAGTACCCTTGTGCCTCTTTGTAGTCAAATATCCCTCATTCCCACCCCAGTGCATAAAGCACTGATCTGCTTTTTGTTATTATAGGGTAGTTTTGCTTGTCCTAGAATTTCATGTAAATGAAATAATATAGACTATACTCTTTTTGTGTTCATCTTCTTTCTCTTAGCATTATTTTTTGAGATCTAGCCATGATGTCATGTGTGTCAGTCTTTTATTCATTTGTAATTGTCAAGTAGTATCCCATTTTATAGATATGCCATTGGCTTATACATTACCTAACTGATAGACATTTGAGTCTGTTACAAACAAAGATGCCATGAACATTTGGGTACAAGCCTATTTATTGACATATATATATATTTTTTTTTCATTTTTCTTTTATTATTCATATGTGCATACAAGGCTTGGTTCATTTCTCCCCCTTGCTCCCACCCCCTCCCTTACCACCCACTCCACCCCCTCCCGCTCCCCCCCTCAATACCCCGCAGAAACTATTTTGCCCTTATCTCTAATTTTGTTGTAGAGAGAGTATAAGCAATAATAGGAAGGAACAAGGGGTTTTGCTGGTTGAGATAAGGATAGCTATACAGGGCATTGACTCACATTGATTTCCTGTGCGTGGTTGTTACCTTCTAGGTTAATTCTTTTTGATCTAACCTTTTCTCTAGTTCCTGGTCCCCTTTTCCTATTGGCCTCAGTTGCTTTAAGGTATCTGCTTTAGTTTCTCTGCATTAAGGGCAACAAATGCTATTGACATATATTTTTATTCTCCTAGGAAATATTTAGAAATAGAATTGCTGAGTCATATAGCAAGTGTATGTTTAAGGTAAACAGGGCTTGTCCTATTATTTCCAGTCACATGGGAAAAAAGAAGCAATTCTAGGATTTGAACTAAGGGTTTTGAGCTTGCTAGGCAGGTGCTCTACTGCTTGAGCCATGCCTCAAGTCCTACAAGTATATTACTAGATTTTTGAGAAACTGTCAAACTATTTTCCAAAATGAATTTAATTTTTTCTTCCTACCAGCAATGTATGGGTTCCAGTTGTTCCACATCCTTGTGAACACTTGGAATTGTTAAAAGTTTTAATTTTAATCACTGTTGTATGTGGTGATTTCAATTTATATTTCTTTGATGAATAATTTCATTAAGCATCTTTCATGTGCCATTCATGTACCTTCATCTTTCTTCATTTCGAAGTGTCTGTTCAAATTGTTTAAAGTGAGTTGTTTGTTTTCTCACTCAGTTGTTTATATGTTTTGGCTACAGGTCTTTTGTGAGATACATATTTTACAAATATTTTCTCCTAGGTGTAACTTCCTTTTTAAAAATGGTACCATTTGAAGAGCAGAAGATTTTAATTATGCTAAAGTCTAACTTATAAAAACTATGATTAAGTGCTTTTTGTAACTAAGAATTTTAGCTATCTCAAAGTTGTAAAGATTTTCTTTTATGTTTTGGTTCCAATTCATTTGATGTTTTAGCTTTTACATTTAGATCTATGATCCAGCTTCTTTTCATATTAACATTTGTGCATAGTATAAGGTCAAGGTTGAAGTTCATTTTTTTCCATATGGATATTTAGTTGACCAGCACCACCAAAAGTCTGTCCTTTTCTCATTGACTTAGCTGACAGTTTGACCATATGCATGTGGTTCTATTTCTGCATGCTATTTTGTTTCACTGAGCTATATGTCTACCTTGACAGCATACCTACTGCAGAGATTATTGTAGCTTTCTAATTAAGTCACAAAATCAAATAGTTCTCCATCTTTGCATTCTGGTTTTTTTTTTAAATGAATACATTTTACTATTCCAGGACTTTATATTTCCACATACATTTTAGAATCAGCTAGTCAATTCCTACAAAAACATCTGTTAGGATTTTGATTGGGATTACATTGAATCTATAGATCACTTGGGGGGAGAGAGGAGAATTGGCACCATAATGATATTGAGCTTTCCCATCAATGAACTTAGGATGTCACTCTATTTATTTAAGTCTTCTTCAGTTTTTTTTCATAAATATTTTTCAGTGTTCAGTCTTACATATATTTTTAAAACTAAAATATTTCATGTGATGGTAACTGATACTTATTTATTTATTTTTATTGTTGTGCTGGGTGTGGTACACTGTGGCATTTATAAAAGTTCTTACAATATGTCAAATATATCATATTTGTATTTACTTTCAATTTGCAAATTTCTATTACTAATATATAGAAATGTAGTTGATTTTGATATTGTGTCTTTGTACCCTATGACCCTGCCAAATGTACTTAATAATTCTAGTAGCTCTTTTATGGATTATTTAGGATTTTTTTCAAATACATATCATATCACCTATAAATAAAGACATGCTTTTCATTTTGTAATAAACCCCCACAGCTCTGTCCTTTCTCATAGTTCATTTTTAAGGCCTGGTTCTCGTAAACTGCATTGCTTTATCAATGCAAAGAGTTAATGCATCAATACAATGAGTTAATACATCAAAAGATACTAAGGTATGACATTTAGAAGTTACATTGAATTGTAACTTTTGTTTTCCTCTCTGTCTCTTCCACCTGACCACTATCTCCATACATTAATCATCTTTGTGTCCTCAAACTCTAACAGTGCCCCATATTCAGAAGTTGTTTAATTAATATTAAGGGAATAAAGGAATGACATATTAAGACCTATCCAGAATGAATTCAACTGTGTCATAAAGAAGTTGATTAAAATTGGTTTTCTTTGGCTACAACATTTTTATTCAAATGATATTGTCTATTGACATAATCTCTGACTAGCTTTTCTTTCTCATCTGTTAGTGGATACTCCTGAATATAATTTTTCTAGTCCCTTTTAAAATCTTGTTTCAATTATAATATACTCGTGATCCATTTAAAAAGACATTGAGCTCATTGAAACATTGCAGGTTTTTCTCAATTGAAATCAATGTTTGGCCCCATTTTTTTCATTCTTTATCGAGTGCCTACTTGGAAAACATTGGACAGCCCAATGCATGTTCTTGGAACCAGTAGCTTTTCTGACACAGACAGTTCTAAAGTGTTGGTTTTGTGAACTAGCAACACAGGATCTCTGCTTTCATTGCTGGGATAAGAGGAGCATGGGAACAGAGGGTTCTTCCAGCAGTTAGATTAATTTCATCTGGTTCATAGCCAGCTTTCTAAAATTAACTGTGAATAACACTGAGAAGGCTTTTTAAAAGCCCTCCAGTGGGATTATCCCACAAGGCCACCAGTTAGACCTATTCTTCCATGAAAGAATTTTCACTGTGAGGTGGCCATTCTATCAGTAACTAATGTGTCTGCTTGTCCTGAGCTAGTTAAGTCCAAGAGATATTGCTATCTCAATACCCCAAAGCTTCATTGCTTGATACAGAAAGTCAAGTTTCTTATTTAGGGTTCTCTTGCCCAAGTATTTCTAAGAGTCCACAGGGGTTCTTACATATGTCCAACACTGTTTCTTGGGCTATCACTTCATATCCTCAAGATGAACAGATTGGCAGAGGTGGCTCTCTTCCCTCTTCAGTGTTGCCGTCACCATGAAGATAAAGAAGGAACTGAGTGTGTAGTAGGAAGAGGGCACCCTCTTTTACCTCCTTTGGTGTTACTTGCTCTTAGGGATAGAGGTGTCCCAAATCAAGATTATTTGAGCCTTAAACTGCTATGGATGAGTGAATTTTATTAGTCTTTGTTTGTTATTAGTTATCTAAAGGAATTACCAGGCTTGGAGAGATGGGGGTCAGAGAATGTTAATTCTTGACAAAAGGAAAATACAAAATATGGATGCATAAATTTCCCCAATGCTGCATTTTTATAAGCATCATTTTTATTAACATGTGTTAGTTGTAAGTCACAATGTATCTTAATTAGATTCACCCCCTTCTATCATCCTCCCTCCTCCCTCTCCTCTCTTCTTAGACCAATTTCAGCAGGTTTCATTTTTCTATTTTCTTATGTATATACAGTACATCTTCCTCCTTCACCTTCTCTGTTTACTCTCCCTGCTTCCTCTGGTAACCATCCCTGGACAGGACCTGTTTTACCTTCCTGCCCTTCATTTTTTAAGCATATATTGATTATTAAATGTATATGGCTGATTGCCATGGTATTTCACACATGTATGTATTGTACTTTGATCAAATTAACTAACCCCTCTATTACTTAATCTTTATCACCCAGCTCCCCTATTATTCAATAGCTTTCAGTATTTCATACACATATGCAATGTATTTCATATTGCTCTCTCTCTATCATTCTCTTCTCTACTCCCACCTCCCACTAGTCCCCTCCAATAGAGCCACTATCAGAATCATGTTCTCTCACTCTCTTTTTCTATATAAATGTATATATAATCATATGCATATTTGTGTATAATGACTTCTAGTATGCTATTGAAAGATAACATTTCAGTTTTCTAAATTATTTATCATATAAGTTGTTTCTTGCTTTTGCTATTATATATAATGTTTCAATGACTCATTAGACATTAAGCTTTGCCATATCTACAATTATTACCCTGGGATACATTCCTAGGGCTAGAGGATATAGGTCCAAGGATAGATGAATATTTTTATGCTTCTTGAGACGGATAACCTAGTTGATAGGAAGAAGATCCATTCAGAGAGGGAAATAACTTTCTAGTTATTACAATATAAGTTCTATTTGCCCTCTAATACTTGAGAACATGAAAAATGGAAGTAAATAAAATAACATACTTGAGGAAATATTATTAGTTCCTGGGTTGTTTAAACCAGGCTGTGGTATACAGGTCATACCTCTTACAGTGGGACACACCATCATATACTATCAGCTAGGGTGTAGAATACAGGTCATACTGACCTCTTACAGTATGATGCCCCATCATAAATGCTATCTCTTACAGTGATATACCATGACTTGCATATTTTAGGGACTCAGATTATTTCTACAAATACAAAAACCTCAAGATTTCCATTTCTCTGGGAATATGGGTTCAATAGCATCCCTGTGCTAGGTGAGCTCCAATCATGTGGTTACTTCCAGCATCCACCAGCTGAGGAGCAAAGTATCAGAGGAGCATGATGTTCTCAAGAAGAAAGAGATGGAATCAGGGCCCAAAGCATCCCATGGTTATGGAGGTCGGTTTGGAGTGGAAAGAGACCGAATGGATAAGGTGAGCAGAAAGGGAGAGATTTTGCTTTAGAAAGGAAAGAAAGAAAAAGGATGGAGGGAGGGAAGGAAGGAAGGACGGAAGAAGGGAAGAAAGAAAAGAAAGAGAAGAAAGAAGGGAAGAAGGAAAAAAGAAGATAAAAAGGGAAGAAAGGAAGAAGGAAAGAAAATAACTTAACTCCCTTGTTGGTTTTATGGTTCAAAACTTATTCAAAGTACAGTGTTCATTTGGGAATTAAAAAAAGAAAATCCATAGTATTTATATCATTTTCTAACCTGAGTAAGTAAGATGATAGATGAACAAAAACAGAGTCAAGTTTTGGAACAGCCAGCCCACTGCAGTCCTAGGCACACAGTAACTCCTATACCAAGGACACAAGGAGCACAAATTGAGAAGGGGAAAACAGGTTTTAGAATCATTTGCTGATATTAATGTTTGCATGTCATATCTATGTTATAATTTCTCTTATTTTCTTTACTATATATTTAGCAATCTTTTTGTATACACATTACACATTTTATGTTGTATACACATTACACATTATATGTTGTGGAGAAGTTCAGAATTCAATTCTGAACTTCAAAGAGCATACAGGAGCAAAGATCTAGGACAAAAACATTTGGCCAGTTTAGTGAAAAGTTCAATCCCAGTCACAGTTCCTTTAATCTCCCCCAAACTATATGCATTTCTGTTGGCAGTGCCCGTTTTAATTTTGTTTTTCTGGTTTAAACACTGAGCTGGCTACCTAGTAGGTACTCTGACTCCTAGAGCATTCTCAGAAGTTTGGGAACAATGGCTCCCTAGTGGTATTTAGGAAGAATTAACAATGTGCAAGGCTCCAGAAAAAGTCACGTACTCACCCACCACATGCTCCCTGGCACTGCCACCAGAGGTTGTAGATCCAATGCTTGTATTTTGACATCCTGTTCCATCTCTGTATCTATTTTTTCCAGGTCATTTTTACCTTTTTCTCACTCTGTTTTTGATTTTCTCAGAGTGCTGTGGGCCATGAGTATATTGCTGAGGTGGAGAAACACTCTTCGCAGACTGATGCTGCCAAAGGCTTTGGGGGCAAATACGGAGTTGAGAGGGACAGGGCAGACAAGGTAAGTGGCAACTTTCTTCCCATACCAGCCTCCTTAAGTTGTGAGGGACTTACCAACACTCACACTGGAATGTAGGCCCATGCTTCTTTGGTAAAAGGCAGGGCAGTGACTGTTATCACAGTTTGGCACCATCACCAGGGTGGTTCCCGTGACCGCCACAATAAGTTCCTTGGTGCCACTGTTGGAGGCCACATGCCGAACTCTAAGGCATTCATTTAAAGGCAGCAAGGGCTGCGGGTATAGCTCAGGGATTGAGCACTTGCCTAGCATATGCAAGGCCTTGGGTTCATCAGTACTGAAACAGAGAGCTAGATAGATAGATAGATTAAATAGATGATAGATAGATTGATAGATAGCTGGATAGATAGATATAAATAGGTAAGTATATAAATAAATAGAGAAATGAGGAAAAGACCCTCAAATTATTAATAAGAATTCCTCTGGCCATTTGTTTTTATTATATCTGTATGGATGAAGAGAAAAAAGAGAATTTCCAAAGCTCCTCTTTTGTCCTAACATCAAAACCTCATAAAAATGCACTTGACTTTCAGGAAAAGGTTTAATTTAAATATAATGACCATGACAGGAAACAATAAAGTAAAACAATTAATTAGGATTGCAATGTTTTTAGAAAGTGAAGGTTCTTTTCACAGGATTTAACAATAATCACTGAAGTCTGGGGATCGATAAAGATTCCTTTGAATAAAAGCATCGTTTTAAAGAGAACAAACAGTACAGTGTGATTACAAGATAACACAGTAGATGGGAAAATAAGATTGCAAAGTTATTGATGCTCTTAGTCCCACACCTTATTAAAAGACTCTTGCTGGTGTTTCTTCCCCTGTAGCGCACGCAGAGAGGACATCTTCACAGCTGGCTGAGATTTTTTTTTTTAATTTGCCAGAGTTGTTAATTAGGTGGGACTGAATCAATAATGTTAAGTGCTAGAATGCTGATTATCTGCATTGGCAGGGGCAAGAAGAAATAAAAACAAACCCCCAAGAGTTCAAAACATGGTTTAAAGGAAAGGAAAACCACAGAAGGCAATTTAAAGGCAATAGTGGGGGCTGGGTGAGGTAGTACATGCCAGTAATCCCAGTTACTCAGGAGGCGGAGATAAGAGGATCGAAGTCCAAGGCCAGCCAGGGCAAAATTTAGTAAGACCTTATTTGAAAAATGAACTGAAAAAACAAAAGGATTGGGGCATGGCTTAAGTTGTAGAGCACTTGCCTAGTAAGTAACAGGCCCTAAATTCAAGCCACAGTACCACCAATAAAAAAAAAAAAAAAAGGAATAATGGCAGGTTGGAGACATACCTAGTTTAAGGCCAGCCTGAGATACATAACAAGACCCTGTTTCAAAAAACAAATGAACAAAAATAATATTCCCTCCCCAAAACCAACCAAACAGCAACAATAATGATGGCATATGGATTATGTAATTCTCTATAAACAGGATAGCACTTCCCATTCCATCCTGGCTCCCCTCCTGCTAGTTCTTGCCTAATCTCTATTGTTAATCATTACATCACTGCTTTACAAACCACAAATTGAATCACCTAAATTCTGTGTCATAAAAATCAAGAAACAGTACGTACTAATTAGCTCTTAAGACCCCAAACCTTGACTTGCTTAGAGACCCATCGTTACTGAATCAATGGGATGCAGTTCCAAGGTGATGTTAGGTCTCCAATCAGTTTACCCAGTCCTGTGGCCAGCTGGGATCCAGATTCTCCTTCTTGCTCCTATCCCACCAAAATCTGCATCTTTGTGCTTCCACTGCTGAATAATGAAAGATAAGCGGCACAGTACAATCAACAAGGAACAGGATAAATCTGACATAGAGCTTTTAGTGAACAAGGCATTTTTCTACTTATTTCTACTTGGTTTTGTGAGGATTACTTGGGAAGAAAAGCACTCATTTAGTGAGTGACTCAATGCAGACACTATATATACTTTGTTCCATTTAATTGTCAGATTACCCCAAATGAAAAAAGGATCAATTCTTTGTTTTACAGTTAGGTAGTTAAGGCAAGTATGCCTCTCTTCACTTTATATCCAAAGATACCAGTACTCAGAAATATTAAGGAACGTGGCTAAAGCTGAATGTCTCTGAATAGAAGAGATGTTGTTCAGCTCTAGAGCATTCTGTGTCCACAGCCTATGCTCATGGTTCTATAGCAATGTATCCCAACACCAGCCTGTCAGGATTCTATGTTTCTACATTAAACCCCCATGTACCTCCCTGAGCCCCTAAAACTACCTCTGGGGCTGAGCCTTAGGAGGGGTAAGTCAGGGAGGGAGAACACTGACATTTCTGACTCTAACCAGATCTCTGTCTCGGTAGTCAGCAGTGGGCTTTGACTACAAGGGAGAAGTGGAGAAGCACACATCTCAGAAAGGTAAGGGTCCTGCACATCAGCCTCAGCCACCCATGGGTGGTCACTCTTCTAAGACAGCTTCCAGCTTCCATCAGCTTCCTTTGCTTCCATGACTGCGCTCCCCACTATTTCAGTTACTTGTCAATCCTAATGTATGTTTGCTTATTTTTTTCTCCTGCCTTCAATGAGATTAGTCAAGTTTTCTTTAGTCCTTTGTTTCCTGGGATGTGCTGAAAATAAGGTATTCTACTTCTTTATTGTAGAAAATTATCCTTAAATTTTAACATGAATCTTTGACTTAAATTTAAAAATAATCCCTATCTATTTATGGATAAAATAGGAAAGATAGAATATCTTAACTATATTCTTTCTACTTTCCATATTAATGGTGTCCAGCATATTAGTTATATCTTGTTTTAAAACCCCACAAAAATTAATCATTCCATAGTAAATGCATATTTAAATTGACCAGCAATTGCCATTTTCTAGTTCACCACTGTTTATTGTATTTCATTGTTTCCTCCTTGCATCTTCTATTTTCTTCTTGCTGAAGTATATACCCTTTGATAGCTCTTTTAGTGAAAGTTTATGAAGGAATTCCCAGTATTTGAATAATCTCTTTATTTTGCAGCAATCTTCATCATTTTTTCCCTTCTTCATTTGAAGATAATATTTCATTATTCTGACATTTCTCTTGTGTCTAATTATAATTATCATTCTTTGTAGATAACATATCTTTCTCTCTTTTAAAAATTGTTAAATGTTTTCTGATATTCTGCAGTATCATCAGGATGTATCTCACTTTTAGATCTATTTTTATTATCTGATATGAGACTTATTACAACTCTTCAACTTTAGCCATGACCTTCATATGGGAAGTTCTCAGGCATTTTTCTTTCTTTCTTGTTTTTTTTTATCTGCCAGTACTAGGGTTTGAACTCAGGGCTTTGCACTTTCAAGGCAGCCACTCTACCACTTGAGCCACACCTCCATTCCTTTTTGCTCTGGTTATTTTTGGAGACAGGTCTCATGAACTATGTGCCCAGGCTGGCCTCAAACTGACCTCCCGATCTCAGACTCCCAAGTAGCTAGGATTACAGGCATGAACCACCAGCACCCGGCTCTTTCATTTTTTTTTTAACCTATGTAAGATTTATAGTGATATGATAAGCTCACTTTCATTTATAATATTGTTAATTTGTATTTTTCTTTTTTTAAATTTTTATGTGTTTTATTATATACAAAGAACAATAGGAGATTTCATCAGGTAAACAAAAGAATATAAGTTATAGTCACAATTGGTAGGTTTTTTTTTCCATTTTGAATTATTTTATTTTATTTTTAAATTTTTTATTCTATTCATATGTGCATACAATGTTTGGGTCATTTCTCCCCCTTTTCCCCCGCCCCTTCCCTTACCCCCTTCTCTGACCCTCCCCTCTTACCAATCACTACCCAGCAGAAACTATTTTGCCCTTATCTGTAATTTTGTTGAAGGGAGAGTATAAGCAATAATAGGAAGGACCAAGGGTTTTTGCTAGTTGAGATAAGGATAGCTATACAGGGAGTTGACTTACATTGATTTCCTGTGCATGTGTGTTATCTTCTAGGTTAATTCTTCTTGATCTAACCTTTTCTCTAGTTTCTGGTCCCCTTCTATTGGCCTCAATTCCTTTAAAGTATCTACTTTAGTTTCTCTGCATTGAGGGCAACAAATGCTATCTAGTTTTTTAGGTGTTTTACCTATCCTCATACCTCCCTTGTGTGCTCTCGCTTTATCATGTGATCAAAGTCCAATTCCCTTGTTGTGTTTGCCCTTGATCTAATGTCCACATATGAGGGAGAACATATGATTTTTGGTCTTTTGGGCCAGGCTAACCTCACTCAGAATGATGTTCTCCAATTCCATCCATTTACCAGTGAATGATAACATTTCATCCTTCTTCATGGCTGCATAAAATTCCATTGTGTATAGCTACCACATTTTCTTAATCCATTCATCAGTAGTGGGGCATCTTGGCTGTTTCCATAACTTGGCTATTGTGAATAGTGCCGTAATAAACATGGGTGTGCAGGTGCCTCTGGAGTAACCTGTGTCACAGTCTTTGGGATATATCCCCAAGAGTGGTATTGCTGGATCAAATGGTAGATCAATGTTTAGCTTTTTATGTAGCCTCCAAATTTTTTTCCAGAGTGATTGTACTAGTTTACATTCCCACCAGCAGTGTAAGAGGGTTCTTTTGTCCCCACATCCTCGCCAACACCTGTTGTTGGTAGTGTTGCTAATGATGGCTATTCTAACAGAGGTGAGGTGGAATCTTAGTGTGGTTTTAATTTGAATTTCCTTTATTGCTAGAGATGGTGACCATTTTTTCATGTGTTTTTTGGCCATTTGAATTTCTTCTTTTGAGAAAGTTCTGTTTAGTTCATTTGCCTATTTCTTTATTGGTTCATTAATTTTGGGTGAATTTAGTTTTTTGAGTTCCCTATATATTCTGGTTATCAGTCCTTTGTCTGATGTGTAGCTGGCAAATGTTTTCTCCCACTCTGTGGGTGTTCTCTTCAGTTTAGAGACCATTTCTTTTGTTGAGCAGAAGCTTTTTAGCTTTATGAAATCCCATTTATCTATGTTGCTGTGCTGGTGGGGTTCCATTGAAAAGTTCTTGCCTATACCTATTAATTACAAAGTATTTCCTACTCTTTCCTGTACCAACTTTAGGGTTTGGGGTCTGCTATTAAGATCCTTGATCCATTTTGAGTTAATATTGGTATAGGGTTTATACAGTGCTTCTATGGTTTCCTTTATCTCTCCTTTTGCTTTTTCAAATTCTCTATTTTTGTTGTCTTCAAATTTCTTGAGTGTCTCTTGTACATTTTGGTTGACCATATCCAGTATCATCTCTATAAAATTCTCATTGATTACCTGTAGTATTTCTTCTTTTAGATTATTCTTGTGGGCTTCATTGGGTTCTTTGGCATAGTTTATCTTCATTTTGTTGGAGTCTGGGTCTGAGTATCTGTTTTCTTCATTTTCCTCTGGTTCCTGTACTAATTTTTTGCTGTGGGGAAACTGGTTTCCCTGTTTTTTCTGTCTTCCTCTCATTGCCCTTGGTATTTTTATTGTCCCTGTACTGTGTGCAATTAAGTATTTTCTAGCTTGTAATAATAACAATGGTGATATTTAGAATGGAAGGGTGAGAGGAGAGGGAAAGCGAAGAAGATAAAGAAAAAGAAAAACAAATAAACAGACAAGTAAAAAAAGTTTCAAAGTTATAAACAGGGAGTAATAGTGCACTAATCAACAGAAGCTGAACAGACATTAAAGAGACAGAGAGAGGATTGAGGAAAAAAATAAATAAAATAAAGTAAAATAAAAATAAAAAATATAAAAATTCTTCAAGTTCAAATGCATTAAATTTCAGTCTTAATAACTTTGGTGTTAGTCCTTCAGCCTCCAATCCTGGAGATGGTGTCTCAGAAGTAGTTCTGTCATTGTCTCATCAAAGGGGAAAAAAAAAACAACAAAAGAAAACTCACCACAAAGTGTCCCAAGTGCAAATGCAATACAGTTTCAGTAAGTTTTTCAGCATGCAGGTGCAGTTCAGTTGTTGTCTCATCAAAGGAAGAGAGAGAGAAAAAAGAAAAAAAAAAAGAGTCTGGGGACAGCTTTGTGACAGACTATCTGAGGCTGTGGCTCACCTGTCCGCTGCTGTCAGCCTGCTGTTGCTGGAGGCTTTATTTATGCAGATCTCAGGAGTGAGCGTAGCACTCACCTGGCCCCTCAGGCTTTGTTTACTTAGAGTTCTCCTGGGTGCGACGGCCACTGCTATGAGCTTTCCCCTTTCCAAGCACACTGGGGGAGGTGACACTGCACCCGCTTTCTCAGTCCGGCGTGTTTATTTACAGTTCACATGGGAAGTGGGCCTTTCCTCTCTCCTGTGGAGTTTTCCTCCCAACACCACTTTTATAGGCTTCCCTGCTCCTGGCCACCGGGCGGGTGGGCAGCTCCTGCCTTCTCTGGCCTGCTTATTTACTTACAGTTCCATGAGGGATTGCCCCTCCCCCCTCTTCAGCACTCAGGGTGCCTTGCCCTCTTTGCTACTTGTCTTTTTTGTTGTTTATTATTCAGTTTCTCTTTTTTCCCTGGGGGGTGGGGTCGGTCAGTCCAGGGGACTATGCTGATCTGGCTCAGGTTTGTCTGTGGGAGTACTGCATGCCTCTTAGCTCACCTTGTGGTGTGCGTCTTCCCAAGTGGTCTGGGTGCTGGCTTCTGGAGTGTGGGAGCCCTCCTGGTTTCTCCATTTGACGTGGAGTGGGAATGCTATGCTCAGGCTGGGGGTGTGGAGGAGTGAAAATTTTGCCTCTTCTCGGTGGTTTTTCCTGTAAGGTGTGTCTCCAGCGTCTCTCCAAGATTTTACTTTAAGTAGTACACTTTCTGCTTCCTCCCTGTAGTTGCCATCTTGGAATCTCCCCTGTATTTTTTCTTTTAAATTTTTATTCTTACTAGAGGTTCATTAATTTTCTTAGTCTTTTTAAAGAACTACTTTTTAGCTTTGCTAATTTTCTCTATTGTTTATTTATTTATTTAGAAAAAAATTTTTGACTGGGCATGTGGTATATACATAATCCCAGCACTTGGGAGGCAGAGGCAGAAAGATTGAGAGTTTGAGGCTATCCTGGGCTACATAATGAATTCAAGGTCAGCCTAAGCTACATAGTGAGTCCCTGTCTTAAAAAAGCCAAGCTCCGAGGGCTGAGCTCAGTGGTAGAACATTTGCCCACCATGTACAAGGGCCTGGGTTCAATCCTCAGGAAAAAAATAGTGGTTTCTGCTGTTATTTTTATTATTTTTTTCCTTCTTCTTAATGTGCTTTTGATTTATTCCCTTTCTAGCTTTTTAAGGTAGAAAACTAGATAATTGATTTTGTCTTTCTTTCCAATATGGAAAAACTATATATTTCCCTCTAAATACTACTTTGCTGCATTTCACAAATGTTATGTGTATTTTAATTTTTTTTAGTTCAAAACATTTTCTAATCTCTCATGATTTCTTTTTTTTTTTTACCCAAAGGGTATTTAAAAAGTATGTTATTAATTTTCTAAGAATTGAAGAAATTTTCTCAATTAAAATTCTGAAATTTCTCAATTGGTATTGACTTCCTATTGAATTCTATTGTGATTAGAATATGATCCCCAGTATTCCAATCTTTTGAAATATATTGAGATTTATTATATGGACCAACACATGGTCTATTTTGTGGCCATTTTTTTTTCATTTCATTTTTATTTGTTCATAATGAAGGACAGTGCAGACCAGTTTCTCAACCTCAACACTGATTGTGTGAGACTATCCTATGTTTTAGAGGGTTTTGTGTATGTGTGCATGTGTGGTACTGCAGTTTGATCTCAAGGCCCCAGCATGCTATGCAGGTAGTCTATTACTTGAGGTATGCCCCCAGCACATGGTCTATTTTGGTGAATGTTCTATGTACATGGAAAAAAAGTGTATTCTGTAATTTGGGGCATTATGTTCTGTAATAGTCAATTAGACTGTATTAGTTGTTTGGATCATCTATCATTGTAGTGATTTTTCAAACCTGAGTCCCACACACAGAGAAAAGAGTGTTAAAATTTTCAACAACGACCATGGACTGCTCTATTTCTCCTTCTACTTCTGTCAGTTTTTGCTGCATGAATTTTGATTCTGTTAATACACTATTTCCAGTGTACTTATTCATGAAGAATGGTGAATTATTCTTTTCACTTTCTGTTAGGTCCCTCTTGCCTTTTAGAATGCATTTTTTTTAGTTTTACTTTGTCTCATATTTATGCCACTTTTCTTATGCTTATTTTTCCATGATATAGATCTTCCTAGATCAGTATTTAAATTAATTCCTTAGCTTAGAATTCCTATATCATATAAGTGGTAAAAAAAATTTTTTTTTCTTTTATTATTCATATGTGCATACAAGGCTTGGGTCATTTCTCCCCCCTGCCCCCACCCCCTCCCTTACCACCCACTCCGCCCCCTCCCTCTCCCCAAAAAATTTTTTTAAATAAAAGAGTTTTCACATTCGACACTCAGGTGTAGATCTGGAGTTTCCAAATCTCACAGATAAAATTTACCCCATCAAATGCAGAATAGAGCCAGGTGTAGTGGTTCATGCACTCAGCTGGTTGAGGCAGCAGGACTGAGTTCAAGGACAATCTGGGCTACATAGTGAGACCCTGTCTCAAAAAGGTAGGGGGAAGGGTACGAACAGATTTCAAGCCCCCTTGCCTTTTTCCTGGACAAGTGAATAGAGTTTTTCTAGAACTCTTACAATGATGGGAAAAGCCTCGTGTCCAGTTCACTTCTTCCCTCCCCTCCCATTCTTGTATAGAAATTTGAACCCCAGATGCTTTATCCTAACTCCTATTCATTTCACTTGAACTATAAAACACTCTTGGGTTTTCTGTGGTGTCAGCGAACAATTACCCTCACACATACTCAGCTTTGACTCATCTCTTTATTGAGCCAAGATTTATTTTTTCTTCTGAGCTTTACTATTTTAAAAATGTTATATTTTAGCTGACATTTTTCTATGTTTATATGGAAATAGGGGAAAGGCATACATTTCATATGTATCTGCCATTTTTATTCCCTGGAAATTTCTTCCCACACTGTCTATACTTGTCTCTTCCTTGAACAAAAAGGGAAAAAACTGAAATGATCTTCTTATCTTGGGATTGAAATGGGGAAGAAGAGGAAAAAAGTGAGCAGTGTTCAATTAATTCACCTCTGTCAGAGCCCTGCTCTTTTCACAGGCCCCTATCACTCTGCACCCATTCCTCCTGACTCCTTCTCCAGCACTTTCCTGTGGGCTAAGGCTAGGCTCTCACAACCATCCTTCAACCATAGATTACTCTCGTGGCTTTGGTGGCCGTTATGGGGTGGAAAAGGATAAACGGGACAAGACAGCTTTGGGATATGACTACAAGGGAGAAACGGAGAAGCACGCATCTCAGACAGGTGAGTTGGACTTTCTTTCTGAAAGCTAACCCAAGAGCCCAGAATACTAAGGGTAGGTATGCAGTGGAGGGGTTGGGTGGAGTGGAAAGGAAGCAGGTGGGTGAGGGGAGACAGCAGGGGTAGAGAGGACAACAGGATTGGGAGAGGGCAGAGGAGGGAGGTCAAAGAGATGGGAACATTGACGATGGGGCAGAGGCAGGCTGGGTGATGCTACACAGTGGTTTGATACGATTCTCATAGGCCCTTCTGCTTCACAGAGGAAAGAAAAGTCTACCTCCTCCTCCCTGGGACACAGAGGGGGTGACTGAAAGGCCCTCTTTGTTTTCCCTTCTTCTTCCCTCCTCTCCTTTCCCTTCCCCTCATCTCCCTTCTCCCTACCCTTCCCTTCCCTTCTCCTCCCCTCCCCTCTCCTCCCCTCCCTTTTCCTTCCTCTCCCCTCCCCTCCCTTTCCTTTCCCCTCCCTTTCCTTTCCCCTCCCTCCCCTTCCTTCCTTTCCCTTCCCTTCTCTTTCTTTTGCTTAATATTTTCCCCTTGTCTGTTATTTGTCTCCTTTTATGTTTCCCTCTTTTCATCTCTCTTATCCATTCTCCCAACTTTTTTCTCCCCATCCTTTTCCCTCCCTCTATCCTCTGACTCTTACATTCCCTCCTGTCTTCCACATTCCTGTCTTCTGTTTCTTCTTCCTCCTGCCCCCTCTCCCCACATATTCCCAGTATTTTACTTTCCTGTTTCAACTCTCACAACTTTCTGTCCTGCAGATTATGCCAAGGGCTTTGGTGGCCAATATGGAATCCAGAAGGACCGAGTAGATAAGGTAAAGCACCAGGGTACCGATGTTTTGAGAAGTGTTCCCTAAGGCTAGGCAAGCATACAGAGGATAGTAAGAGAAGGTACAAGCTGGGAGAAGGATGAGACATTGGTGCTGTGTCATGAGCCTGTTTTTTTGGGGTCCTGTTCACTCCATGGACATGAATTTCATAGCCAGAGCTTTAACTGAGGAGAGTGGAGAACAGTAGAGAGACACAGAGAGGAGAGATAAACCCCTGGGAAAGGCTATGTTAGACATGAAATTTCATGGATTGCTTGGCTCAATCTTTAGTCTCTTCTGGCTCCATGTCACTGTCCCATATACTAGCTCATTGTCCTGCATTGGCCAGGGCCCTACTATGTTCTAGGAGGCTGGACTTGGAGACATGGGAGTCTAAGTACATTGAGCTTTCAAAATGGGAAGCTAAGCCCACTTGTTTCTTTATGTCTCACTCTGCCACAAAACAATATTGGAGGACCCTGCCTTAACTATTGAGCACCAAATGGTTAGGAATACCTCCTAAACTGGTCCTACTACTCTAGGTCACTGCTGTTCCCATTCTCCCCTTCCCCACTACAATTCTGTCTTCCCTCCTGCAGAGCGCTGTTGGATTCAATGAAATGGAGGCCCCAACCACAGCTTATAAGAAGACAACACCCATAGAAGCTAGTGAGTCTCTCTATTCCCTCTTTCTGGCTTTCTCCTTTCTGGCTCTTTCTCCTCCTTAGATATCTCCTGCATCCCTTTAACTCCCTAGATTAGCTGAGGAAGACTTGATCCATACCCTCATATTCCCAGATTCTGTCTGCCAGACAAGCCAGGCTAAGTGAACAGAGAGATGAAGTGGCATTAGGGAAGAAACTAGGGGCAGAGAACATGAAGAGGGAAGAGAATGACTTGGGGTAATCAGATGGGGGCAGGAGTTTGCGATGGGACAGAGCATGGTGTTAGCTAGAGGCATATAGATTTAAGAAAGGACCCTGGTTAGGGGACCAAGACTATATCATTTAGAAACAAGAGTCTGAGGTCACACAGCCTGGCTATTTAGAAATCTAGGCTTCAAGGATACAACATCTTCCTGTAATCTCATTATTCCTCCATCAATACCTCTTTACCTTTCCCTCTGTGAATCCCCTCTTCACCTTCTCTTCTCCTCATATTTAACTGATTCATCTTCCTTCAAACACCACTCCCCCTCTACTCCTAATCCAAGACTACTCTAATTCTTGCCTGTGTCTGCAGCTTCCAGTGGTGCCCGTGGGCTAAAGGCAAAATTTGAGTCCATGGCTGAGGAGAAAAGGAAGCAAGAGGAAGAAGAGAAGGCCCAGCAGATAGCCAAGCAACAACAGGAGCGAAAAGCTGTGATGAAGATGAGCCGTGAGGCCCAGCAACCAGTAGTGCCTGTGGAAGAACCAGTAGCACCCACACCTGTCCCATTGCCCAAGAAAATCTCCTCAGAGGTGAGAACCTGGTCCTCTGAGATCCACATGCATGGGGTCCAATGTGCTATCTGGGCAAGAGACAGAACTCTCAGGGGGACAAATGATGGGCAGAAAATAAGGCAAAGGCCTTCTCTGTGTTGTCTCTGTCTTCAGAAAGATTTAATCTGACTGTGTAATTGAGCCCCATATACCAGACTGTCAAAATTAAGGCAACAGCAGCAATAAAAAATAAGATTTAGGTAGTACAACAGACAGAGGTCACCAGCCACTGTGGCCAGTTATTGCTGCAGGAACTAAGAAGAAGGAGCCACTACTTCAGGTTGGGACCCATCTTTGGGATGAGTTCCACTTGTATTGACAGAGGAGGGGGTGTTCCTAGTAAGTGTAAACATGAGGATGGGGGGTGCTCACTGAAGAGATGCTTCATTCTCCACAGGCCTGGCCTCCATCCAACAGTCGTCCACCTCCAGAGCCAGAGCCAGAGCCTGAGCCTGTAAGAGCCAGCAGCGAATGCCCAGTGCCCTCCCTGCCCACCAGGCAGACTCCCCCAGAGGTAAGCAGAACTCAGGAGACTCTCTGCCCCTACCCATCTCCTCACAATTTAGGAAGGTAGTAGAGGGTGACCAGTCATTCTGGTTTGCCTGAGACTGTTCTGGTGTTAGCATTGAAAGTATTGCTTTCTGGAAACTTCATGGTCCTGGACAAACTAGGACACTTCGTTCTCCTAGTGGTGATATCCCAACAATGTGCTTTTGCTTTGATGTTTTCTTGGTCTTCCAAAGACCCTGACTTGCTTTCTACTTCTCTCCCTTCATACCACTTACCTTCCCCTCCCATCATTTCCAGGTAGGTGTTTGGGGGCGGGGGTTGAGGTCTAAAGTTGGAATGCAGCCTGTGTTCCTGAGGAGAGGCTGTTAGATGGAGAGAAAAAGAAGTTAGGTTATAAAGGTGGGGTCTTAGCAGTCTCATTGAGCCTCCATTGAATCCTCCTGTGAGTGGAAGTCTCCCTGCACTGCTTCTTCTCAGGACACTGATGAGCCCCCAGCTCTGCCGCCTAGGACTCCTGAAGTCTTTCAGCTGCAGGAAGAGCCAGTGTATGAAATAGAGCCTGAGCCTGAGCCGGAGAATGACTATGAGGATGTGGGGGAGGTGGATGGGCAGGAGGACGACGAAGCAGAAGGGGACTATGAAGATGTTCTGGAACCCGAGGACTCCCATTTTCCCTCTGCCCAGGCTGGTAAGTAGACCCGGTATGGGGAGGGAAGCAGCTCTTTGGTCAGGTAAAGGGAGCAGAAGAGGAGGGGGAATTTCTCACTGTCCAGCAGACTCGGTTTCTGTTTGCCTTCTCCATGTCAGCGAGACCATGTTTGTATTTCTCATTATGCAGGATCATCAGGCAGCCCAGCTGGAGCTGGCACCATGGGTACCTCAGCTATAGCTCTGTATGATTACCAAGGAGGTAGGTTTGGAGCAGCCTGAGGGGCCTGGTGCCTGGAGGCGCCTGATACACAGAAAGGGGATGGATCGCTAGGATCAGAGAAAGCACCAGACTTGGCATCAAGAATAAGGCCAGGTTTATTTCCTTCCCTGAATCTTAGAGTGGGCATCAGGAAGGACAGAGGGATTCCTGTCTGACCATGCTAATATCCTTCCAACTTCCTCCACAGAGGGAAGTGATGAGCTTTCCTTTGATCCAGATGACATCATCACTGACATTGAGATGGTGGATGAGGGCTGGTGGAGGGGACGGTGCCATGGCCACTTTGGACTCTTCCCTGCAAATTATGTCAAGCTTCTCTAGTGACTGGTGTTCACTGTCTCCTGCAGCTGTGACTTCTCATGTTCAAAGTGCCTCTGCCTCCACCCACTCCCTGTTCCTGCTGCAAATGTCTAACAGGATGTCATAGGTCACCCAAGGGTCTGAACAGACTTCCCTCTCCTGCTTCATTAAGGGCTTCAGGCAGACACAGCACAGGGTAGGGAGTCTCCTTCCTCTCAGTGTCCTCTCTACCCTGAATTAGCTCATAGTTTATCTTGTGGTCCTGCCTCCTTTAGCTCCCCATCTCTGCTCTATGCTCTCATGAGCTCTGGGCTTCTGGTTTGCTTACCTAGGAAGGAGGTCTACACTGCCTGGCTGTGCTTTTGCCTGCTTTTTTTTCTTATAGAGATAGCTCTAAACTTTCTCTCCATTCAGTCCTAAAATGGAAATAAAGTGGAATTATGGTTCATCTCTACATTGAGGTAAATAGTACTTTATGTGCAGCTCTCAATGACCCTAACGCTCAACGAAATCTCCTGCCCTTTCCAAGGCACATCCAGAAGACTCCTTTTGTCTCTTTCCTAGTGGTCTAGTGGCCAGGACGTGGTGCTCTCAGATGACCCACTCTAACTGTTGACCATCCCTTTGCACCCTGGAAGTCAAGACCTAGCCTGTACCTTAAACCCAGTCCAAAACAGGCCAGCCTGTGGTATGGCAGGGGGCCAGATGGTGTCCAGATCAAGGCAGTTCAGCTTCTTTTAGTTTTATCAGTTGTGTGAAGCCAGCTGCCTGCCAAGGAGTAATGACTATCCTCTTTTAATGCATAGTGATTCTTGAAGCACAAATTAGAGGAAAAGAAGTAAGTAAAAGGGGGAGTTGACCAACAGAAAAGACTGTTGGAAAACAGACTTAGGCAAGGTCAATGATGATGTAGAGGCAGAGACAGTGGCCTCTGCTCAAGAAAGTCTAGGCTTCTTGGTAGTTGGGTGGCTGAGATCAAAGACCAAGAAAGAGGGTGGATGGAGGAAGTTCATGAGATTTCTATGTGGTCCTAGCCAAGGGAGGTAGGAAAAGAAGTGAGGACATTTGGACAACCAGTGAATTCCCAAGCATGATATGGGGATGAGAAAGAATGAGAGGCCAGCCCTAGCATACTATGCTCAGCCTCAGCAAGGCCAGAGACAGGGGATCCTCTGGCACAATCAAAATAAAAGTCAGGGATATGGTATAGGACATTTTTGGTTGAAAGAACATAGAAGTCTTTATAACCCGTATCAAAATCATGTCCAGCTTTCAAAGATGGAGAAGGCGTTGAGATCAAGGAGGAGCTAGGATTAGTGGCTGAAACCTACAATTGCTCCAGGGCTTCCTAGATAGAGTTGGTGAACTGCCCATGGGTCTAGAACCTTGTACACTTCAGGTTTGTTCCTTGGCTTTTCTTCAAGACACACTCCTTGGTTACAATGATGACTTTTATGTCAGTGAATTCACAAGTCAGCATCAAGACCTAATTCACAAGATCCACGCACTTAGTTTTAGAGTGTAAAGCAGCTTTTATTTCTTCTTATAGAGACTGGCATTCCAGGTATATAGACATAAGTTGCCATAGATATATTCAATCTCATTCTTCATTTCCATTTGATTTGATATCACACATAAATTAGAAATTTTACAATGATTTTCTTGATACATTTTGTTCTCACCTAGCTTTTCACTTTTCCCTTCATTATAAGATGGAAACTTCTTTTCTAGATCCCTATCTTGATGAGCCTTTCCAGCTCAGGTCTACAGACCTCACCCTCCACATTCAATTGCCTTTCTCCTTGGTGTTGGTGCTCATTAAGAGTTCTACTCATAGATGTTTCCCTGCCCAAGCTCTGTACCTGCAACACATTCCTCCTCACCCCCCTCACCTGCTTCTTCATATGAAGACACATCTGCATCTTGCCTCACTGCTTATGATACTCACAACAGCTTCACCTCACAGATCAATCATCTGTTTAACACAGTTTCTCTTAAAGGGTCCCCTTTTGCTCCACCTGCCCTCTTCCCATAAAACATGCTTATTTCTAGGGACCAGGGGATATCTGCAGTATGCTAGTTTCCTGCAGCTGACAATTAGATAAATGTGTTATAAAATGTGTTTGATGGTGTTGACCAATTTACTACTGCGATGAAGGCAGACATAGGTAGAGGAGAGTGTGGCTGGAAGTGTTCCCCACACAGAGCAGGTCCATGTCAGAGTGTCCTGACTGCTCTCCTGGACTAAGCTGCCCAGCTTGTAAAGGGAAAGCCCTCTGCCCTCCTCTTGTCTTTCTACTACACTTTGCTCCTAATCCATCTCACTGGTGCCCCTGATGTTCATCTTCATCAGTCTGTAGTTCCTCTTTCTCTTTCTTTCTAATAAGAAACCTAGAATGGGCTTTGGGAACTTCATTCTTCATATAGGAAGGACCAGATTCAAAACACGTGGAACAGATGCCTGGAGAATACACTCAGTGTTTAGTGGTCATTCACCTTCACTGAACAAAACCTAAGATCACACTCTAGTTATATTTTTAGAAAATGATGACTTATAAACAAATGTGAAATATAAGCCAAACAATAAATATTAGGAAAAGTAGAATTGCATAAGCAAATAGTACCAAGTGGATACATTATAATGAAAGATAAACATCCTTCTGTTCTGGGACTTGCTCTACTGCCTTTGTGACTCTTCTAAGAGATGTAAACTACTTCATCTATACCAACTCTGAACCATGCTCAAATAGAGACCCAGGGAACAACAAGCACACAAATTAATGAGACTCCTTCTTTTGTTGGCTGAATTCTTCATCCTCTGCTTCCTATTCTCTATTTCTCACTTGCTTGAGAACTTCTAGGACTGCTGAAAAACGGTACCAATTAAGGTAAGAAGGTTATAAACACACAGCAAATAACTCAACTTCTCTGGTTTCGGGTTTACCTGGAGAGAACTAAAAGGATATGTTCTTGCATGCAACCCAAGGACATGAAGCCTTATCAAGCAAATCAGCACCATCAGTTTCCCAAGTTAATATCACCACAGGTCTAAAATCCATTTAGCAAATAAGTGAGAACTGCATTAAATCATAGCTACTGTTGATAGCTATGCGAGGTAAGATTTTGCTAAACTAAAAAATAAGCATATCCTAATTTATTGTCATTGGTATAGAACCACTGAGAGTCAACTGAGAGCCACTTTACTTTCAGAGCAAATGTCTGGACACATTTTTAGTTGTTCATTGTGGGGGTGCTACTGGGATTTAATGGACAGAGGCCAAGGATGCTGCTACATAGCCTATAGTACAAAGGACAGTCCATTATGACAAATAATTATCCAATTCAAAATGTAAATAGTTCCAAGATTGAGAAACCCTGCTTTCAGTCTATTGTAGAATTTTTTTCCTTTTACTTCTGTTCTAATGAATATTCACTGTCACCCAAAACATCAGTATCATCCATTTTTGACAGGCTACAGGCATGGCCAGCCATTGGAAGGAACAATTTTAGGGAACTGTTATATTCACATGTCTTCCTCTCCAAGATGCCCAGTGGGTTGTAGTGTCTAGGTCCTGGAAACTGGTATCACAGTAATTACAGTGGGCTTTGTCTGGACTTTTCCAAATGTGTGCTGTCCTGTACATTCTGGAACTACACTGAGGTTGTCTGTATGTATGGAGGCAATTTTGGATGGCACAGGGTGGTACTGGGCTCTGCCTGTGTTCTCCATAACCCAGACCTAAAATATGCTTTTCATACACACACACACAAACCCAACTTTGACTCTCAAATCATTATCAAAATGTTAAAAGTAGGCTATGGCTTTTGTCTTAATTTTCTCCATAAATATACTGTTTCCTTTTGACTCTCATTTTTTAAGACTTTCCTTATTTTTTTGCCAAGATTCTATAAAACAGACCCTGTGACTTCATCACTGCCCTCATGCTGATGGGACTCTATTCCGTCAGGCTGAGTTGGGACCACCTGGGCTTAGAAACAGTAGGGTGACTGAAAGAAGTCCTGGACTTAACTGTGCAGACAGACTCAGTTCAAGAGCCTTCAAGCTGGTTGCCCTCCTCCTGGCATGCCTGGGGAGGTAACTCTCTGTACCTCCCTCTCAGCCCCTGCACTGCCTGCCCCAGAAATTTGAAAGTGCTTTGGAAACTAAAAAGCACTGTGCAAAATCATACGCCTGTGCTGGTGAGGAAATTCATTGTGCTCTCATCTCCTTTAGGACTTGGGTTCATTTTCCAAATGGCCTCAAGTTACTCATTTTCTCCTCAGACTGACCTATTTTTTTAAGGAAATAAGCCATCAATATGGTGCTATAGCACAAGCCACAGCTTAAGAAATTCTTAGGCCTAATACAACTGCTGAGGTTTGAAAGACACTGCATATCCCAATACACTCAGAGAAGCAAATACACGGTTGACGGAGGGGGCAATCCTCAAACCACACTGTTCTACACTCAGTACTCTGAGAACAAATTTAAGAGTGGATCTTTAGGTGTGTCTTCCACGTGGTCTGGCTCTAAAGGTGGACACTAAGCTTTCCCGGGCCTGCTCACAGGGCTGACACATGCTGGTCAAACGAATAGGGTCTGTCTTATGCTCCACGATGTTGAAAGGACAGGTCTTCAGGTGCTCAGACATGGAGGTGACTTCATTAAACTCCCAGCACTTGATTTTGGAAAAAAGGCTGCTGAATTGCCAGATCTGGTAGGAAAGAGAGAAGTTCAGAGGTAAACAGTCAGTGCTCCCAGGTGGGCTGGATTTGAACAGTGTTAAGGAAATGCCTCCCTGATCCTTCTGTGCTTGGCTTCCAGAGTGTTCAGTGGCTGCTGTAGACATTCATTAGTTTCTTCCCTAGCATTCATTTCCTAGTTACCCTCCCAATTAATAATCTTCCGATCCAGCCTTAAATTGTGAGAATGACTGACCCCAATCAGTGTATTGATACATACGTTCCCCAGAGCCCCCATCAGCAACAGTGATTAGCTCTAGCGTAAACAAACAGTTCAATTAAAAACAATTAGTACCAATGGACCTCTACTCCAGGACTTTTGTTTGAGATATCAAAAAGCAGATTCTCTTTTTCTTTCTATATACAAACTGAGAAGCTATAGTCCTAGGAGCTGCCAGCCACCAGGGACACCAAGGGAGAACTGTTATAGAATGGAGCCAACATTGAGGAAGTAGAGATAAGAAATAGAAGCCGGCTGCTGGTGGTTAATGCCTGTAATCCTGGCTACTTGGATTGGGAGGATCGCTATTCAAGGTCAGCCCAAGCAAATAGTTCATGAGATCCCATCTCCAAAAGAGTAACCAGAGCAAAATGGATTGGAGGTGTAGCTCAAGTGGTAGAGCACCTGGTTTGCAAGCACAAAGCCCTGAGTTTAAACCCCAGTCACACTAAGAAAGAAAAAAAGATCTTTTGGGGGTATTTTTTGAGCTACTAGATCAAGCCTTCCCTGAAGCCATTGCCTTTGGACTCTTTAGTTTTATGGGCTAATAAATTACCATTGTTGTTTATGCCACTTTAGGTTAGCTTTTATATTGCTCAAAATTAAAAAGATCTTACTAGAACACAATCCCAAAGGAGAATTCCATGAGTCTGATATTCAATAAAACATTTTCTGGTCTTTCTACCTGGGATGTAGTAATCAAGTCACCAGTTTTAAAATCTAAGCAGGCATACTAATTATTCTTTCAACCTGACTGCTTCACCCTCAGGTTGTTTTGGGGGGTTGTTTGTTTTGTTTTTTGTCTTGTTCCTGTGTAAGAAAAGTGTTTCCTGGGATCTTAGAACAATCTCCCCTTTTAAAAAAAACTTAAAAAGCAATTTTAATATCATTTAGCTCTAACTAAATACCCTTTACCCCTTTCTACAAGGGGATTAGTTTTTTCCTAAATGATATTCAAGAATAGTCACAAATTATTGAATCGGGGACAAACCTGAACCAAAAAAGTAATGGAATTTCTAGTATATAAATTAAATTATTTACATCTGATTTTACAGGAGAAAATATTAGGTAGTTTTATATTATATTTCTCCTGAAGGCAGATTTTAATCTCATTAATGCTTATCCTTAACATATGGTTGGTTGGCAACCAGTTTAACACAAGGATGCAGCATGGATACATCAGGGAGAGTCTTACAACTATTTTTTATAGAAGACCACCTAAGAAGAAAATAATGGAAACTATAAAAGACATAATCATTGATATAACCAACAAAAATAGATGCAAACAACTCTAATTCCTCAATACCAATTTTCGAACACTTACATATTAGGAAGAAACTGAACAGTGAGATTATCAACCTAAATAGGCCTCATGCATTCATGGTTCAAATTACCAACATGCTTGCTATGAGAAAAGATTTTTCTGGATATTACATGATGAATTAGGAATCTCACTTCTGTACAAGTTGTAATAAAGTTAAACAAACATGACCAAGTTGAGAAAAGGGGACAAAGTTTTACTAAAGTGAAAGATTCTTTGATTTACACAGCAGAGTTTTATAAATTAAAGAAGATTTTGAACCAGGAGAAATGAATGGACCAAATTCATTTAGAATTTCAAAATGTCTTTATCAGAAGCAACACTGTTTGAAAAGAATTATTTGACTGAGAAGAATTTACTGCCTATTGTATCAAGCAGAGTCCAAGCAGGAAAAAGATGACACACTCAAATCAAGTAACTTAAAGAAAAGGAAAGATTTACAAACGTGGCCAGGGTGCAGGAAAGCCACAAGATATAGTGCAATATCTAGGACCTGTAACAATCTAGAGTTACCACCCTAGGCCTGAAGGGGAAGGAGGTTGGTCTTTGGACCCAGAACCAATAACGGTGTGAAGATTGCCACACAAGGTAGCCACCTTCAGTAAAGGGACATAGCCAGTCCAAGGTGTCATGCAGAGGAGGAAGCATGTAGGAAAGAGGCCTGAAGATCAGATCTTTTAGCCCGTTCTTCCCCCTTCCCTGACTCCTGCTAATACACTCCCATGGGTTTAGTTTCACTGGAAGCTCGAGGGCCAGATAGCTGATTAAGGCAGTCTGCCGGGTTCAACCTCCTGGGACAGACCAGGGTGGAGAAGGGTGGAGAGTAGAGCATGTGAGCAAGTGGAAGACATTCAGGACACAGAGACAAGTGGTCAGTGCCATCTAACACTGCTGTGTATGTGTTTACGGGTCCATCTTCCCTACTAGACTGATCTCGTTGAGTCAGGCTTATTTCCAGCAACTGTCCCAGTACCTAGTTTAGTGCTTAGCACATAGCAAGCACTTAGTAAATATTTGTAAAATAAATAAATAAATGAGTGTTTACTTGCCTGTCTATGGACTCTCCAGGACGTACCTCCATGGGAATACCTCTTCTTCTTCCACTGCAAGAGAACCATCCCTCTCTCTTGTAACAGAGTGGCACAGATATTCCTCATCAGCACAGACACCTGGGAGAGCTGGGACAGACTGATACTGTCCAAGAACCCAGCAATGTACTGCAAAACCTCCAGGGGCAGGCTGGTTAAAGAATTTTGGCTTTTTCCTCCATGGCTGGAGAGACGGCTGTTTTTCTTTCCCTCACTCAGCTCTGGAGCAACCTCTGGCTTGATGGCAAATGTCTTGAGTTCCTGACTGTAGATCACTTTTGCCTTTTGTCCTGGGGGACGGAAATGGTTTTGAACAAATGTGCATCCCAAGTAGGCGAGGGGGCATCGATGCTGGAACCAGCCATTGAGACATGACTGAATGTCTGTGTGGACATTCTTGAAATGAAGGGGAAATTCATCCCTTCGGAAGAATTTGCTGCAAGTGAAGGTAAAGGCAGAGCTGCTTTTATTGTGTCTCCTGGTCACACACTCACTGTGGAGCTCCACATAGAGTCCTCCTGGGTTGGTGGGGCTTAGGAGGTCAGCCAGCACTGTCCCTGAGGAAAACTGTTCTGGCTCGAAGTTGTATGTCTGGGTGGCAAGATCCATGAACAGCCCATCAATGCTCCTGGATTCAGAGATGACGTGGCCTTTGAGTTCTCTTTCCAATGCACACTGGAGAGTGGTCTTGATGAGATCGGATTTTGGCAGGTCCTCCACAGTGACTCCCAAATCTGAAGTATCCACAGCCTTGTGTTCACTTGGCCTACACCTCAACATGGCATCTCCAAGGCGAGCACGCTTTCCACAGTAGCTCACAGGAACTTTGAAGGTGTAAACGGTCTTAACTTCTTGAGCCTCAAGGTTGCCATAAACAAAATCTCTCTCCTTAGGTGTACAAGCAGGCATCTGCCCGAAGTGAATAAGCATCCGCCCATTGTGCACAAGATACATGTTATAGTCCTTTGCGTCCACAGCTGTTTTCAGTCTTTCCAGAACACCATCCTGCCAGGGGGCAAGTCCTGTCATTTCCATGGTGATGGGAAAGTCCTGCTGCTTCTGGCCTTCCTGTGGTTCTTTCTCTTTGCCAGCAGCCTCTCCATTGACTGTGTCATCACCACCAGAATTCTGGTCTTCCCCTGCACCATTCCTGCTCTTACTCTCACACCTTGCTGATGAAACTGTTAAAGCAGAGGCTGCGTGCTCTTTGCTGAACATATTTTCCCACTGGCCAAACTTGGCCAGATCCATCCCTTCTTTGGTTTTGGCTAATGCCTCTCGTTCTTCTTGACTCAGTTCCATTACCTCTCCATTAGTTGCCGACAGACCACTGTGTGGTACTGAACTAGCATCCACTCCCCCCACCGCACCTCCAATTTCCTCCCAACTGGCTTCGCCATTCATAGTTGGTTCATCCTCAGTGGCGTCTCTGGTTTCTGGGAAAAGTTCTACCATTTTCAAGGATCTGAAGAGGACCTTCTGGTCTTGGAGAGCCAAGGCTGTGTCTAAACACTCCTCACTGGGGGTCTCTTTCATGATGTTCTCATGAAGGACAGTTTCTGAGTCCACGTTTGGCCAGCGGTTCCATTCCATGGAGCAGCAGACCACACTAGCAGGGCACACCTGCAGGTGCTTGGCCAATTTGTGGCGGGACATGGAAAGGGGACAGCCATATTCAGAGTTGAGACACGGAACCTGCTCTAAAGGGCAGAGGAGCTTGTGTTCTGCCTCTTTGCACATGTGGAAGGTGGCGCCACAGAGCAGGCGACAGTTTATCACCAAGCAGGAGACGCTGGGCTCTACAGGAACGTGGCAGTGCCGGTTGATACATCCTTCACAATGCCTGTGCTGCCCAGGTGGGGCCCTGCGTGCCCTGCCCTGGACACACCAAGGGCAAGGGGAAAGAGAACACAAAAGAATGCTGGGAGAGAAGCTCAATACAGGTCCGTGACTATTTTAATTGATTTGCTTACTGTCTATACATAATTTTTGTAGGAACCTTGTAATAAAGGTACAACCATAGAGAAGAAAGCAATAATCCATCATAACACCACTCTAGAAATAAACCATCTTCCCAATGGTTTATTCTATGTAAGTAGTAGATGTGCTTAGAAAAGAATAAAAAGGCTTACAGTAAAGGACTACAGTGTTAACAATTGTTATTTTTGAGTTGTATGGATGATTTGTATAACATAGTATTATGAATACAATTTTGCATCCTGCTTTTAACCCGCTATAACATAAAAATTGATTTTTTTATTAATTATTATTTGCAACCTTTCTTCACAGTGGCAGTGTAACATTGCAGAATATGGGTATGCTATCATTCATTTAATCAACTACCTTCAGAGAGCAAGCATGCCAGGAGGACAGGGCTTTGTCTGGTTTTGCTCACATTTGCATCCTTAGCCTATGGCTGGGGGCTTGGACCATTGTCTAATACACATACTCAATAATACTTTCTGAATGAGGCAATTCTTAGCCAATTAGATTTCTGGCATTTTTGACATTTTATTTTTAAAATTTTTAATTGACAGGTAAAGTTTTACATACTTATAGGGCATAGTATGATGATTCAATACATGTATTACAATGTGTAATGATCAAGTCAGGCTATTTAGCATTTCTGTCTCCTCAAATATTTATCATTTCTATGTGTTGGGAAATATATTTCAATTTTCCCTAAAAATCTTTGCTCATAAAATTTCCTTAACTTTCTGCTTTTGCTTTACCCTGTGTCAATTTCTTGCCAGTAAGCATCATCAAACTACAAGAACTAGTCTGCTAGCTTCTTGGGCTATGGACTAAGTAAAATGAGACCTGGATCTCTGAAAGGTGAAGCTCCAGCAGCACTTGGTACTCACCATAGCTTCCCAACTTCTTCTTGCTTCTTAACTCTAGGGAAAAATATGAATATGAATGTTTAGTAAGAAAAGCATTAGCAGGGGACAAAGAGACTTCACATATCCTCTCACTGAATTCCTCTCACCCCCCCCACTAGGTGTTGCCCCCATTTACAGTCAAGGAAATGGAAGTTTGAAGAGTTAGTAACTTATCCAAGGCCACATGACCATTAAGTGATGGAGTCATGCTCTTTTCCATGACCCACATTGCCCTATTATGGGACATAGTACCTATCAGCCACGGGTTGTATAACTCCTGCTTCTTGTAACTTTCCTCTGTTGTCTACTGACAATTATTCTGCCCCCTCCTACCTGCTATTCTGGCATAAGTTGCCCTCTGTCTCTCCCATTGGACCTCCATGTCTGCTGAGAGGTCAGCCTGATGTCCAACTGGTCTAGAGCAGGCCTAAGTGCCTGTGACATATCTAGCACACACCATACCTTACTGTCCTCAGCTGTGCTATGCCTTAAGCAGAGATCAAAACCTCAAGGCCCACATGCAGGTTAATAGTGGAGACTGAGGCAAGTAGAAGAGAAGCTACCCTGTCTTCAAAGGAACAAAACTACCTAGCTTTAGTTGGTTGGTCCCATGTGGGAATGGGTTGCTAGATCTTTTGGATTTTCCAGAGAAAGTGGGGATGAAAATTTCTGAGTGGGGGTATAGCACAGGTCTCCCTTCTGACTCTCCAGGCCAGTAGCTAGGAAACTTCAGGAAAGTTATTTACCCTCTTTGTTCATCAGCTTCCCATCTATAAAGGAGGATGGTACAGTATCTACCCCATACCACTGTTGTGAGGAGTAAATGAGTAAATATACACAAAACTCTTAGAACAGTGCTTGACTCCTAGGAAGTGATTTATACAATTGCTCTTATAATAATAAGCATTTTATATTTTATCATAGTGTAAAATATTTTATCATGTTGGCAACTAATTTAATTTAAAACAACAATACCCTGTTTGAGCAAAGAAAAAACATGAATACAGGCTAGCTAGGATCTGTAGGTTTAGTTTGTAATACATCTTCTAGAGAATCACAACACAATCTCAATCTCACACTGTATTAGCCTGGAACAGAGTGAAGCGGTTTGCACTCCAAAGTCACAAGATAAAGAACTTAAAATTTTATTTCATTTTACTTTAGGATTTACCAATTAATTGTGGGTGATTTTCTCCTAACTTTTTTTTGGAAAAGGTGAATAAACATATACAATGAACAACTAAATATACCCTACCTAGATTCAACAATTATTAACATTTTACCATTTTTGTGCCCCTTCAATCTCTTCTTCTCCTCCACTAATACACGTTTTTGACTGAATCACATGAAAAATAGTTACTGATATCATAACACTTCATTCCTAAGTACTTCAGCATGCATTTCCTAAGAGTAGACATTTCCTTTTGTAATTATAATGACACTATCTCATCTAAGAAAACTAAAAATAATTTTCTAACATTATGTAACTTTTTTTTGTAATATTGGTGTTTGAACTTAATGAAAATGAAATAAAATGAACAATTCAGTTCCTCAGTCATGCTAGCCACATCAAGGGCTCCATAGCCACATCTGGCTAGTAGCTACCCTATTGGCCACACAGAATATAATGTTCCCAGTTTCATAGAAAATTCTGCTGGATTGTGCTGCTATAGACTCTGGCTATTCCCCTGAACCAAGTGAGAGGCTTAATAGAATTTGCATTCTCATCACACTGCCTATTTGATTCTTATGCACATTAATAAATGAGAACCCTTGTTCTGGACCCCATGAGACTTACTAAGTGATCATGAAGGAAGGATCATGCCAGAGTGCTCTATACTCCTTCTCAGCCTAAATCAGGAGGCAGATGATAAGCTGCAAGCTAGAACATCAAACAAGTTCAAGGTGCAATAGAAGAAAAATCAAGTTGTGAGGGCCAGAGGAGGAACTGGACAGAGTAGTAAGACTGCGGAGACAGATTGTGCTGCGGTCTAAATGTTTGAGCTCCTCAAAATGTTGCCTCAAAATTTGTGTGTTGAAATCTAATCCCTAGTGTGAGAGTACCTAGAAGTGAGGTCTTTAGGAAGAGATTAGGTCATGAGGGCAGAGCTTTTGTGAATAGAACTAGAGTCTTCCTATAAAAGGCCTATGAGAGGTCCCTTGTCTCTTCTGCCATATGAGTGCATAGCAAGAAGATGATTATTTATGAGCCAGCATGAAGGCAGTCACCAGACACCAAATCTGGTGTCTTAATCTTGGGTTTCTCAGTCTCAGAACTGAAGAAATGAATTTCTATTGTTTGTAAGCCAACTAGACTATGATGTTTTGTTATAGCAACTAAAACGTACTAAGACAGAGATGGCACACAATAGGTTCAAGTAAGGAGCATATCTTTTGTATGCAAGAATCTAGCTACTCATCATTTAATGTGAAATTTACTGTGCATGTTGACTCCCACCATATTCTACATCACTTCTGGAGGAAAAATTTGATTGTGTATTTATTGTGGAAATTCTTAAATATTAAACTAAATAATCTGGAATTATTTGGTACACATAGGGAGCCACTTTACAGTATAATTTGGGTGTTAACTAGGAATAGTAGAGAATGAATGAGTAGAAGGACCTCGTGTTAGAAACTGCTTATGTAGAGAATGTGATGGAAGCTTGCACGGTTAAGCCTGAAACAGTAGAAACAAACAAGACGAGAGAGCTAGGAGACATTACAAAGGAAGATATTGTTTCTGGCTGGAGATGGGGAAATGAGTTAACATTGAACCAGTAAGAGAGAATATTGGCTATAATTTTGAGGAAAATGGAGGCCTGAGAGGGAATCATTTGTGGAGGCAAGATGGTCCAGCAAGTTTAATTCAAGTTGCTGAAGGTGGTGACAGATCGTGTGAAGGGGAAGATGAGGGCTAGAATGTAATGATGCAGATTTGTGATCTCCTTACAAATGAGAGACAGAAGAAGCCCTGAGTGAGGAATTGAGAGCACAAAATAAAAACATCTGAGCCATGAGTTACATAGCCACGTATGACTATTTTGTGGGCCATTAGGAAGAAGTAGAGGCAGAGGAGAGATCAAAGTCAGGATTATGTTGTCGCAAGTATAAAGGAAAGGATGAGCAATGCCTGCCTCAAATGCTACTGCAAAGTTAAGAACAATGACAGCAATCAACTCCACCGCTTATGGGAGGTCCCCCAAGAGCTCTTGCCAGTTCAAATGTGGCAGTTCCAGCTGGGGCCCTTGGACATTTGAAATGTGTCTTCCTCAGAGGGAAGAAGAAAGCTGTTAAGCACATACTCCAATGTTGGCAGGCCTGTGGCCTGACGGGGATGACGTGACCATCTGTTTTCTATTAAGAATAGCAGTTTTTCCATAAGGATGGAGTCTGGAAATTCAGAGACCCTGCTGGTTTTCAGGTGGAAAAGAAGAGACAAACTACCACCTTCATATTTGCCAGCATGTTCTGCCATGAGGTTGAGCACAGTTTCTGGGAAGAGAAGAGAAGGCAAGAGAATCTCAGCTGGTTTCCATGGGCTCCATGAGAATCCTGAGAACTCTGCCTGGAAGTAGGCGTGTCTGGCTGGAGGACTCTGAGATGGACTCCAAGCCCAATCCCTTTCCACTGCAGCAATAAGGAGTATGGTTCCTGGGAACCGTGCTACTGACAGTGGGAACATTCATGCCTTTTTGGTCTCTATCTCATGAAGTTATTTGAATATATCCTTTTAAGAGAAAATATTGTGTGCTGACAACAAAGACTCCCCCCATTTTTTTAATCTACCACTAATGATCTTCTGTTAGGCTTTGGAGCTATATCAGATGAGTGATTTAGAGATAGGGCATGGGCTGAGCAGAAAGACATGATGCGTGGAAACCATTTTGGAGAAGTTTGGCAGTAAGAGGAAGGAGAAAGATATGGTTTAGGAACATAAAAATCACATCTGAACCTTTTGTTGTATATTTGGGGGAAATTATTCTGACTGAGATAAGGGTTAACCTAGAACTCTTGATAGTCTATTGCTAGGTGAGTCAGGTGACCACCCATCCTGGTTTTCCTGGGACCCTCCTGGCTTAGCACCGAAGTCCCATGTCCTAGGAAGTCTCTTAGTCTCTAGCAAACCCAGACAATGGATTTATTGCCTTATGTTGGAGCCAATCAGTGTTGCCTCAAATTAATCAAATTAGATACAGCATTGATGACCTTGTGCCATAAGATGCCTATCCTAATCTTCTCTGTTCCAGTGTACAGTGACTGAATCCTTCTCCATGAGGTTTGACTGACTTTCCTAGATTGAGGTGTTTATCTGCATTTTGGTGTCATGGAGGAAAAGAAATAAGATTTTAGAGCCTATCATGTACTTTAATGACATCTCATTCAATCCTCACAGCAACCATGTGAATGGTTATTACCCTCTGCAGTTTGCAGACAAGGCTACTCAGGAAAAAGAAACCTAGTTTTATCCAGGCTTAAGAAGCCAATACTCTGCTGTACACATTATGTCCTACAGAGATCCACAGGGACATATGTGGGCCATCTAGATGAGTTTGGGAAGATGCAATTCATGGCTAGAGTTGGAGCACAGTATAGTGTCCACATGTGCAGTCTTTCCAGATTGTAAAGGATCCAGGTGTCCTTCATCAGGAAGCACCTCCATCTGTGGAAGTTTTTTTTTTGTTTTTTTTTTTTTTTTGTTTTTGAACACTTCTGAACCACATCTGATATTCTTTCCCCTCTGGGTAGAGGAAACAAGAGAAGCTTCTAGGTCTGACTTTGGATTTCAGGGAATACAACTATGAGGAGGAAGGTTTGAGGGCTAATTATCTGCACTACAATAAATATTCTGAGATTTAAAGTGAAACATCTACTTAATCAATCACACAGATTATAGAAACTCTTCATTATGAAAAAGTGACAGATCTGTGCCCAAGTATGACTATCCAGGTGCCATTGTCCCATTCAGTTTCTGCATCCTTTGTTCACATTTAAAGTATTGCTTTCCATCCGAAAAGGTAACACATTCCCTCCTCTGACAAATGAACTACAGTCAAGCACATGGCCAATATGCTTTTCCCAAAATATGAATTTTGTGTGTGTGTATGTGTGTGTGGTACTGGGGATTGAATTCAGAGCCTTGCACATGCTGGGCAATCCCTCTTCCACTGAGCTGTCCTAGCCATTTTTTATTTTGAGACATGGTCTTGCTAAGCTTCCCTGGTTAGCCTTGAACTTATGATTCTCCTGATCTGCCTCTTAAGTAGCTGCACCACCATACCTGGCCCAAAACATGAATTTTAATTTCCATTATCTAGAAGAGACAGCAGTTAAAACAATGTAATTTGGACTTAAGTGATCCAAAGATCTACATGGAACTTAATTTTATTGGGTGTATTGGATGTAGTTTGAATGGAGTTGGTGAGAGGATCAGGCATATGAGTTTAAGCAATGGATATTTCTTTAAAGAAATAAGGGAGCACTAATAACCTGGCAAAGGGGAAGCAGCTAGATTTGATGCTGGTTGTGGCACTATGTGAACCACTCAGAATGTAATAAATTGATAGGGCAAGCCAAGTCAATTAGAACAGTGTGTTAACTTTTTTCTTTTTGCAGTACTGGGAATTGAGCCTAGGGCCTTGCATATGCTAGGCAAGCACTCTACCACTTGAGCTATGCCTCCAGCCCAGAACAGCATTTCTTAAAGTGTAGTCCTCAGATCAACAACATGAACATGACTTACAAACTGATTATACTGCAGATTTGCGGCCCTACTCCATACTTATTGAATCGGACCTACTGAATCAAGTTTGAGGGCCCTTGAGCTGCAGGCAAATAGGTATTGTGCTCCCAATTATAAAGGAACTACTGCCAGCTAGGTGGGAAGGTCTTGAAAGATCTGGAAAGGCAGTGAGCAGTTCTACCCAGTTTCCATTTCCACACCATGGCCCATGTCCAAGCACCATGATCTCTCATCTAGTTTAGTGTAGTGACTTGATAATCAGTTTCATTCCCCTCACCTTGCACCCTGTAATCCATATTTGCCAGCAAAATGATTCTGCCAATTTATAAAAGGAGGTTGTTAGTTTCTTGCTTAAAATCTCCAGTCATTCCCGGATAAGGAATGAGCTGTGAAGTCCTTACTGTGCCACATGGCCCTGCATGAGCTGTCTCCTGCTTGTCCCTTTTACCTTTTACCATTTACTGTAAAATGGTGCTCATAATTGCCCATATAATAGAGTAAGCATCAAATGACATAAAATAGTGAAAGGTCTAATATATAAAATCACTCAATTTTTAGTCCTTTCTCTATAAGGAAAGCCATTCTCATGGTTACTTCCCCAGTTGAGACCTTCATTTTTTCCCATTGTATCACTCCTTGTAGCCTTTGGCTGGCCTTTTAATTTTCATTTCTTCTTCACTCAAGTGTATTTTAATAAACACTGCCAGCTTAATAATCTTTATATTCTATTTTTAAAAATCTTACCTCAGTCGTTTAAGAATGTAAATCCCCATGATTTCCTACTGTGAGCTGATCTAATCACCACAAAGTGTTCTTTAAATACTTAGGAGTTCACTTCAGATAGTATGCTCAGGCCTGGGACTTCTTTGTCCTCAGAGGGATATTTGTTATCATCTGATGATCTGGGACTTTTTAGATGTCACAAAGACTTGAAGGCATCTTTCTTTCCTAGGCTCAAGTTTATAATTTTTAGTGTTTACTACATTATCCTCCTCAATAAGAAAAAAAGGAAGGTGTCCATTGAGACTGGATTTCTTTCTCTCTTGTCATTGGCTATAGGAGGCAGCACAGCCTGGTGGAGTTGCTGGGAGGTGGAAGTGGTGAGGGAGTTCAATTCCGCAGCATGGAACAAGTGTCCTGACTAGACAGTGCGTCTAGGCAGTGGAAAGAGCTCTGATCTGAATATCAACTAAAGGCACAAATGTATCTCAAGGAATGTACTGAATGGGCTCTGAGGGGCTAGAGAGTTACAATACAATTCCTGGTCCTCAATCAATGTTTATGGAATAGGACCAAATTAAATTACTTTGAGGAGAACCTTAAAGAAGATAGCATTTTGAAAGAGCTGTAAGAACAGTTTGAAACAAATTCAACAAGAAACTGTAGTGATGTCAGATATATGATAATTTGGGTCCTTTTTTTTTTTTTAAAACAACAGAAAAAGGAATCTTTTTGCTTAGTAGGATAAAGTGGCCTGCATTGAATAGAAAAGACTTCAGTGGGTTTGAGTTGTAACAGACACACCGAGTGCTGACAGAATTGTTCCCAGGGATAGGACTTGTTTTTCTAAACACTTGGAGCCCTACAATCAGGAATCTGGACTAGGCAGAGAACCCAAACTCCTCTATTCCAGAACTTCTCTAACTTCAATACACATAGCAATTGCCTGTGCAATGTTTTCAAAATGCAGATCTTGATTCAGTGGCACTGGGGTGAGGCTGAGATTCTCCCCATAGCAAGCTCCAGACAATGTTGATGGTCCAAAGGCCTCCCTTTTAAAGGAAAGGGTCTAGTTTCAGCTCTTCAGATTTTTAGAGGAGAAACCAAGGCTCAGAGAAATAAAATACCCATATTCCCACCTGCTTCCCCCACCCCAACACACACTTTACTGTCATGTTTTATTGACTCTGTAGAAACCACAGCCCCACACAGAGCTACCTGCATAGGGGTGGCCAAGGCATGTTGGAAGCTTAGATAGTACCAAGGGCAGAGCAGGGCAGAGCCTGGAAGAATGAGGAGAAGGTGTGACCAAGTGTCTCTGGCCAAACAAGGTCATGATAACGCATATGGCAGGTGTATTTAAGTCACTGACTCAAGCCAAAGAGAATGGGAATTAACAGATAATAGTTTTAACATTCCTTACTATAATTTTAAAGTTGAAGTCAGGGAGATATTTTTAGGCAAAGGCCCTCTCAGCACCCCTCACATGATGTCAATAACTATTCTGTCTCCTCATGTGGCTTGCCCTAGCAATTAATGATTTATTTCTGAGCTTTAACTTCAGTGAAAGTGACAAGGTTAAAAGTTGAAGGTCAAAGATACTCTTTAACTCTTAACCTATTAACCAGCCAATTAAATTAATTACTATAATTAACTAACATTCTTAACCTGTTCCCTGCTATGGAGATTTAATTCTAAGGAAAAATGTATAAAGTTCGCCATTAAGTAATCCCTCTGTTTCTTGAGATTTTAACACAACCAGTTGGTTGAGGGTAATTCTCACATCTGGTTCCATAATCTCAGGTTTCTGGACTATGATTCCAGTAACTTCACCGTGCTCTACAAACATAGCCACTTCCCCCAGATCTATTCAGTTTCCCAGTGGGCAGCTCTCTCCCTACTCTAGAAATCTCTACCTTTAAACTTTTTACTTACTTAAATAGCAACTTATCTTCATATCTGGTATTTTCTATATTGGTATCAGTATTTAATTACTGTGGTATTGGCCAAGGAAGTGCTTCACTTGCTGGATGGTCCAGGGGTGGCTGTGATTCAGCCTGTGTTCTTAATTACTCCTAAGCTAATCCACCCCAGCTGGGTGATACCCAGAACACATTTTAGACACTTGCCATGGAAACCCTGACAAAATTAAATGAAGTTAGGTACAGTGAATTTGATTGTACCCAGCAAACAGGCATAATTTTAACACAAATACCTTCGGCAGAGTCATGGCATACATCTGGAGAGTACAGGGGCTGGTACAAAGGAACAGAAGTTATGGTATCTAAGTAGTTTCTTTAGGCCTCCTTTTACTTGATACTGGTGGCTTTAACCTGAACACTTAAAAGTTCCTTTTGCTACATAGGTCACTTCCCAGAGTGTCCTTAGCTGAACTTTGAACCAGAGAAATACAAGTAAATGTAAAAACAATAAAATAAAAGAAAGAAAAAAAAAACACTGAAACATTAAAAAAAAGAAATAAAAGAATATAAACAGTACTTCCTTACCTATGCCAATTTTTCTCTGCCTGCAACACTATACAGTTATTCTAGAAGCTGGAAATAATTTACATTTTATAGCTTCCAATAGATCAAGTATCATTACTCAGTTTACTTTTGTCCCTCTGGATGTGCAACTTTCAAGTGTGTAACAATTTTTTGATTTGGGTACATAAACCTGTAAAAGGTTTCAACTTGTAAAATACTTCCACTTATATTTCATGGGTGCATTTTGGATTCAAGAGAGCTGAGGAGGAAAGAGCTGCATTTGGGGAATACTGCTAGAGCAAAACGGGTTTCAAACTGCAGACAGAGTTTAAATAGTGCACGCAGTTAAGTACATCTGTGTTACATTAACCAGTAGTGTGGCACAGTAGATGGAATTTAAACCACACGAGAATGACTTACAAATATCACAGAGAAACATTTAGACTTCAGAATTCTGGGTTCTGGGCTTTCCACTTATTTCCTTACCACATGCCCCCCCTCACCCAATCACTCCTCACTCCCCATTACCACTGTGTAACTTTCAAGGTATCACTGGTTGATTATAGGAGAAAGAACCTAAGCTGTCAGAAAGCTGTCAGAAAGCAGCCTAAATTCTAACCTGCTCTCAGCGTTAAAATGTGAAACAGGAGTTTACACATGGCCAGGTCTCATTTTCTGCTAACCTTTCCCACCTCCCCTCCATATAGACGGAGTTTGCTGAACAACCCTCTTCCTCGGGGCACAAAGGTGATGCACATAGCAAGCCTCTGTCCCATGTTAATAGTCCAAATGTCCCAGGTGTATGCACCTGCTGGTGTTTGAGAAGCTTACCTTACTAGCACTGGCTGAGTCAGCATCCACAGCTCCAGTGTCCCTCAATGGTGATCAAACCAATCCTCAGAGGTAGCTGTGGGTGAATAGGCTGCAGCAAAGGAAAGAAGGCAAGGAAAGGGAGAAAACTTCAACAGAAATAGTTCAAGTGTTTCGAAGTTAAAAATAAAACTCTTATCACTAGGGGCAGTGTGACCAGGCTGAGTTACGACTTCTTCCCTCCCTGTATGTATCAATGTTTGGTTTCTCCTGCAGTGGCATTGAGCAGGGAAAACTGGATGGGAAGTGGGGTTTTCTAGCACTGGGTTTTCTTTTCCTGGAGGAAGGAGAAAACCCCTTTGAAGAAGGATCATTTCAAGGCCAGAGCAGCCTCTTAGTCCCACGTGGGCCCCGGACAGGTCCAGCTGTGCTCAGGAGGTTGGTGTAGCACCCCGTGTGGGCTGCTGTTCTAATTATAACCATGCTTCTCACCTAAACGCACTGGCTGAAGCAGCAGCTTGTGCAAGTGACATGCTGTCTTGTTTCTGCTTCTCCTGTTTCTTGTCATGACAAGTCAGCAGCTGTCCTCCCCTGGCCCTTGCCTTTCCCAGGTGGCTGGGAAGGGAGAGTTTACCATTCAAAAATCAAGCAGAAAGTAAGTCATGTGGAGAGAATTAAAGGTAATGGGAGGCTTTGTTATTTAGTTCAACCTCCTCCTTTTACTGATGAAGAGACAGAGTCAGAGAAGGCAAATTGCTCACCCACTATCACACAGCTCACTAGTAAATTAATAAGAGGAAAGACACAGACCTTTCCTCCACAACTTGTTTTCTTTTATCTTACCCTCTTCAAATAAAATCATTTGGCTATCTTCTAAGGAAAGAAATTATTAATCCTGACTTTTCTTATTTCTAGGTATGTGGCTTTGACCAAATTGCTTTAACTACTCTGTACCTCAGTTTCCCAGTTGTGATATGGGAATGGTACTTGGTGTGACCGTGTGTAACAATGCATCAATACATATGAAACACAGGAGTAATGTCCACCACAAATACTCAACAGTGCCAGCTGTTATTTGAATGTATTTGAGAGTATTTAAACTAAACAAGATAAATCTTGTTGTAATTAATAGTCACTGAATTTCCATTTCCACTGTATGTGTGTCCATGAATAACTTAGCAGATGAAAACTGTAAAAAATTTTAATATGGATCTTGTATTCTGAAAGTTTGCTGAATTTGTTTACTAGTTATATAATTTTATTGTGGACTTCTTAGGATTTTCTATGTACAATATCATTACATCTGTAAATACAGGTGTTTTTTTTGAGTGTGCTACTGGGGTTTGAATTCAATGTCTTCCACATGCTAGGCACGTGCTTTACCACTTGAGCCATGCCACTGACCCTTTTGCTTTAGTTATTTTTCAGATAGGGTCTTGCACTTTTGCCCACGGCCAGCCTTGGAGTGCAGTCCTCCTGCCTCTGACTCCTGTGTAACTGGGATTACAAAAGTAACCCTCCATGTCCAGCTTGTTCACTGAGATAGAATCTCACTAACTTTTTTGTCCAGGCTGTACTCAAACTGCAATCCTGCTATCTCTCTATCCCAAGAAACAGGGGTTTAAATGTGATCTACTGCATTCAGCCAAAATATAGACATTTTTATTTCTCCCTTTCCAATTTAGTTGCCTTCTATTCCTTTTCTTGCCTTTGCCTTGCTGAGAACCTTCAGTGTTATTTTGAACAGAATGATGAGAGGGCCATCCCTGACTATCCTGCCCAGAGAGGGAAAGCATTGTCTTTCATTGAGGAGTATGGTGTCTCAGATTTTCATAGATGAGTTTGGTTGTTTGTTCTAGTTTGTTGAGTGTCTTTACGATGAAAGGATATGAACTTTTTTTCAGATTCTTTTCTGTGCTTCTTGAGATGATGGTTTTTTTGTCCTTTATTATATTAATAGTGTGTATTACATTGATCAGTTTTTATATGTTAAACCAAATTTCCACTCCTGAATAAATCTCATTTGATCATGGTATATTACCCATGTTGCTGGATTTGGTTTGTGAGTATTATACCAAGGGTTTTTTGCATCTATACTCAGAAGAGATGTTAGTCTATAATTTTGTTTGTATGTTTTTGTTCAGTTTTGGTATCAGGGTAATATTGGTCTCATAGGACAAGTTAGGAAGTATTCCATTTTCTTCTGTTTCTTTGCAAGAATTGGTTAAGGGTTGGTGTTAATTCTTCTTAAATGCTTAGTAGAATTTAGAAGTTTTAAAAGTTTTTGATTACTAATCTTCCTGGTAGATTTCACCTTAGTCACAGCTTTTCTATTTCTTCTTGAGTCAAATTTGGTGTTTTATCTTTCCAGGAATTTGTCCATTTCACCTAAGTTACTTTTTTGTTGGCGTATAATGTAACAGTATTCCTGTATAATGCTTCTTAGTTCTATAAAATTGATAGTAAAATCTCTTTTCATTCATGATACTAGTAATTTGTGTCACCTTCTTCCCCTCCTCTTTCTTCTTCTCTTCCAAAGTGGTTGTACTAATTTACATTCCCACCAACAGTGTATGAGGGTTCCTTTTCCCCAACACCCAAGCCAACATTTGTTATTGTTTGTGTTCTTGATGGTAGCCATCTAACATTCTTGATGGTGAGGTGGCATCTTAATATGGTTTTGATTTGCATTTCCTCTATGGCCAGAGATGTTGAGCATTTCTTCATGTGGTTTTTTTTTGGCCATTTAGACTCCTTGTTTTGAAAAAGCACTGTTCAGTTCGTTTGCCCATTTTTTCATTGGGTTATTGATTTTAGGGGAGTTAAGTTTTTTGAACTTCCTGTATATTCCTTTGTCAGATGTATAGCTGGCAAAGATTTTCTCCTATTCTATGAGTCTCCTCTTCAATTTGGTGACCATTTCTTTTGTTGTGCAGAAGCTTTATAATTGCATGTAGTCCCATTTGTCCATCCTTTCTCTTAGTTGTTGAGCCATCTGCATTCTACTGAGGAAGTCATTGCCTATACCTATCAATTCCAGTTTGTTTCCTGTACTAGTTTCAAAGTTTCAGGTCTTATATGAAGGTTCTTAATCCACTTTGAGTTGATACTTGTACAGTGTGAAAGACATGGATCTAGTTTCAGTTTTTTGCAGGCAGATAACCAGTTTTCCCATTAACATTTGTTGAAGAGGCTGTCTTTTCCCCATTGTATGTTTTGGCACCTTTGTTGAAAATTAGGTGAGCATAGCTGTGTAGATTCATATCCGGGTCCTCTATTCTATTCCACTGGTCTTCATGTCTGTTTTTGTGCCAGTACCATGCTATTTTTATTGCTACTGCTTTGTAATATAGTTTGAAGTCGAGTATTGTGATACCTCCAGCATTGTTCTTTTTGCTCAGTCTTGCCTTGGCTATTTGTGGTCTTTGTGCTTCCAAATGAACTTTAGGGTTGATTTTTAAATTTCTGTGATGAATGTCATTGGAATTTTGATGGGGATTGCATTGAAAATGTAGATTGTGTTTGGTAACATAGCCATTTTCACAATATTGAGTCTGCCAATTCATGAGCATGGGAGATCTTTCCATCTTCTGTAGTCTTCTTCAATTTCTTTCTTCAATTGTTTATAGTCTTCATTGTAGAGGTCTTTCACATCCTTTGTTGTGTTTATTTCTAGGTATTTTTTGAGGCTATTGTAAATGGAATTATTTTCCTTTATTCTTTCCCAGTCTGTTCATTGTTGGTGTATAGAAAGGCTACTGATTTTTGTAAATTGATTTTGTATCCTGTTACTTTGCTGAAGGTTTTTATGATGTCTAAGAAGTTTTTGGTGGAGATTTTTGAATCATTTAGGGATAAGATCATGTCATTTGCAAATAGGGATAGTTTGACTTCTTCCTTTCGTATTTGTATTCCTTTTATTTCTTTTTCCTCTTATTGCTCTGGCTAGGAACTCTAAGACTATGTTGAATAAGAGTGGAGAGAGTGGACACCCTTGTCTCATTCTTGACTTTAGAGGAAATGGTTTCAGGTTTTTCCTATTTAGTATGATGTTGGCCATAGGACTGTCATATAGAGCCTTTATTATGTTGAGGTACATTCCTTCTGTTCCTAGTAAACTATGAATTTCAAGTAATAATGATGTGTCAATGTAGTTTCATTATAACACATATACACTCTGGTGGCAGATGTTGATGGTAGGGCAGGCTGTGTATAGATGAGGATAAGGGGTACATAGGAACTCTTTGTATGGGCTGCTCAAGTTTGCTTTGAACCTAACGTTGCTCTATAAAAGAAAGTCTATTAAAAATTAAAAGTGTAAAACCATGTATGCAAATGGAAAAATGAGACCTGATGAAACTATTCCAGGAATGGGGGATAAAGGAGAATGATAGAGGGGGTGAATTCAACTATGATATATTTGATATATTGTCAAAACTTTTGTAAATGCCACAATGTACCCCAACACAACAATAATCTTTTTAAAAGTGCAAAACCAAACAAAACTCCTCATAGCCAAAGGGCCAGTGTCTCTATTCCAAGACTACAATCCACCTTTCAAGGTCCCTGTGGTGACCCTGAATTTGATAGGTAACAGAGACCTGGACACTTTCTGCTGTCAGTGTCTCTCTTAGTCTCCCACAACAAAAGCTGCTCCAGATTATTATTGTATGTGTGCCACCAAATTATTCAAATTATAGTTTCTGGGGATCAGATCCAGGGCCTGTGCATGCTAGGCAAGTGCTCTACCCTGAGGCACAGTCCCAATCTTCCCTTGATTAAATTTAATTCCTGAAAGAAGAAGCTGGGTGTGGTAGCTCAAACCTGCAATCCTAGCTACTCAGGATGCAGAGATTGGTTGGATTACAGTTCAAGGCTAACCTAGGAAAAAATTTCTGGAGACCCCCATCTCAACCAATTGAAGCTAGGCATAGTGGTACATGTCTATCATCCCAGCGATGCGGAGAAGCACAAATAAAAGGATTGCATTCTAGGTCATCCTGAGCATAAAGGAAGAACTTATCTAAAAAACAAGTAAAGCAAAAAGGGCTAGCAGTGTGGCTCAAGTGGTTGAGCATCTATCTGCCTAGCAAGCAGGAGGCCCTGTGTTCAACCCTCATACCACAAAAAAGTTTGACTACTGATTTTGCCAGTTTTTTCATCCCTTCTTCAAAAATCTGTCTTATATTTTCCTATGCCAGTCTACCTATGTCTGAATTCTTGTATATTAAAACTAATGGTGATAGTGATTCCTCCTCAAAATGTGAGTAAAAAGATTTCCTCATAACCTCCTCTCATTATTAAAAGTAGATGCCCCTTAACCAAGCATGGTGGTGTGCATCTGTAATCCCAGCACTTCGGATTGAGGCAAGAGGATCACGAGTTTGAGGCCAGCCTAAACTACACAGACACCTGCCTCAAAACAAACAAACAAAAAA